TTTATTTACCTGGCTTTAACATTAATTAAAATCAATACTTGGAGCTGTTTTTTTTCAAGTAGAGTTTGTGGAGCTCAACCATAAATATAAACCACCGGTAGAGTAACTGTTCAATTAACGTTCAATGGTTATGAGACTATAAAACTGACTAGCTCTGGCCAGCGCTGGCTGGGGGATGTGGCTGGGAGGCGCCGATTGAACGCTGGGAAAAGTAATGTGTTGAGCTACTATCGACCAAACACGAACCTAATTAGCTGCCCGTCCACAGTCTCCAAAGTAAATGAGCGGATTCTTGAAAAGTTCCATTTCTCTGATGTGTCTGCGACACCAGCTGATAAATGGTACTTCTCTCTCTCGATAAAACAAAACCCCAGTCTGTTTATGGTGGACAGAAATGGTTTTCTACTAGTGGTGGCACTGGGTGGGTTTAGTAGTGGGGAGGGGGACACAGAAATCTCCCACCTTCGTATGGAGACTGACAGACATTTCCCACATTTCTGTGGAGACTGACAGACATTTCCCACCTTTGTGTGGAGACTGACAGACATTTCCCACCTTTGTGTGGAGACTGACAGACATTTCCCACCTTTGTGTGGAGACTGACAGACATTTCCCACCTTTGTGTGGAGACTGACAGACATTTCCCACCTTTGTGTGGAGACTGACAGACATTTCCCACCTTTGTGTGGAGACTGACAGACATTTCCCACCTTTGTGTGGAGACTGACAGACATTTCCCACCTTTGTGTGGAGACTGACAGACATTTCCCACCTTTGTGTGGAGACTGACAGACATTTCCCACCTTTGTGTGGAGACTGACAGACATTTCCCACCTTTGTGTGGAGACTGACAGACATTTCCCACCTTTGTGTGGAGACTGACAGACATTTCCCACCTTTGTGTGGGGACTGACAGACATTTCCCACCTTTGTGTGGGGACTGACAGACATTTCCCACCTTTGTGTGGGGACTGACAGACATTTCCCACCTTTGTGTGGAGACTGACAGACATTTCCCACCTTTGTGGTGTGGAGACTGACAGACATTTCCCACCTTTGTGTGGAGACTGACAGACATTTCCCACCTTTGTGTGGGGACTGACAGACATTTCCCACCTTTGTGTGGAGACTGACAGACATTTCCCACCTTTGTGTGGAGACTGACAGACATTTCCCACCTTTGTGTGGAGACTGACAGACATTTCCCACCTTTGTGTGGAGACTGACAGACATTTCCCACCTTTGTGTGGGGACTGACAGACATTTCCCACCTTTGTGTGGGGACTGACAGACATTTCCCACCTTTGTGTGGAGACTGACAGACATTTCCCACCTTTTTGTGGAGACTGACAGACATTTCCCACCTTTGTGTGGAGACAGACATACATTTCCCACCTTTTTGTGGAGACTGACAGACATGTCCCACCTTCGTGTGGAGACAGACAGACAGTACCCCCTTCTGTGTGGGATACTCCCTACATCGAGGCCAGTCTTTGAGGCCAGTAACGCAATGTTGTCATCCCAGGATTAATAATTAATCAACAATTATATTAATGACCAAAGTGCTAACAGGAGAAAACAAAACATGCTGACGTCAACAAGGGAAATTAGATGCAATCAAACACCACACACACAAAAATAATGAAATATTCAACATAATAAAAACAGGGGTGGGGGTGGTTTGTTTTTTTCAAACATGGACTCAAGTTACTATTTACCTGTTTAGACCTCGAGTTTTACAGCAAGTACGAGCGAGAGATATAGAGCTAGACGTAGCTGCTGTAGAGTATGTAGAAAAAAAGGCAGCTAAAACGTATCGAGTTGCTAATGATGTGGCCAAGGGAAGACCATCGCTGTGCTGCAGGATTAGCAGCCCGTGAATATTCCAGCGTATGGCTTGTTAATGGCTTGTTTAACTAGCACAGATCAGCCCTGCTAGAAACGGGCCGGTGCAAGAAATGTGCACCTTTTAACCTTCTCATTATGGGAGAGTAAACAAAATGGATGGAGCAGGGGAGCGGACACTGATTAATTCAACCACTTGATCACACAGCGCACGGGCATCTTAGGGACTGGACAATGGCTTACAAAAGGTCAACATAGAAGGTCGTTTGGAGCAAGTTTCTTTTTTACGTTTATTACTGCTGGGAAATCTATGGCTCAGCAGTTCTACTTATCTAATTTAAACATTGGTTGAGGGAGGGTCGATTGGAAATTAAACGTCTTTGCCACTTCAAATCTAAAAAAATAAAATAGTTTTTTTTAAATAGTCTATAGACTGTTAAAAGAAAAAAATGTAATTGTGAAATTTATTCGGTACTTTAAACGATAATATTTGTAAGGTTAATCCGATTTTTTTCAACCTTATAAAAATCAAAATGATAGTATACCCAAGTTCACCCAACTTTGATGGGTACGTGACTTACGTTAGGGAAAGTAAAGGCGGCTGACATAATGCTAACAACAGAAACAGGTGAACTCTACTTCACCTGCCTCATGGACCGTCAGATTCCAAAGGAAACTTTACTTTTACTTCTATACCACAGTTCGGAATATTTCAAGGAGAAAAGCTCAATATACAGTGTTTTTTTAAATCTATAGGCCTACATAATCACATACTGATTAGCAATCAAATAAGACGCCGAGAAAAGGTTGAGACTTAATTATAATAATGGGTTGCATTAGCTCCGCAATGTTAAGTCCACGTATCGATGAGATTTTTTTTTCGCTAACGAATTCGTTCTGCGGCCAAGCCGCGGGATTGTGCAAGCTATTAAAGCGACCGGTAGATGAGCTCTTGTACTTGATAGATTTAAAAAGTTCGACCAGCTCGGATATTGTGAAAGTGGTTGTCTCAAATCAAACCTGGGCCAAAGAAAGGACAACAACCTATATCCATGTCATCGAGTGGTATTGTTTCGCCAATGTATAGATCCCGTAATCAGGTCATTTTCTAGGATGAATAATTAACCTGTGGGCATTGATTTAGAGTCGGGCCGTGTTCGTTAAAGCTGCATTATTTCAAATCTGTTCGGCAAGTTTCCACGCAGCTTCAAACGCCCAGCCCCTTGAGACTATGTCCTTCTAAATCAAACGCAAGAGAATCAATCAGCATTATTTTTCGTGTACAAACCCACAAACATGCGATTTCATGACGTCAGTTGGAAGGAAGTGGGGGAAAAAGCGAATATTGAAAACAGGAAGAAGTGAAAGGGGTGATGAATGTTGGCCATGGCTGATGAGAAAACCCACCCCAACCTGCCCGCGGCTGTGACGTAGCCATAAAAAGACATTTGCCATGCACTCTGATAATCTAAATAGGCACAAGTGTGAATACATCGTTTATAGTCTGCTCATACAGGCGAAATGTTTTATTAACATCGTTACTAAATTATGCAAATGTCTCCCTGGGAACTGCGACCTCCCCCTACCCATATGCATAAGCAATGAACCTGAAGCTGTTAAAAATTCATGACGAGAGTACAGCCTAGCTCAGCAGGACCGTGCGTGCCCCGGGCTACTCCAGTCTTGTTGGGGGTCTCGTTATAAGCTTAGCGATAACTGTAACCAATTCTCGATAACTGTAACCAATTCTCGTAGAAAATATTTCAATCCATTCTAAGTTTCTTTACAGAGGTAATCTTCATGATCTAATCCTGTGGTTAACTATGATCGACACTCAACATACCATAAACACTGACAGGTTTAAACAAGCATTAATCTTACTGAACACAGTTGACTTTTTACAGGTCTATCTAGCATCAAGCTATTATCATAATGTACTTTATTATAATAAATGTCATGGTTTCTTAACACTATTCAAAAAAAATTTTAATGTGATTTTAGATCCACCGAGCTGGATTTGTAAACAATGCAGACATACACAGCATAAAATAGGATGTTCTTCACAAATACCTCACACCACTGTACAGGACAGTGTCAGTTACAACTGCCCTAAATTTTGCTCGAGCGTTTCAATCTATGTCGACAGATATAACAAGCTTGTAAAAAACAATACACTTTCGGATAAGTTATTCTAGGCAATGTATAATGAGTCTATTTTTCATTGTTTATGAAAATTAAAACTAAAAATCAACTTTATCCCAAAGTTTTAGGGTGTGATCAAAGTAAATTGACAACTGTTCTGTTTACCACATTTTGTTCATTAGGAATATAGGTCAAAATGAAACGAGCACAAATAGGACACAGAGAAAGTCACATCAGACATAATCAGACTTGCACAAATCTGACGGCTAAGTATGACAAACCTTTATGTAAAGACAATGAGTAAATGTTGAAATAGAGGTTTTATAATCAATCCTTAAATTAACATATGTGTATAGTAATGGAATAATGTGTTTAATTTTTATTTTTAGGGTTAAAAACCAGTTTCTAAAAAAATAATTAAATCGTAATGTATTTAAAATAACTCTTAGAGCTAAGGGAGAAGACTCAAGTAATAAATATTGCTTTAAAATCTAGTTAAGTCCCTTTCCAGAATATTTTAGTCTTAAAAACCACTAGTAAAATTATTACAATGAGCTTGTTTCTGTGACGGCAATAGCTTAAAGAATTTAACAGTTGCTCACATTTGAAAACAAAAATAAACATACAATAAGTTAACACAAAGTACACAAATTACATAGAAAAAAAAAGCCATTGTTTTTTTGTCAGTTCAAAGAAAACAACACAATATAGTCTTTTTCATTTCAATTATTCTCCTTAATTTCTTCAGAGAAATGATTTTTCTAAATTTATATTTATAATTGGTCATAAAATGTGTTACATCAACCTCTGTTTTTAGAAATTACATAAAAAATGTAAATTTTATAGACCTAAAAGACACAACAACCAACTTCGGCAGTCGACCGCCAGCTACACACATGAGTATTCAAATTTAATTAAATACATCTTTTTAACTTTATTGTATTTAAATAAAATTAGTGTTTTAACAATTCTGAATGCTTGTAACATCTAGGAAAAATAAACTATCTACTTACAAATTCAAGTATCTTGATAAAACCTCGAGGTTCTTTGAACACTCCAATGTTGAAAGCAGATGAAACCTGAAAAATGAGAAGGCAAATTTTTGGTTATTCAATAAGACAGAATTAAAAGACAGTAAAAGACAAACAAAATATTTGCTTAAGTTACGTTCTGAAATTTTCAAAGATTTTTTTGGCTAGACAAGATAAGTCATATCATAAAGATGTTTTTAAGATTTACGAGTACTTTGCTAATGTAACGTAACAAACACAACACATTATTTTGTCAGAGAGAGGTAAACAACATTCACTCGTGTTTTCACTGGGGTGAATGAAAACACTGCAAGTCTTGCTGATTTTAATTATTAATTATGAGAGACTATGAAGAAATCTGTTTTATGCTAGAACAATTTTTAACTATGGATTTTAATTAATATATACAATTAGTCACTTTATCAAAACTGAACAGCTAGCTCAAGACTGAAACCTGGCTCAATATTATGTGTCTACAAAAAAGCAAAAAACAAACAAACAAACAAAAACAAGCACTTTTAAGCAAATATAAACAGACATTGAGAGCAAATGAAAAGAAGAAACAAAAAATAAAATCAGATGGAGTAACTTAAATGTTATTGATTGATGTTTAATTTACAATAACTTTAACTAGATGTTTTAAAGAATGGAGGCTCAAAAATCAGGAAAGAAGTAGAGAATGTAATTTATTAAGTTTAGTGAGACCACTTATGTGTCACAACCCTTACCATCTTAAAATCTTAGTTATATCTGAAAATATTATGTTACTTTTTAATCCCAGCCTATTGTTTTTATTGTATTTTTAATAGATGATTGAGCATTTTACTTTTATATTATTTTTTTTAAAGGTTGGTATTATTTAGTAAATACCCAAATAACACTATCTGGACCCAGCATTAAGTATTGCTTGTGCCTATAGTTACTTTATCTGAATTACAATGTGACTTTGTGACTTTTTGCTTGTGAATTTTCTAGATCTAATATTTTCCGTATTAGATCACTAAAGTCCTAACGCAAACTGCACCAGGTGTGTGACCCATAGTGCGTGGACTTCAACATGAGCAGTATGATAAATTCATAAGTTTCAAAAAGCGCCCATAAATTATCCATCACATGCCTCTCTAGCACCATATGTAGACCTAGGATCTGTTGTTATAACTGGAAAAAACCCAGACCTTCAGTGTATGTTAATCACCCTCCACAAGGGTGAGGTAGAACACCCCTCATTGACAGCCCTGGTGTCAGGGTCTCCAGGTGCGATTTCAAGTTTGGTTTAGTCGTTGAATGTAGAACACCCCTCATTGACAGCCCTGGTGTCAGGGTCTCCAGGTGCGATTTCAAGTTTGGTTTAGTCGTTGAATGTAGAACACCCCTCATTGACAGCCCTGGTGTCAGGGTCTCCAGGTGCGATTTCAAGTTTGGTTTAGTCGTTGAATGTAGAACACCCCTCATTGACAGCCCTGGTGTCAGGGTCTCCAGGTGCGATTTCAAGTTTGGTTTAGTCGTTGAATGTAGAACACCCCTCATTGACAGCCCTGGTGTCAGGGTCTCCAGGTGCGATTTCAAGTTTGGTTTAGTCGTTGAATGTAGAACACCCCTCATTGACAGCCCTGGTGTCAGGGTCTCCAGGTGCGATTTCAAGTTTGGTTTAGTCGTTGAATGTAGAACACCCCTCATTGACAGCCCTGGTGTCAGGGTCTCCAGGTGCGATTTCAAGTTTGGTTTAGTCGTTGAATGTAGAACACCCCTCATTGACAGCCCTGGTGTCAGGGTCTCCAGGTGCGATTTCAAGTTTGGTTTAGTCGTTGAATGTAGAACACCCCTCATTGACAGCCCTGGTGTCAGGGTCTCCAGGTGCGATTTCAAGTTTGGTTTAGTCGTTGAATGTAGAACACCCCTCATTGACAGCCCTGGTGTCAGGGTCTCCAGGTGCGATTTCAAGTTTGGTTTAGTCGTTGAATGTAGAACACCCCTCATTGACAGCCCTGGTGTCAGGGTCTCCAGGTGCGATTTCAAGTTTGGTTTAGTCGTTGAATGTAGAACACCCCTCATTGACAGCCCTGGTGTCAGGGTCTCCAGGTGCGATTTCAAGTTTGGTTTAGTCGTTGAATGTAGAACACCCCTCATTGACAGCCCTGGTGTCAGGGTCTCCAGGTGCGATTTCAAGTTTGGTTTAGTCGTTGAATGTAGTGGCGCACTAAGTCAGTATTGTCAGTAGTGCTCTTTAAAACAAAAGTAGATGCCATAGTGCTGATTAGGGAAGCTAGAGGGTGCTCACAGTCCATCAGTCTGATTTGATATAATGAACAATTTAAATACCCTGTCATATCCACACTGTATGGCCCCCTTAACACCATGACACACCTGTCACAAATGTGTCAATACCACCTGTGCAAGCATGCAAGCTGTGATGAACATACTTTTTATGAGTTTTTATTAGTAGTATTAGTTCCTTTGTCTTTTATCTAATTTCTAAGCTTTTTCATGGATCGAATCTGGCAAGTGAACCTCAAAATCAAGGTAATCCAAGTCTTTAGTATAGTAAGCTAGATCTAGATAGCTAAATCTAGATCTATCTAGTAGTATTACTCGCTAACCCGGAGACGTGGCAGGTTGTTAACAACAGTATGGCGTACAGACAGGATGAATGACTTCAGACAATTTTTTGTCTTAGTTCCAGTGACCTTCTTAGAATTACTGTTTAAAATGTTTAACACGAGCAAAATGGCGGGGTTTTCGCGTTGTAAAAACAAACCATAGGTGGCAGGGCTATATAAGCCATAAAAGCATTTTAAAATTTAGTTTGGAGAATGAACGCTAAATTCAAAAGTTGGTTTCATTAAATTTAATAGAACTTTTAAAATATCAAAGGTGTAGGTACAAAAATGAGCGAGAATGTAAAGCATTATTAGTTTTATCAGTCTAAGAAAAAAGAAATCAAATTTTGTGAGCTGTTTTTTTTATAAGACCAGCATTCATATCACAACCAATTTATTTATTTTATTTAAAAGCCATTTGGCTCATCAGTAGTGAGGAACTCTGGTGCATAGCCAATTAAAAAGTCGAACCGATTCGTGGTTTGCTGTGGCTTCAGATGTAAGTTATGTTGTCACGGAGAGGTGTGTCGTGCATGGCAGTGAGTGACAATCAATATTAAATTAACCCTAGTTTAAATCAAACTTAAAACTTCAAAATTAGTGACTAATGGATTAATAATGGATGTCTATTATTCAGTGGTCAAGTTTTAAATTGAAAATTGCGTAAATTTTAGATTTAGTGGGAAATCTGGTGATCTATCGCTTTAGGTATGTAAAATCGCCCGTGGCCAGTAATGTACGAAAAAGCCAACTCATTGTCAAGGCTTTAATAGAAGTATATTGTGGTATATTTGTGTCAAATATTATAGATAAATGAATACTAAACCTAAATCAATGACAAAATATATCAATATAGGCCAGAAATTAACTATAAACAGCAGTGTTTGCAAGCAAAATTAGTTATATAAACAGCAGTTATTTGTAAAATAGAGTCGCTTCCCCTGAATCTAACGCTATAAGTTTACAAAAAAAAACTTAAACAAGATGGCTGCTATAGTAAATGAGCATGGTTGCATCTGTTGGAAACATCGCAAGTCTTCATTTATTACTGAGAAGTTTAAATTCAATTGTTTAAAAACAGGTCCATAAATGAAACGAGGAAACATTTTTATTTTTCAAAACATAACTCCTCCTCAAAATGTGAAATAGGACTACTTATTAAAATTTAAGAGTCACTTGTTTTTCTCATTACTAGAGTAAAGTGGCGTCTGCGGACAGTCGTAGCAAAAAAATCGGAAGTGCCGATTTCCATTGAGCGCCATTCAGTAACCGCTTCACATAGAAACAAACCGAAAGTACCGTCTCACTCCGCATTCTTTCTAGTTTAATCACGTCTGATTCATTTTGTATTCATACGCATAGCATTGAATGTATTAACATTTTCAGTGGTGAGACTCTGTGCGGACAGTAAGTGCACTTTTTTTTTACATTTTATTTTCTGTGCGGACACTTGCTCCTTATGCGGACAAGGCATATTTTGTTCATTTTGTTTTTTTTTACATTTTATTTTCTGTGCGGACACTTGCTCCTTATGCGGACAAGGCATATTTTGTTCATTTTGTTTCTATTTAAATGATTGAAATAAACATGTTACATACATAAATAGTGTTGTTGATTGTTTTATATATTAATATATTGGAAAACAAAAAATATGAAGAAATATGAAATAAGTTTTAATTAAATTAAAGTGATGCCTGAAAGAAACTCAGGACCCAGTTGAGATTTTATTTCACTTTTTGCTTAGTAGACACGTTTGATGATCAAAAATATTTTTAAAACCTAAAAACATCACTAAAAACTAATAGATCTAGATTTAGACTTAATTTAAATATAAATCTGGAGAATCAAGATTAGTTTAAAGCTCCTTTTTACTTAAAGTGTAAGAAATATACTCTGATTTTTCATTAGTGTCCGCAAAAGGTTAACCCTCAAAAAAGATGCGGACACCCCAATTTTTCCTCTAAGATGGCTTAAACAACCGTAACTATGATATTTATTAGCTTTTCTTACTAAATCTAGAATTTACCCAAATTTCAAATTAAACATGACTACTGAATGATAGACATCCATATTTAATCCATTAGGGACTAATTTTGAAGTTTTTAGTTCGTTTTAAACTAAATTACTTAATTTAATATTTATTGACACTCACTGCCATGGACAACACATCTCTCCATGACAACTCTTCTTACCCCTGAAGGCACTTGAAGCTAAAGAGAACCACAAATGCGGTTAGACTTTTTAAGTGGCCATGTACCCAGAGTTCCCCACTAGTGATCATCAAATAGCGGTCACGTGGTCAAAAAAATTAAAAAAATTTGGTTGTCATTTTTTGGCCACTCTTATAAAAAAAAGGGTTGACTATATTTGATTTATTTTTTCATAGACTGATAAAACTAATAATGCTTTAGTAGGGAAATCAATTTTGTAATAGGGAAATCTATATTTAAAAAGTTCTAGTATTTTTGATGAAACCAACTTTTAAATTTAGCCTTCATTCTCCAACGCAAATTTTAAAATGCTTTTCTGGCATATATAGCCCTGCCACCTATAGCTTGTTGTTATAACGTGAAAGTCCCGCCATTTTGCGCGTGGTAAACATTTTAAAAACTAATTAGTAGAAGGTCTCTGGAATTTGGCCGAAAAATCATCGGAAGTCAAGCGTCCGGTCCGGGCGCCATATTGTTGTTAGCAACCGGCCACGCCTCCGGGTTAGCGAGAAATACTAATATTTATAGCTTTCTATATATATATATAAGCTATTTATAGTTAACCCAGTTAACTAAGCTATGATTGGTTCGATTTATTCCTCTAATCCGGGGACTAGTGCTCTTCATCCGGGTGAGGTTTCCTACCATAAAACGTCATACATCGCAACTTTGAAAAATTCCAATAATCTCCCTATTGAGTGAAATAGAAGAAATGGACTCAGATGTGTTTAAAAATGGACATGCTTTGTGTTGTTTGCGTTAGTTTCCTATAAAACATTCATACAATTATTGTTTTAAGCGAAAAACAGCAAGGTGTCCGCACAGAGCCGGACAGAGGCAACTGTCCGCAGACGCCACTTTACTCTAGATCTAGATCTAGTCACAGGCGATTTTACGTAGCCTACCTAAAACGATAGATTACCGAAAATCTAGATCTACATCTGAATTTTAGATTCTAGCACTAGATCTAGAATCTAGAGAATCTAGATCTAGCTAGAATAGTAGTCTAGCTAGTGACTAGATCTGCTAGTGACTAGATCTAGATTTTCTAGATCTAGTCTAGATTCTAGCAGCTAGCTAGTCCGAGTAGATTTCTAGATCTAGATCCGTGTCAAAAATTATTTTAAAAATTCATATTTGTGTATACTTGCAATAAGTATATAAACAATCATTAATTAACTTTTACAAATCATTAGTAGTACTCATTAAAAGTATCTGAAGCAAAGTTAGCTGTTTAAAAATGTTTAATAACAGAGTTATTTACTAATTTGTAGATATTACCTGTCCGGCAGCCTCCATTTTGTTATTATTTTGCGAAGCACATACGCATAGAATACGTCTTTATCAGTCTATTGGGTAAAAACGTTGTGGGGTTAATTAATTAATACAATTTGCATATTTTTAAAACAAAGACAAATTAGGGGCCTAGTATAGAGCCTAATAATTTCTATGCTGTTTTATATGTGAACAGGAGAAATTCATTAAAAAAAATAGCAAAAATGGGTCACAAACCTATTTAAATTTTTGCTTAGCTTTCAGTGTACCAGAGTCTATAAATAGTAGGAGTTAGTACCTAAAAATAGTAAAAGTTCTCTGTTTAAAAATCTGTAGCCTAATTTGGTAGATCTAGTGCTTATTTCGGCGAACGGTTGAAGAAATACGCAACCGGCTTAGAATAATTAGATGCTATTACATCCGATCAAAGATCTATAAAAGGAAATATGCACTGTGTTTATTTCATCGACAGGATTTGAGAGGATATGAACACGTTTCGTATTTCCTCTCTCTAAAGTAGTCTAAAGTATGAAATTGTCAAAATAATTAAAATGTAGATCTATGTAGATCTTTAATTTAGATAAAAATATGAATATTTGTTCTAAAAACAAATCTTTCATATTATTTTCTCAGACTATCCCTTAACACATTTCGTTAACCATAAGTTTGATATAAATAACGAAGTGTCTATTTCCAGTCGACTGGGAATAGCCGTATTAGGACTATAAATAATGCACTAAAGATATAGATTCTATATTAAAGCCATATGACAGGTTTCAAACCCAAAACCTTGCTTGATGGCCGCTAACCCATCGATTCTGCCACGCCACGCAGAGCTTAAAAAAATGAAGACAAACAATATATTGAATAAAACAAACTTCTCTTTGAAAAAATCATTAAAATATACATTTCCAAATCAAACATCCGTTTCAAAAATGTTTTAAAATGTTAAGGTTATTAAATATAAATTCTTTTTAAAAGCTTTTATTTAACTTTCTGTCTGTCGTCAGTCTAGAATAGTCTAGATAGAAACGGCGGCCGAGCGAAATGCGCAAGTGGGTCAAGACTTGAAGACAATGCAATCTGACATTAAATTTGACTTAATTGGATGCCGAATTAATTTTTTATGAATTAATTAAAATTTTGTCCAAAGTAGTAGGCAGTCTGATCCAACTATTCGTACTATTATACGCGCTTTGTCATGTTCATTAGGTGAGCAACGATTTTTAGTCATGCATCTCCTAGTAAAGGTATCCAATCAGTGTTTCTTCCAGACAATTTTGTCCGGGGGGGGGGGGGGGTAAGGGGGGGGGGGGGAAAGGGGCACTTCAACTTTTTGGGGGGGGGGGGTGGGGGTTGTACAGACCAGGTAGAGAGTGGACGAATGATGTCTTTGAATGCTGCCCATGTATTTTTCTGTAGCCTATTAATTAGCTAATGAAGTTGGGGGGGGGGGGGGGCGTCACTTGATATTAGCGAGCGCAAAAATGAGTAGAAGCCTTTTGTTTTTGGACTGCATGATATACACAGTCGAATAATACCATTTTACAAATACAACATTTCGCCTTGGCAAAAAGGGTAGGAAAAATATATTTAAAGTTTATTTTAAAATGTATTACTGAATAATACAAAGGAAACATACAGCTAGTATAATACTAATAATTAAGAAGTTATGTTTCTCTGAATTTCAACATTATAGACCCAAAACTTGCGTAAGATTGCTATGGATATTGTTTGTGTACTATATTGTTAGTTCTCCCTAGGCATCCGAATGGGTCGCAGCGCCTCTGCAGGCAGGGGAAATGGCGTTAGGTTAGGCAAAATATTATCTTCGTAAGAAGAAAAGACACCCCACCCCAAGTGATTTCACAAAGTTCGTGACCCCCCCCCCCAACTATTAATTCAAATTACTACTAATATTCTTAAATATATAATGTCATTCACCTTACCAGAATAGTAGTATATTAACGGTTTTATAGAAACTGGACATGAAGTAAGTACCACTTCCGATATCGGAAATCGTTTAAAAGTTGGGGGTCATCCATAAATGACGTCACGCTTTTTTGATGACTTTTACCTCCCCCCTCCCCACCGTCACACATCGTCACAATAAGCCAGACCCCCCCCCCCCCTTTAGAATGACGTACACCTCAGCCTATAACCCCCCACCCCACCCCTCAGAATTGCAAATGAATTTTTTGAAAACATCGGCATTTTTCCAAAATCTTGTCTGGACTGTCAAAATCGAGTATTTTAATCGATTTCTATTACAATTTCTTAAAACAGTTGTCTAAAACGCGAAATAACGTCTAAAATACGTTTTCAAACATTGCTTTTTTACTTTCTCGAATATACGAAGTATATAGAAAGTCTTGTATCGTGCACAAAAATCACATTAAACTTGGACAGTTTTCACCGTTTTACTCCTCAGTCCTTCATCACATCCGGGATGTAGAGGACTTATTTTAATCGGGCAAAAATTATAAATCCAGATATATCAAAATTTTGGCGTTTTATGCGTAATGGAGACGGAAAAACTGGATTATCCAATTCTGTCCGTATGTCTGTGTGTGTGTGTGTGTGTGTGTGTGTGTGTGTGTGCGTGTGCGTGTGCGTGCGTGTGTGCGTGCGTGTGTGTGTGTGTGTGTGTGTAAACACGATAACTTGAGTACCGTTACAGCTACCCAGCTAACACAGTATGTAATACCAGGGTCGGCCCTTCATTGGCCCAATATGGTTATCTTGGCCTTACACTGGACAAGCTTACGCCAGGGTACAGCCAAGATTTGTACATGCTTGCATCCCTTGATATCTTGATATTTAACCGTTTTTACCTTGGCTGCCAAGATTACACTGATTTATGTATTCACTGCAGTAATTTTAGTTAAATATGCTTGTTAAACTTAATATATGTTTGCTAAAATAAGTTATCTTTTAATATCATGCTCTAATTTAAACATAGCATTGATAACAAACTACGTTGCATGTTTTAAACATTTTGTTAAACTTTTTAAAATTGTGTGCGCAACTGCCGCTGGCCCCTCTCGCCCATTGTCCCTTTGTTCACATTCCTTCACATTCCTTCCTATTGTTCGCAAGCCAGCATCCCGGTCCTGCGCCATTTTTCTTAACAAAAGACTTTGTATCCAGTCACAGGAAAACAGGTAGGCCCACTGCAGCCATTTTAGTTCAACAGTGAGAAGCAGTATAACTTTATTTATACAGAATCTGGAAATTTCGTTTTTTTTTTTGTTGGAAACTTCATAAGTCATTCATTAAATAAAAGGTAGTTTATTTGAGGTAATAAAATGTGCCTAGATCTATAATCTATAGGCCCTAGATAGATCTAGATCTATATATTAATAATACTATATTCTGCTTATTTTGGCATTATGCCATTATAGGGTTATCCATAAACGACGTCACGCTTTTTTGGACGATTTTTACCTCTACCTCCCCTCCGTCATACATCGTCACAAAAAGCCAGACCCCCATCCCTAAAATGACGTCACACTTCAGCCTGCAACCCCTCTCAAAATTACAGTTGAATTTTTCTTAATACATCGATATTGTTCCAAAATCTTGTCTGAACTCTGTCTATATATAATAAATATATAGAGTATTTTTATCAATTCCTATTACAATTTATTAAAACAGTTTTCTAAAACCCAATATAACGTCTAAAATTAGTTTTCTAACATGGCTTTTTTATAATGCAAAAGTCACAGTGTGAAGTCGCAACATCTGAACCCCCCCCCCCCCCCTCTCCCCCTCATCACACACCGTCACAAAATTACGCCCCCCCCCTCCCCTACGAGTGTGACGTCATTTATGGACGACCCCTCAGGCCTTAGGCTATAATTAAATTTTACAATAATCTCCTAAATTCTAGACTAAATGATAGATCTAGTTACTAAAAGTTTTAGGATCTAGATCTAGATTAGATCTATGTTTTAAAGGGAACACTATCTAAAAATTAAATCTAAAGTTCTGATTGTCTAATCTAATTCATAATATCTTAAAATGTGGCAGACTCAGAAATGTTAATTTTAGGCTAATTATTTTAGTTATGATCTAGATCTAGATTCTAATACTAAATAACAAAAAATCGTAATTAGAGGGCTGTTAATTTTGTCAGCGTTTTTTGTGTATTGAAAAGTATGCAAGTATGTTTGGGATTATATTGATTATTGATAGATGTATGCATTTTTTGTTTTTCAACTTTAGGTATAATTATCAAGCAATTGGGTGGGGGGGGGGGGGGCTTAAATGTTAATAAATTAATAAATAGGGCCTAATCATTCACTTTAACTTTAAAAAAAAAACAACTGAATTTTATTGTAGTAGGCCTATTTGTGTAAGGATTTGAAACTGTCTTTAATATTAATTCATGGAGAGAGAGAGAGGAACAGTAGACACAATTATAGAACACATTTCTACATGTTAAACAGTGGTATTAATTTTGAAAATAATTAACTTAGTCTAGAATTCTAAATTGATTCAAGATTGTCATTCAAATTCCTATTACTGTTACAGCTTCCTATGGGAGAATAAGATGTAAGATGTGTAAATGGTAGTGTGGAGACCTCAGAGCAACACTTAATTTCATGACCAACAGCGGTAAGGTGGTACTATTCATAAGCTTTACTTATAGATCAACACTACTCCTATTATCATATAGAGGACAGAGTAGTCAAATGGTTGAGGACGCTATTGCTAAACATAAAACCAAGTTAGTAGTACATTCATCTGTGCACCTAACTCTGATATATACCCGATTTAAGACTATGAAATAAAAAGGTGGCTAGATATAGTGCTGACTACACAATCACATAACTTGTCCTATTGCACACGCTAGAAAGGGAACTTGACATTTTTAGACAATCTTATGATACTTATGTACTATAAATAACATGATAGTATCATTTTTGGAGTTTTGTGTAGGATTACGCTTGGTATTGATGTATCGTGTCCACAATTAGTACCTTATTATTAATAGTCTTAAAAATTGAGTATCTAATCTGGCTATCATTTATTGTATTACTCCCTCACTTTATTATTATATTTAATAACTAATAACTAAGAATGCCATTTATTTTCAGGTCTCCAGGTGTTGTGTGTATCAATCAGCCCACTGTATCAATCTTTTAATAAATTATAAGGTCCCCACTGCTTGATACTTCACCAAATACTGGCTACACCAGAAGATGACTAAATGTTCTTAACACTTAACAACTGTAAGTTTACATTGTTTCAAAGTGAATAATAATATTCATTTAGTATTTTTTGCTTGCATTTAATGATCAGCATGTGTAGTTAATGCCTTTACTGATATTAGTAAAATAATTTCAGACCACAAGCATCACTTCTGGGCCACTGAAGGGTCCAATCGTTCAATTACGGAAATGATAAAGTTAATGAAATTGCTCAAAAGTTGTCTGGCACCTTCTTAACTCAGAGACATAGGGTAAGGGGTTTATAATATTTATATACATACTATTTTTTTTTATTACAAGGTCTTTTTTTTCACTCTTGTTTATAAAAATATACAAATAACACACACACACACACACACATATATATATATATATATATATATATATATATATATATATATATATATATATATATATATATATATATATATATATATATATATATATATATATATATATATATATATATGCAGTATAAGTGTACACAGCAAGGAACTGCAGTTCTACTATTAAAATTATATATAGCCACTTTTTATTTACCTGGGTAGCATGAACACCCCAGACCACCAGTCTTTATACCTATATGATATATCGTTACAAAGTAGCAAACATGATGTTAGGGGCTTCTTGTTGTATGTTTAGTGCAGTGCAAAATAAAATAAACATAACAGATGTAGTGCAAAAAGAGCAGTGTATAGTTGTAATTATTTCATAAATGACTTTTAGTGTGTAACTTTTCTTTTTTAGAATGTGGATGGATTATGACATACCTTGCACAAATCAACAACCAGGCTTTTATTGGATTTGAATCCCAAAGGAAAGAGAAAGTCTGTTATCCAAAACAAACATGGAAAATATCAGAAACCAACAAAGCACAAGCAGGCAGAATGTCATGGACCCAACTTTAGGGAATCTCCCAAAACCAAGTATAAAAAGAGAGAGGTGTGGTTGTGTCTCTCAGCTCCACAAGGGTCAACAACATTGATTTTTGTAATAATTTTAGATCAGATTTTCAAATTTTTTTGGATCAGTTGGATCAGGTTAACAGTTTCATACATATTGCATTTAAGTACTTAACGAAAAAGATGCTCTTACCAAAATAGTCTAAGAAAAATGCTGATTTGTAAATTAATAAATTGTTTCCTTTTGTAATAATATAATAATTTAAGTTTGCATTGTATGTATGTTTAGTGTAGATTTAATGCCCTAAATGAAATGCAATATACAATTTACATTTTTTTCTTTAAAGAATTAGTTGCAAATTTCTTTCATTATTTTGTTTCACTGTACAATCTGAAAAAAGTTTGCAACATTTGTATTGACAATACTTCTGCTGGTGATATTTATTTCTAATTAATGAAGTAAATTAATATATATTTAGTTTACTATAATTAAATACCTCACACTCGAGGCAAAAAAACATATTTATTGAATATCGCAGTGATATTCCTGTTCTACATAATGCATATAAACCCTCGAACCATTGGTCTTTTGAAAGATTGTACATTTTGTATACACAATGGCATTCATTTTAACACTATTTAACCACAACTATAATCTAGAGATCCTGAACATATTTTCGTTCTGTTATTTATGGACAAGGCAGACTGGTCCAGCATTAAACTGTAATCTACCTTAATTAGAATACTTAGAATATACAAGCTATGCAAGTAATTGTTTTAGACAAATATTTTATACTTTTTATTTTTAATGTTATGTTTACGTAAGATACTACAAGACAGCTTCTGTATTCTTGTACAGTAAATTAAGTTTTTACATAAGTTTAATTTAAACTGTACTTACCATCTGTTACATTATATGAACATGTTTTGTATATTTGTTTTAATTTGTTTGTATAAAAGTCAAAATGAAAGTTACTACACTATTATTTACATAGTCGTTTTCAATCAATACTTTATAGTATAGTTATAGTTTTCTTACATTTGAATGGATCGTATAATACAGATTTTAATAAATGAGCAGTTTTTGTGAATGTATTGCTGCTTTACTACATTTTGATTAAAATTTCTTTCACATTTTGAAATTAACTTTGTAAATATTATGACTGATGTGAGAATTGATCTTTTTGTATGCTGAAAATCAAAATCTTAGCCAAGATGTAGCCAGGATATAATACAGGCTGAGCCAAGGTATAGCCGAGATAAAGCCATTATTGGGCCAAGATGTAGCCAGGATATAATACAGGATGAGCCAAGGTATAGCCAATATTGGGCCAAGATATAGCCATTATTGAGCCAAGATATAGCCAATATTGGGCCAAGATATAGCCAATATTGAGCCAAGATGTAGCCAATATTGGGCCAAGATGTAGCCAATATTGGGCCAAGATGTAACCATGATATAGCCAATGTTGGGCCAATATGTAGCCGGGATATAGCCAATATTGGGCCAAGATATAGTCAATGTTGGGCCAATATGTAGCAGGGATATAGCCAATGTTGGGCCAATATGTAGCCGGGATATAGCCAATATTTGGCCAAGATCTAGCCAATGTTGGGCCAATATGTAGCCGGGATATAGCCAATATTGTGCCAACATTGCGCCAACATCATGCCGAGTTTCACTACCAATGTTTGGCCAAGGTTAAGCCAATGTTGCACCAAGATGTAGCCAATATTGGTAGCCAATGTTTAGCCAATATTGGGCCAATATATGTGTGCTGACTGGGTAGGTTGATGAAAATTCATATATAAGTATTATATCAAAATCGTAGATCCGTATCAACTTTTGAGCGATTTCCGATAACCGGAATACTATTTCAGACGGATAAATGAAATTTCACATGTAAGTAAAAGATCTAATTCTCTGCCTTCTATCAAATTTTGAGTAATTTCCGTTGACGGGAAGTAATAATTTTCGCTATTTCCGATTTCTCAAAAAACGCATGTGAATTTATAAAGTACTAATAATATTCCGCACTATTTTGCACATTTTATATGACGTTCACTTGGTGTGCAATTCTTTTTTCTACGAGATTTTGTTCTATTTTAAAAAGTTTAAGTATTTAAAATGGATTAAAAGTCTTGTCTATATCCCGAGTTGCCATTCCCTGCTGTTTCATATAAGTCATAAGAACATTCGAGAAATTTTATGCAAAAGTGTGACATCGCACCATCTGAACCCCCCCCCCCCCCCCTTCCCCCTCATCACACACCGTCACAAAATTACGGACCCCCCTCCCCCCTACGAATATGACGTCATTTATGGACGACCCCTTGATACAAACCAACGTAGATCTCAATAGAGACGCCCTACATACGAAATACTGTTCACTGTACTAGGTTATCGTGTTCATGGATATAAAGTATAAAGAAAACCAGAAGGCTATATTGCAAGCTGAGATTTTCCGGATAAAGCGTAAAACGTTTGACAAATCTTGATTTTCCCATTTTTAAAATATTTTTTTGTGTGCATGATTTTTAAATTCCCCCTTATAGATCTAGATTCTAGCTCTACCTCTACTCGGTTTACGGGTTACGGTTTAGGGCCTAGCCTACTGAGAAGTTTGTTATTCAGCGCAGTACTAAAAATAAAAAGCTGCATCGTTGTAGAGGCCAAACAATATAAATAGCCTAATTTAATTTATGGATTTTCATTCTAGTAGTACTAGTATACACACATATTAATTTTGATTATAAATAGCTTAAATTTTGTATTTAGTATAATTATAATGCATAATGCAAGAAAATATTTAGCAGAGAGATAATATTAGATTCGCTGTCAATCAAATTAGGTTTTTTACAACGCCATTTGTAAACTTTCATTTCATGCACAGTCATTTTCTGAGCAAATCCGGCGTTTAGATTAGGTATCTAAGTTAAACCAACTGCATCTAGAACTTATGTAAATTGGATTTCACATACAGTAAGCAAAATAATCTAAGTATCATCAGTGAGCGACTTTCTAGATCTAGATATCTAGATTCTAGAAGCAACAACACAGTGACAACCGACACAGACTTTTACATTTCACAGTCACTGAGTCAGCGATGTACTCGTTGGTACTTCTACATTCTACTGTGACAACTGTAACTCAGTGTTAACACGGGCTTATGTACTAGATTAACAGTAGTAAGAATAACAACTGAGTAAAGTAAAAAGGAGTACACGTATAGTGAGTGAATAGTAATAATAGTAGTGCCCTCAGTCCAGCTTATCAGCTCTTCTTGAAATTTTGATTTAGGCCTAGAGTAAAGTTCGGTAAAACTCCATTTCAGCGTATTTTATTCTCCGTTGCTTGTTTACCTCCAGTTGAGCGTATTTTATTATAATAACCGAAACACACCAAAACATTAGAAAAACACGATTTATTTTTTGTATTGTATTTCTGTTTTCACAAATGAATAAAATGAATGTTTAAAAAACACGACTTATTTATTTGTATTGTATTTTTGTTTTAACAAAAGAATAAAAAACAACAAAGAGACTGAGTGAAGTGCTTTGTTTGTTGGTTACAAAAATAGAGATGCACACTTTGTACAATTAAGTGTTCCAATTTCAACTAAACTGAATAAAAGTATTAAAAGGCACAATGGTGCTGCCGAAAGTGGGCCGAGGGGGGGGGGGGTGGAATTTGGTGAGGGATGGCTTGGAGTGTTAGAGAAAGTGTGACAACTCACGTTGTCATTTTAAAAAAAATAATGTTAGAGGTCGTCCATAAATGACGTCACACTCGTGGGGAGAGGGGGGGGGGGGCGTAATTTTGTGACGGTGTGTGATGAGGAGAGGTTCAGATGGTGCTACGTCATTTTGGGGGGGGGGGGGGTCTTGCTTTTTGTGACGACACGCTTTTTTTTACGAGTTTTACCTCTCCCCTCCCCTCCGTTACACGTCGTCACAAAAAGTCAGACCCCTCTAAAATGACGTCACATCTCAGCCTACAACCTCTGAAACCCCTCCCCCTCATCACACACCGTCACAAAATTGCTGACCCCCCTCTCCCTTACGAGTGTGACGTCATTTATGGACGACCCCACATCAATTTTTTTTTTAAAAGTCAGAAATTTACTCATACAAAAAAAGGAAGGATGGTAGATTTACTATGAATTTAAATAACATACAACTCTATAGTAAAATTTTTTTTTCAGTTTTAGCAAAACTGTCAAATTAAAAAACACAGCGTTTGTACATTTATTGCATAAATACAAAAATATAAAACAGAATGATTAACAGTGTATCAGTTTCACCATGAGACAAATGCCTTTTTTTAAAAAATACAATACAAATAAACAAGTCGTGTTTTTTTAAATATTCATTTTTATTCATTTGCTAAAACAAAAATACAATACAAAATATAAATCGTGTTTTCCTAATGTTTTGGTGTGTTTCGGTTGTTATAATAAAATACGCTCAAGTGGAGGTAAACAAGCAACGGAGAATAAAATACGCTGAAATGGAGTTTTACCTAAAGTTCCACGCGTGGTTAAAACACCGGTGCGGTCATCGCCTGTTTATCGCTTCGTACAATATTTGTTTTGATGTTTTATACGAAACTACCGATATCTGCTGTAAACCTGTCCATTTCTAAATATATCCAGGTCAAATTCTTTTGTTTTTCTCCTTCTGGAAGTCGAGTTTTTAAATTTTAAAGTTTCGAGGTATGACGTCGAAGGCGATTCTAGTTCCCCGTATGAAAAACACTAGGTCCCGGATGAGATGAATAAACCAACCAATCAAAGCTTTTTATAACTAGGTTAACTATAAATAGCTTCTACAATATGTGCGGGACACTGTACATACGATAGATTAGGCTAATAAAGCAACCTGATAGGTGAATAGGGGTGGCCGCAGCATGGGTGTCGATTTGGGTGGTTTCACCGCGCTGCGTAACCAACGACTTGAGCTAGACTAGCCTAGTTCTAGATGCTCTACATTTCAAGCTAAGCCTAGAATCTGTATAATTTCTATTTTTTTCTGCTGTTTTAAATTATTTCGATCATCTACTTCTTCTAAATCTAGTTTGTGTCTCTACATACAAGCATATCTAAGCAAATGTTACGTTATGTCTTGTCAGTGGTTGTTACGTCCCTTTGTTATGATTATTATAGTTGCGTCCCTTGAGTCATCACTGGGTCAACTTTTAATGTCGTTAATTAATTTAATTAACATGTTTTTAATTTGGTTTTAAAATCTATTAATTAATAATACAATCAACAACACGTTTAAAAGTGTAAAATATTTATTTTATTTATTAAACTAGGATTAAAACGTATAAAACACGATCGTTACGCAAGCCGGTTCAGATGGCCGCAGGGAAAAAAAAAGAGGGGAAAAAAATATTGCAAGTAGCACGTCACTAAAACATGAATAGCTCAAATTCAATGCGTAGGAATATAAAATGATTGATACATATTAAGAGTAGAAAGGCAGAGGAATAATATAGTACTTTGGGTTTGTTTCTGTGTTAAACGGTTACAAAATAGCGCCCGATGAAAGTCGGGAGTTCGCTATGTGTGACCGCGCGTGGAACTTTACTCTATGTGTAGTAGATTTTCTTACTAAATCTAGAATTTACCCAAATTTCAAATTAAGCATGACTACTGAATGATAGACATCCATATTTAATCCATTAGGCACTAATTTAGAAGTTTTTGTTAGTTTTAAACTAAATTACTTAATTTAATATTTATTGACACTCACAAAAATGCACAACACACCTCTCCATGACAACTCTTCTTACGCTTGAAGCTAAAGAAAACCACAAATAGATCTAGGTTAGACTTTTTAAGTGGCCATGTACCGGAAGTTCCCCACTAGTGATCATCAAATAGCCATCACGTGGTTTAAAAAAATAAATAAATTTGGTTGTCATTCAAAATTCGTGTCTTATTTTAAAAAGCGCATCCAATATTTGATTTATTTCTCCATATAATGATAAACCTAATAGTTCTATAACCTCCAATTCATTTTTGTGACCTCCGGGCTGATATTTTAGAAGTTCTATTAATTTTAATGAGACCGACTTTTAAATTTAGCCTTCATTCTCCAAAGCAAATTTTAAAATGCTTTTCAGGCATATTTAGCCTTGCCACCTATAGCATGTTTTTATAACGTAAAAACCCGCCATTTTACTCGTGATAATCATTTTTAAAAGTAATTCTAAGAAGGTCTCTGGAACTAAGATGAAAAATCATCGGAAGTCATGCATCCGGTCCGTATGCCATATTGTTGTTTGCAACCGGCCACGCCTCCGGGTTAGCGAGAAATACTAATGTGTAGGCCTAGTAAATCTAAACTAATTTACTGATTATTATATCTACATTAGAATTTCTAAGTATATTTTGATGACTGGACTGTTGGACATATGAACATTTATGATAAGACTCACGGCACTAAAAAAAATCAATAAAAAAACACACAAAAATGAGACATTGAAGTGCTAGATATGTACTAAAATAGTTAGAAGCAATCTGATTGGCTCATATGATACTAGAAAGCCAATCGTGTGGCTTCTACTATCACGACTGACACCCAGCCGATAGATTGGCTGCTCATCTTTTTGGCTATAAAACCAGCGGCCAATCGGCCCAGTCGTCCCAAGGTTAACATTGTTTTAAAAAAATGTACTGGCATTTTTTTAGGTAGTAGCCTAAGAAATGAATTTTTGAGTATTTTATCCCAAAATCATAGGAAGGATTAAGAATTCCATTGGTAGCAAAAATTTATATTTCTAGCTTTAGGGCCCTAATAGAAGAGGAGAAATATATTTTTTTCTATTTAAAATGTACACTCTTATATCAGCTCTGTAAAAAATGAAGCTAGTGGGAAACAAAAATGAAAATTTTATAAAATACGTTTGCAAAATTTTTTTGAATTCTAATGACAAATTATGAAATATGGGTGTTTTTAATGTAAATTTGCATTACATTAATAATTGTGTTAGGTGGTATGCTTTATTTAAAAAAATTTAGGCCTACATTTTTTCTGTGACTAATTATATAGGAAAAAACAACATGGCCAACAGTCAGAATCTTAAAAAAATACATAAAAAATGTATTTGCAAAATTAAATTAAAATTTTCTTGATAAAATAAGAACCACAAGTGGTTTATTTAACTAATTTTGTATACATTTTTGTGCAGGCAATTGTTTAGGCCTAGGCCTTATAGGGCCTATATTAAAATAAAGTTGATTTAGGGCTTATTTTTAACTTATAGGGCCTATTATTTGCATATGGCAGGAAACAGATTCAACTCTCAAACATCTACTTTTAGGGTCGATTTTCGCCAATTTTCAAAGTAACAAATATTGACATATTATATATCAATTTTGTTGCTTAACAATCGAGGAATTCAAAAATATAAAAATTAATAGCACTAGACATTTACATCACGTTCAAAATTTAGATTAACCACACTCACTCAAATGACATTTTTTTTTTACATCTAAATGTAGTAAGGTCTAAAATCCACGAAATTCACAAAATTAACAATATAATTACACAGAAATGTCACTTAGGCATAAATTTATTTGTAATTATGTCAAACTTTACAAAATATACCAGTTTTTAGCTAATTTCTATAATTATTCTTGAAAAAAAAAACGACCGCTATCCCCTTTAAAAAATGTTCAAAATTCTGGCTTTTAAAAACACTCTGGGGAAGAAAAAAATAACAGAGTTAAATATAGAAGGTCTATATAAAAAATATTATTAGTAAAATATGTCTATATGCCAATTTTTATTATAGTTGCAGCATTTACATGGCTAATTATAATTGTTTAGTACTTTATAAATTAATTTAAAGTTACGACTGTCTGTGGCCTCATTCAAATAGTGTGGTGTCAGTGAACAGGGTGTTAGGGCCTGATACGATTTCATTAGAATTGGTAATGAACAGAATGTATCATTAGAACTGGCCTATAAAAACAATGTTGATGATAGATGCAGTAGTTTTAATGCTACTTATAATAGATCAAAATGACAAACATAATTAAAACCTAAGAATCTGGAAGCGGTGACCTCATTTTACTGACACGTTTGTCAAATAGTTAGTAAAATCGATCTAGATCTAGAATCTACGTAATTTTGAAAATATGCTAGATCTAGAAGCAAAATCACTTTTAAAAACTAAAGTTAGTGATTAGTTCTGTAATGAAATTGAAATCCACAGCTAATAATATGTAAGTATCTTTTGATTTAAAAAAAAATACGCGTAGTTCTAAGAAAAAAAATCTCTACGGTGTACTCGATCCCTATCCCAAAACGTGCCAGCCATATCGCATGCGTATTCAGCTACTCAGCTGCTTATCAACTTTTCGAATTTTAAATTTATATAATAAAAGTAGGTCACCCTAAAAAAAAGAGTACAATGGCTCCCGTTTTCACGACAGCCGTCACTCGATTCATAATTTACAGAGTTATAAAGTTCTACTTTCTTTTGGCTATAGATTTGAAGAAATTTAAATTTGTTATTTCTCATGTGTTCCAACAATTGTACCTAATTTTAATAAACATTACATTAGTGAGGACTCGGTTCTTTTTAGGATTAGCCCTCGACACTATACAGACTATTGCGAAGAAACAGACTCGCGCGAATGTCGTGCGTAGGCTGGTTCAGTGGCGAAGGTTAGAAGTCAATTTCAGACGGAAAGTTTTTACTTTGAAATAATTACATTATCAATTAATTTCGATTTAAAACAAATGGCTTAAAGTCAAAAGTAAACTAACATTTAAAAACTTTGTTATTCGCAGTGTACTCAAGATTCTCGTGTTTTAAAGATAAGTCTAGTTTTACTACGTGTGCGTGCATGGTGCGAATACCGATTTTCCGCGACAGAAAATCATTAAAAATTTTAAAAAAGTATCTACGGCAAAATAATTATATTTTACAGAATTAAATAGATTTAACTTAACTGTTATTTAAATACATGCTTCGGAGTAAAAAAATACAATTTTATATCCGTAAAAAATTAACTGAAATTCCCGCTTTCAGCGACGCCGATGTGTCGTAATTTTCGGCAGTCATTTTGTTCAAATTAAAGTAAAAAACGCATTCAAATATACTTTTTTTTACTTTCATAATTTACAGCAATCATTTCTAATGAAAAATCCATAAAAAATAATAGTTATTTTTACAAAATATTATTTCTTACCTTATTAGTGCAGTACACGTACTTTCCAAGTAGATCCATTCCGTCTAGATTTGCATACTTCGCATCCTTCGCCGCGGCACAAAATGTCATAAAAAACGAATTCCACAAAAATGTTGCTAACGAAGCTTGTAAAAACCTTGCTCTATTTATCAATATAAACAAAATCCCCGAACGATGTCTGGTTAGAAAGTTTATGAACGGCGAAGACCGAATATGCATTTTGCGGTACCAATCTGTTTCCTGCCATATTAGTTTTTTTAAAGGCAAAAATGAAAGAAAATGAAAAGTAATTGTACTAGGTTATTGCTGAACCTCAGTAGATATTAAAAATGTGTTTGCTTTTGTATTGGAAATGAATATGATATTAATTTTAACTTAATAAGAGACAGTGGTAAAAAGCAAAATTTAAAAAAACCACTCAAGACCAATCAAGAGCTCTTTGCAGGGTTTTGTACGAAAATTATCTCCCTTAGTCCAAATGCTATATAAGATAAGTCATTAGGTTAGGCCTGATTTAGACTATAAACCAAAAAATGAAATTTTTCTGTGACATAACATACAAGCAAACATTTTTTATAGTTTAGCATTAAAATATTAATGAGATTCAAGGATATCAGCAAAGTTTTTGTTCAACCCATTGAGGAACGACATTTTCAGTTGGAACCAAAACCATTGTTTGGGGGTCAGAGGTTATTTCTGCTCTGTTTTTAGACAACTGGCAATAACATTTTGCTGGATTTTTTTTTCTGTTCATTTTTATATCTTGTAGACCTAATCTAGATCTAGCCTAAAAATTGATGATCTGCAATGCCTATTGTTATTGAATAATGTCACTAGATTGGAGTTGTAAAGTGAAAAGGTTTTTAATACAATCATCACAGAATAATACTTTGGGAGTATTTGTTTTTTTATTGCCACGGCAATAAATTAATGATTAATGGAAACGTCTTATAAATGGGGTGTTAGGTTACTTAAATTATTAATACAACTTGCAAATATAATGCCAGTGCTAACACCTTATCTTTTAATATCTTCGTAGATTTACACCAGTAAGATGTTTCTGACAAGGTCTGAATATGATCGAGGTGTCAATACTTTTTCCCCTGAAGGTCGTCTTTTCCAAGTGGAATATGCAATTGAAGCAATCAAAGTAGGTTTTTATTTATTTTTAATATAGTTACATTATTTCTTTGAAGCAATCAAAGTAAGTTTTTTATTTATTTTTAATATAGTTAAATTATTATTTAGTAATAATATTAGTGTTGTCTGTCATTAAGGATGAATCATTTTTGTAATATGCTGTGTAAACAACTTGATAGTCTACCAAGGATCTTCAATTTTCTCTCTCTCATAGTTGGGGTCTACAGCCATTGGGATACAAACTAGTGAAGGAGTTGTACTTGCGGTAGAAAAAAGAGTTACATCCCCTCTCATAGAAGCTGCAAGCATTGAAAAAATTATGGAGGTTGACAAGCACATTGGTAAGTTTATTTTATATTAACATTTCCTTCTTTTATTTTGATCTTCCAAAAGTGTTTATAAATATCTATGGACTCATTTTGTATTTTTAATTGCAGTGAGTGTTTTTTTTGTAACAATTAAAGTAAAATAGGGCCAGATAAAATAAGGGAGGCCAAACAGAACTATTCATTTGAAATTTTACAATAAGCTAAAGAAATCAATTTAAGAAAAATATTTTCTTTGGCACAATTGTAACACAACTTGTAATTGCCTCTGTCTCAGTTTTGCATTGAACTATTTTTATTAACTAATTAACAGGGTGCGCTATGAGTGGTCTTATTGCTGACTCTAAAACATTGATTGACAAAGCCAGAGTTGAGGCTCAGGTAAGTTACAGTTGTTTGCTTGTTATCTCTGTCTGAGACATCTAACACACAGGTCACACTAATTTAGCTGTCAAAGCCTTCTTCAACCTAAGAATCAAAGAAATAATTTTAGTATTTGTTAACATTTATTGTAACATTCAGTTTGACATAGGCATTAAAGATAGTAGTACATTTAATTTTTTATATTCCAATAACAAATCACTGTACTAGTTATGAATCCAAATGGACAATGTAAATTTGTGTATTGTTTGACATCTGTAGAACCACTGGTTCACCTATAATGAGAAGATGAACATAGAGAGTGTCACACAGGCTGTATCCAATTTAGCCTTGCAGTTTGGTGATGATGACCCTGACCCTGGTGCTATGGTAACTCATTTTTCAGTTTTTTAAAATATTTTTTCCCCTTTGTAATATTTACTTCAATATTAAATATACAATCAATCATTTCTGAAGTATCAAGGTTAAATGCTTCAACGAATACAAAAAGTTTGATAAGAACTAAAAAGCTAGTAAACAAAGTGAAGACATGCTCTTTGTATTAGGTGCTTATACTCTTGCTGTTTTTTTTTGATGTAATTATTGTATAATTTTTGTCTTACAGGGCTTACTGTAGAAGTTTGTTTATTTTTTAATGTAATTCTTGTATAATGTTTGTCTTACAGGGCTTACTGTAGAAGTTTATTTTTTAATGTAATTCTTGTATAATGTTTGTCTTACAGGGCTTACTGTAGAAGTTTATTTTTTAATGTAATTCTTGTATAATGTTTGTCCTACAGAGCCGTCCTTTTGGTGTGGCCTTGTTGTTTGCTGGAATTGATGAGAAAGGTCCACGATTGTAAGAGCTTTGTTTTTTTACTTCTACCTTTTTTCATCTATTTCTTTTAAGTTTGCCCTTTTGCTTTTAAAAAAATAGTTACCTTTTTAAATTTCTAAGCCCAGATGCCTTTACTTAATTACTTTGCCTAATGTGAGTCAGGTACACTGGGTTGTCTCAGAAACATCCTACAAGTTTAACAATGGGATCCAAACTAGATACTTGGGGTTATCAGTCCTGCACCCATTCTTTTGTATTTTTCACTAAATATTTCAAAACTGTTTCCGGTTGTTTGAATAATAATAATAGAAGTGCAAATATTTTCAGATATCACATGGATCCATCTGGCACTTTTATCCAATATGATGCTAAAGCCATAGGGTCAGGATCAGAAGGAGCTCAACAGGCTTTGCAAGAAGCTTTCCATAAGGTAAGACTCTAGTGTGTCTAGGAACACATTGTCACAGAGCTGTTTTAGATTATAAAGGTTTTGTTTGATTAGAAACACTTTGATTTGGTAGCTTATTGGATTGTAACATCATACAATTTTCATCCACACATCATTCTTCTTTGTTCTTAATTATTAGTGTTGAAGGGGATCGAGATTTATCTGCCAGTGGGTTTGAACTCTAGACTTTGTTCGAATTTATCAACCATGAGCCTTTTGCCGACTCGACCACGCCTCCAACACAATTAAGCTTTACGTGTCAACTGGTTATGCGCCATTGAGGCCATTGACTCCGATATCAGTCTGCTTTTCTTGTTGGATTTGCTTCCATAGCCTTTGTCCAACCAAGAACAAACTAGCAGTTGTTTAATTTTGGAGTTGTCTCTCCTAGAAGATTGGCTGTCCCCAGCTAACGAGCCTCATTTGCCCGAGGGTTCGAACTTGAGACTTTTCGGTTTAGCAACCATGAGCTTTACCGACTCGACCACGCCGACCCCCACACCTCATTATATATACAGTATTTGTCTTTTGTTAACCTATGACAACATTTCATTTCTTTTTTGTGAGTCAGTGACTGTATAAATACTTTGCTTTAGCTAGTTATAACTATAGGAATATTTCTCTTTACTAGTCCATGACTCTGAGGGAAGCCTGCAAAGCTTCATTAACAATTCTCAAACAAGTGATGGAGGAAAAACTCAACTCCACAAATGTAGAGGTAAAAGATTTTTTCTAATAATACAGCCATTTCTTAGTTAACTCACCTCCACAAATGTAGAGGTAAAAGATGTTTTCTAATAATACAGCCATTTCTTAGTTAACTCACCTCCACAAATGTAGAGGTAAAGGTTGTTTTCTTTCATAATACATCAATTTTTTAAAGTTACAAATGTGGAGGTAAATCAGAGTTAAATCAGATTTAATTAGGGCATTGGGCAACTACAGTATGTTGCAGTTGATTTTTACATTTTGTGACCCCATTTTATCTAATTAAAAAAAGTCTTCTTAGAAAAGATATAAGCAATAATTAACCCCCATAAATAATTATGAAACTAAGTTGAATAAATCTGATTTATCCAACTGTAGTGAGGTTGTCACTGCTTGAAGTTGATAGTTACTGAGTTATCCAACTGTAGTGAGGTTGTAACTGCTTGAAGTTGATACTTACTGAGTTACCCAACTGTAGTGAGGTTGTCACTGCTTGAAGTTTATAGTTACTGAGTTACCCAACTGTAGTGAGGTTGTAACTGCTTGAAGTTGATAGTTACTGAGTTACCCAACTGTAGTGAGGTTGTCACTGCTTGAAGTTGATAGTTACTGAGTTACCCAACTGTCATCATCATGTTTGCCTGTCGTCCCTACTGGGACATAGGCCGCTGACAAGAGCTTTCCAGACGTCTCTGTCCAGGGCTAGTCTCTCCAACTGTCTCCATCGGGAGATCCATTTTTCCCCTGGTCCGAGCTGTCTTTGTTTCTCTCTGTCTGCGTTTCTGTAGCGGGTAATTTGTTTTACGAGATAAGGTTGCTGACCTTATGCTCAACCCCCAACCTGGAGGACCAGGGTGCTAGCTTTCGTCTGACCCCTACCCGCGCAGACCTTCCCAGCTTGGTTGAACCTGCCAGGAGTTAACACTCCCGCTGGTATAGTTCTGGGGGTCGTCAGGGTACGCAAGCTGCCAAGCCACGACAAGGCCCTAGCACCAGATGACAGTACCCAACTGTAGTGAGGTTGTAACTGCTTGAAGTTGATAGTTACTGAGTTATTCACTTTATTTATTTCTAAGCTGCCCTTTGGTTTCTAATGAATGTATTGAACCGTATAAAATTCATATTGTAAGCAGTTAGTTTGAGATGTTCAAAATGTTAAGGACCCTATTTCAGTGAATACAAATGTCCATTTTTATTTCAGATGTGCACTGTAACCCCCAAAAATTTATTCCGTATGTTTACGAAAGAGGAGTTGGAGAATATCATCAAAGACATTTGAATACTGTTTACTGTTTTTTACTACTGAAAGTTTGATTTCTGTTTTTAATGTTGTGTGGATGTGGAGGCAATACAGGGCTTTTGTGACTTGATTTGCATTAAACAATAAACATTAATAACATGGCTGACCCAGTGTGTTCATCTTATGTTGACCAGTCTGTCCTCATTATCTTACACTCCAGCTAGTATCTGATCTAACTCAGATTATACACACCACTTAATTATTTACACTCCTGTGCTAAACTTGGTGGAAAAAAAACATCAAAATAAGATTGTTAATCCTGAAAACACTCTGCTGACCGATAATGCTGGTTCTCACACTGGCTATAAAATAATTTGGTTTTTATTAAGGAAGTTTTACATAAGGGGTAAGAGATTGTAGCTGTGGATACTGACGACTATACAAGAACTACTTCATTAATCAGTCATTTCACAGTTGCTTAAATCACTTTTTGTGGGCATGAGTCATGTATACTTTGAGCTTTCTCCTATATTATGACACACCTAAATTATAAACCCATTAGAAACAGTTTTTATTAAAATTGTTTCTATTTTGATTCTATTCAGTAATTATTCAAACTAACATACCATATGAGAATATCATGAATGGGAAATGACCCTGAATTATTATGCTTTATAGTAAGAAATAAATCTCTATAACATGTGGAAATAAAGTCATGAAATGTACTAGACTTTTTTATATCGATGGAAGTAATGAGCGACATAATGAAAAAACTGAAAAAATAAACTACATGTTAAAACACTTTATTTTAGTTGAAAGGACATCAACTTTAATTAAGTCAACAATTCTGTCTTAATGTCTATAACTAAAGTAAAATCTCTGTATAAATACTCAATTCAATATAAAGTCAAGATAATGTAATGGTGTGTAAAATTAAATTCATCAAGTAAAATATGTATATATATATACTTACTACATTCACTTAAGTCGCAGCTATTGTAATTTAACATTCAAGTTGACAAGATGTAGTGACATGTATCCAAAGTTTAGAAAGGGATCCCTTACTGAATCATGTAGACTAAGCTAACAACATAACTTGCTGCTACACAACACCAGTACTGACTTAATGAAGTTGTTAGCTAGATTATACAGAGTTTTTTTCTGTACAGATCTACTACTTCAGTGTATGGCTTACAACCAAACAATTCAGCTAAACTACAGCTAAATCAGTTTCACACCATCGTACTTCCCTACCACATCAATAACTAGCAACATTTGTTTCATGAGATGTCATTAAAAAGTCAATATTAAGCTCCCACTTGATCGTGGCAGTTGAAACAAATTTTCTCATAGAATAGGAACGGCTACTCATATTAACGGTTTACTGTGAACAAGTTAATAAATGAGTAGTTTCCCTTTGCTCGAAATGTAAAAAACCAACACAATTCACAATCAATAATTACGTGAGTTCATGTGTACAACTATTTAATATAGTTACCCATCATTTACGAAACTTAGCACACATGAGTTATTAGTTAGTTATTGGCAATAATGTTATATTTATAGATTAAAAAAAAACCCATAATAATAAGCAAACTAGTTCTAATAATCTAATTTTGGCTTTACCACTAGGAAAAAGTCTACATATCTTTTCGATTTTGAAACCTGTCTTTTGTCGGACCAACGTACAGATAGTCCAGGACCAGGGTAATATGGTCATTTAAAACATACATTTCTCCAAAACAACTTAAGCTTTATTGTATTGGGCATTTGTCAAATCAGCATAATCTGATACATTCTAAACACAAAATACACAGAATGTACACTGACGTGAGGTGTCATTAATACATATAATACATGTAATTCAATGAATATATATATATATATATATATATATATATATATATATATATATATATATATATATATATATATATATATATATATATATATATCCATATATGAAGTGAGCACTGTGTGTCGAGTCAATGTGATGACCTGCCAGTGCCAGGATCAGAGCAAACAACAACAACTAGACTTGGGTTTCTCCAATGACTTCCCCATCTCCACGATCGTGTTGAAGAGTTTTCTCCAAGCGCGGACCTCCTCGCCGTTCTCGTCAACCTTCAGCTTGGGCACGATAAAAAGGTGGAACTTGTCCCGGAATTGCTGGGGAAAGAGAACAAAAAGGTGGAACTTGTCCCGGAATTGCTGGGGAGAGAGAACAAAAAGGTGGAACTTGTCCCAGAATTGCTGAGGAAAGAGAACAAAAAGGTGGAACTTGTCCCGGAATTGCTGGGGAAAGAGAACAAAAAGGTGGAACTTGTCCCGGAATTGCTGGGGAAAGAGAACAAAAAGGTGGAACTTGTCCCGGAATTGCTGGGGAAAGAGAACAAAAAGGTGGAACTTGTCCCGGAATTGCTGGGGAGAGAGAGAACAAAATGCTGGAACTTGTCCCGGAATTGCTGGGGAAAGAGAACAAAAAGGTGGAACTTGTCCCGGAATTGCTGGGGAAAGAGAACAAAAAGGTGGAACTTGTCCCGGAATTGCTGGGGAAAGAGAACAAAAAGGTGGAACTTGTCATGGAATAGCTGGGGAGAGAGAGAACAAAAAGGTGGAACTTGTCATGGAATAGCTGGGGAGAGAGAGAACAAAAAGGTGGAACTTGTCCCAGAATTGCTGAGGAAAGAGAACAAAAAGGTGGAACTTGTCATGGAATAGCTGGGGAGAGAGAGAACAAAAAGGTGGAACTTGTCCCAGAATTGCTGAGGAAAGAGAACAAAAAGGTGGAACTTGTCATGGAATAGCTGGGGAGAGAGAGAACAAAAAGGTGGAACTTGTCCCAGAATTGCTGAGGAAAGAGAACAAAAAGGTGGAACTTGTCCCAGAATTGCTGGTGAAAGAGAACAAAAAGGTGGAACTTGTCATGGAATAGCTGGGGAAAGAGAACAAAATGGTGGAACTTGTCCCGGAATTGCTGGGGAAAGAGAACAAAAAGATGGAACTTGTCCCGGAATTGCTGGGGAGAGAGAGAGAGAACAAAAAGGTGGAACTTGTCATGGAATAGCTGGGGAGAGAGAGAACAAAAAGGTGGAACTTGTCATGGAATAGCTGGGGAGAGAGAGAACAAAAAGGTGGAACTTGTCCCGGAATTGCTGGGAAAAGAGAACAAAAAGGTGGAACTTGTCCCGGAATTACTGGGGAAAGAGAACAAAAAGGTGGAACTTGTCCCGGAATTGCTGGGGAAAGAGAACAAAAAGGTGGAACTTGTCCCGGAATTGCTGGGGAAAGAGAACAAAAAGGTGGAACTTGTCCCGGAATTGCTGGGGAAAGAGAACAAAAAGGTGGAACTTGTCCCGGAATTGCTGGGGAAAGAGAACAAAAAGGTGGAACTTGTCCCGGAATTGCTGGGGAAAGAGAACAAAAAGGTGGAACTTGTCATGGAATAGCTGGGGAGAGAGAGAACAAAATGCTGGAACTTGTCCCGGAATTGCTGGGGAAAGAGAACAAAAAGGTGGAACTTGTCCCGGAATTGCTGGGGAAAGAGAACAAAAAGGTGGAACTTGTCCCGGAATTGTTGGGGAGAGAGAGAACAAAAAGGTGGAACTTGTCCCGGAATTGCTGGGGAAAGAGAACAAAAAGGTGGAACTTGTCCCGGAATTGCTGGGGAAAGAGAACAAAAAGGTGGAACTTGTCCCGGAATTGCTGGGGAAAGAGAACAAAAAGGTGGAACTTGTCCCGGAATTGCTGGGGAAAGAGAACATAAAGGTGGAACTTGTCCCGGAATTGCTGGGGAAAGAGAACAAAAAGGTGGAACTTGTCCCAGAATTGTTGGGGAGAGAGAGAACAAAATGCTGGAACTTGTCCCGGAATAGCTGGGGAGAGAGAGAACAAAATGCTGGAACTTGTCCCGGAATAGCTGGGGAAAGAGAACATAAAGGTGGAACTTGTCATGGAATAGCTGGGGAGAGAGAGAACAAAAAGGTGGAACTTGTCATGGAATAGCTGGGGAGAGAGAGAACAAAAAGGTGGAATTTGTCATTGAATAGCTGGGGAGAGAGAGAACAAAAAGGTGGAACTTGTCCCGGAATTGCTGGGGAAAGAGAACATAAAGGTGGAACTTGTCATGGAATAGCTGGGGAAAGAGAACATAAAGGTGGAACTTGTCATGGAATAGCTGGGGAGAGAGAGAACAAAAAGGTGGAACTTGTCCCGGAATTGCTGGGGAAAGAGAACATAAAGGTGGAACTTGTCATGGAATAGCTGGGGAGAGAGAGAACAAAAAGGTGGAAGTTGTCATGGAATAGCTGGGGAGAGAGAGAACAAAAAGGTGGAACTTGTCCCAGAATTGCTGAGGAAAGAGAACAAAAAGGTGGAACTTGTCCCAGAATTGCTGAGGAAAGAGAACATAAAGGTGGAACTTGTCCCGGAATTGCTGGGGAAAGAGAACAAAAAGGTGGAACTTGTCCCAGAATTGCTGAGGAAAGAGAACAAAAAGGTGGAACTTGTCCCGGAATTGCTGGGGAAAGAGAACAAAATGGTGGAACTTGTCCCGGAATTGCTGGGGAAAGAGAACAAAAAGGTGGAACTTGTCCCGGAATTGCTGGGGAAAGAGAACAAAAAGGTGGAACTTGTCCCGGAATTGCTGGGGAAAGAGAACAAAAAGGTGGAACTTGTCCCGGAATTGCTGGGGAAAGAGAACAAAAAGGTGGAACTTGTCCCGGAATTGCTGGGGAAAGAGAACAAAAAGGTGGAACTTGTCCCGGAATTGCTGGGGAAAGAGAACAAAAAGGTGGAACTTGTCCCGGAATTGCTGGGGAAAGAGAACAAAAAGATGGAACTTGTCCTGGAATTGCTGGGGAAAGAGAACAAAAAGGTGGAACTTGTCCCAGAATTGCTGAGGAAAGAGAACAAAAAGGTGGAACTTGTCCTGGAATTGCTGGGGAAAGAGAACAAAAAGGTGGAACTTGTCCCAGAATTGCTGAGGAAAGAGAACAAAAAGGTGGAACTTGTCCCGGAATTGCTGGGGAAAGAGAACAAAAAGGTGGAACTTGTCCCGGAATTGCTGGGGAAAGAGAACAAAATGGTGGAACTTGTCCCGGAATTGCTGGGGAAAGAGAACAAAAAGGTGGAACTTGTCCCGGAATTGCTGGGGAGAGAGAACAAAAAGGTGGAACTTGTCCCGGAATTGCTGGGGAAAGAGAACAAAAAGGTGGAACTTGTCCCGGAATTGCTGGGGAAAGAGAACAAAAAGGTGGAACTTGTCCTGGAATAGCTGGGGAAAGAGAACATAAAGGTGGAACTTGTCATGGAATAGCTGGGGAGAGAGAGAACAAAAAGGTGGAACTTGTCATGGAATAGCTGGGGAGAGAGAGAACAAAAAGGTGGAACTTGTCATGGAATAGCTGGGGAGAGAGAGAACAAAAAGGTGGAACTTGTCCCGGAATTGCTGGGGAGAGAGAGAGAGAACAAAAAGGTGGAACTTGTCATGGAATAGCTGGGGAGAGAGAGAACAAAAAGGTGGAACTTGTCATGGAATAGCTGGGGAGAGAGAGAACAAAAAGGTGGAACTTGTCCCGGAATTGCTGGGGAGAGAGAACAAAAAGGTGGAACTTGTCCCGGAATTGCTGGGGAAAGAGAACAAAAAGGTGGAACTTGTCCCGGAATAGCTGGGGAGAGAGAGAACAAAAAGGTGGAACTTGTCCCAGAATTGCTGAGGAAAGAGAACAAAAAGGTGGAACTTGTCCCAGAATTGCTGGTGAAAGAGAACAAAAAGGTGGAACTTGTCATGGAATAGCTGGGGAAAGAGAACAAAATGGTGGAACTTGTCCCGGAATTGCTGGGGAAAGAGAACAAAAAGATGGAACTTGTCCCGGAATTGCTGGGGAGAGAGAGAGAGAACAAAAAGGTGGAACTTGTCATGGAATAGCTGGGGAGAGAGAGAACAAAAAGGTGGAACTTGTCATGGAATAGCTGGGGAGAGAGAGAACAAAAAGGTGGAACTTGTCCCGGAATTGCTGGGAAAAGAGAACAAAAAGGTGGAACTTGTCCCGGAATTACTGGGGAAAGAGAACAAAAAGGTGGAACTTGTCCCGGAATTGCTGGGGAAAGAGAACAAAAAGGTGGAACTTGTCCCGGAATTGCTGGGGAAAGAGAACAAAAAGGTGGAACTTGTCCCGGAATTGCTGGGGAAAGAGAACAAAAAGGTGGAACTTGTCCCGGAATTGCTGGGGAAAGAGAACAAAAAGGTGGAACTTGTCCCGGAATTGCTGGGGAAAGAGAACAAAAAGGTGGAACTTGTCATGGAATAGCTGGGGAGAGAGAGAACAAAATGCTGGAACTTGTCCCGGAATTGCTGGGGAAAGAGAACAAAAAGGTGGAACTTGTCCCGGAATTGCTGGGGAAAGAGAACAAAAAGGTGGAACTTGTCCCGGAATTGTTGGGGAGAGAGAGAACAAAAAGGTGGAACTTGTCCCGGAATTGCTGGGGAAAGAGAACAAAAAGGTGGAACTTGTCCCGGAATTGCTGGGGAAAGAGAACAAAAAGGTGGAACTTGTCCCGGAATTGCTGGGGAAAGAGAACAAAAAGGTGGAACTTGTCCCGGAATTGCTGGGGAAAGAGAACAAAAAGGTGGAACTTGACCCGGAATTGTTGGGGAGAGAGAGAACAAAATGCTGGAACTTGTCCCGGAATAGCTGGGGAAAGAGAACATAAAGGTGGAACTTGTCCCGGAATTGCTGGGGAAAGAGAACAAAAAGGTGGAACTTGTCCCAGAATTGTTGGGGAGAGAGAGAACAAAATGCTGGAACTTGTCCCGGAATAGCTGGGGAGAGAGAGAACAAAATGCTGGAACTTGTCCCGGAATAGCTGGGGAAAGAGAACATAAAGGTGGAACTTGTCATGGAATAGCTGGGGAGAGAGAGAACAAAAAGGTGGAACTTGTCATGGAATAGCTGGGGAGAGAGAGAACAAAAAGGTGGAATTTGTCATTGAATAGCTGGGGAGAGAGAGAACAAAAAGGTGGAACTTGTCCCGGAATTGCTGGGGAAAGAGAACATAAAGGTGGAACTTGTCATGGAATAGCTGGGGAAAGAGAACATAAAGGTGGAACTTGTCATGGAATAGCTGGGGAGAGAGAGAACAAAAAGGTGGAACTTGTCCCGGAATTGCTGGGGAAAGAGAACATAAAGGTGGAACTTGTCATGGAATAGCTGGGGAGAGAGAGAACAAAAAGGTGGAAGTTGTCATGGAATAGCTGGGGAGAGAGAGAACAAAAAGGTGGAACTTGTCCCAGAATTGCTGAGGAAAGAGAACAAAAAGGTGGAACTTGTCCCAGAATTGCTGAGGAAAGAGAACATAAAGGTGGAACTTGTCCCGGAATTGCTGGGGAAAGAGAACAAAAAGGTGGAACTTGTCCCAGAATTGCTGAGGAAAGAGAACAAAAAGGTGGAACTTGTCCCGGAATTGCTGGGGAAAGAGAACAAAATGGTGGAACTTGTCCCGGAATTGCTGGGGAAAGAGAACAAAAAGGTGGAACTTGTCCCGGAATTGCTGGGGAAAGAGAACAAAAAGGTGGAACTTGTCCCGGAATTGCTGGGGAAAGAGAACAAAAAGGTGGAACTTGTCCCGGAATTGCTGGGGAAAGAGAACAAAAAGGTGGAACTTGTCCCGGAATTGCTGGGGAAAGAGAACAAAAAGGTGGAACTTGTCCCGGAATTGCTGGGGAAAGAGAACAAAAAGGTGGAACTTGTCCCGGAATTGCTGGGGAAAGAGAACAAAAAGATGGAACTTGTCCTGGAATTGCTGGGGAAAGAGAACAAAAAGGTGGAACTTGTCCCAGAATTGCTGAGGAAAGAGAACAAAAAGGTGGAACTTGTCCTGGAATTGCTGGGGAAAGAGAACAAAAAGGTGGAACTTGTCCCAGAATTGCTGAGGAAAGAGAACAAAAAGGTGGAACTTGTCCCGGAATTGCTGGGGAAAGAGAACAAAAAGGTGGAACTTGTCCCGGAATTGCTGGGGAAAGAGAACAAAATGGTGGAACTTGTCCCGGAATTGCTGGGGAAAGAGAACAAAAAGGTGGAACTTGTCCCGGAATTGCTGGGGAGAGAGAACAAAAAGGTGGAACTTGTCCCGGAATTGCTGGGGAAAGAGAACAAAAAGGTGGAACTTGTCCCGGAATTGCTGGGGAAAGAGAACAAAAAGGTGGAACTTGTCCTGGAATAGCTGGGGAAAGAGAACATAAAGGTGGAACTTGTCATGGAATAGCTGGGGAGAGAGAGAACAAAAAGGTGGAACTTGTCATGGAATAGCTGGGGAGAGAGAGAACAAAAAGGTGGAACTTGTCATGGAATAGCTGGGGAGAGAGAGAACAAAAAGGTGGAACTTGTCCCAGAATTGCTGAGGAAAGAGAACAAAAAGGTGGAACTTGTCATGGAATAGCTGGGGAAAGAGAACAAAATGGTGGAACTTGTCATGGAATAGCTGGGGAAAGAGAACAAAATGGTGGAACTTGTCATGGAATAGCTGGGGAAAGAGAACAAAAAGGTGGAACTTGTCATGGAATAGCTGGGGAGAGAGAGAACAAAAAGGTGGAACTTGTCATGGAATAGCTGGGGAAAGAGAACAAAATGGTGGAACTTGTCATGGAATAGCTGGGGAGAGAGAACATAAAGGTGGAACCTGTCTGCAAAATGTCTGCTTCCAACAAAAGGTGTGCTAACAAAATGTCTGCCAACGCAAGAGCTAAAGGCCTAGGTCAGACGACTGACCTCAAAATACGAGATCGAGACGGGGTTGACCCTCCTGTCGACGTGAAACGTGATGAGGTCCAGCAGTTTGATCTCCAGACGAGAAGGCTGACCGAGGAGGTTGACCAGCTCCTGCAAGCTGATGACGATGGCGTGCGAGTGGTTGACGAAACGCTCGTCCTGTGCCATCTGGTCTAGCGGCATGTTCTTGAACATCTTGAAGAATTCCCGCATGCCGTTGATGTCAGACATCATCCTGTGGAGAGAAATCTAAAACCTCTTCAAGACATGTTTACGTTCTCTAATGTCAATTCATGTTTACACGGGAGTATATGAAGAAAAGAATTGTGATCCATTCAATAGCACCCACACATGAAATGTGATATGAAACAGCACCCACACATGAAATGTGATATGAAACAGCACCCAAACATGAAATGTGATATGAAAAACAGCACCCAAACATGAAATATGATATGAAACAGCGACCACACATGGAATGTGATATGAAACAGCGACCACACATGACATGTGATATGAAACAGCACCCAAACACGACATGTGATATGAAACAGCACCCACACATTGAATGTGATATAAAAACACCACCACACATGCAATGTGATGTAAACAGCACCTACCACAACAACAAGTCGTGCGCAAGTTTTTCTCTTCCGTTCTCCATCAAGTCTGCCCATGATCGCGTGATGACAAATCTCTCTCTAAAGGACAGAAATGTTTGTGTACAGTTGTAAATAGATATGAAAACAGACTTGACAGACCGGCTACTATATACAGATCTGTCTGTACAATAGTTTTGGAAAGACAGGGCAGTAGATTTAAGACATCTCCACATTAACACCGACATCTCCACATTAACACCTGAACATTAACACCGACACCTCCACATTAACACTGACAACTCCACATTAACACCTGAACATTAACACCGACACCTCCACATTAACACCGACATCTCCAAATTAACACCTCCACATTAACACCTTCACATTAACACCTTCACATTAACACCGACACCTCCACATTAACACCTTCACATTAACACCGACACCTCCAAATTAACACCTTTACATTAACACCTCCACATTAACACCTCCACATTAACACCTTCACATTAACACCTCTACATTAACACCTCCACATTAACACCTCCACATTAACACCTCCACATTAACACCTTCACATTAACACCTCCACATTAACACCTTCACATTAACACCGACACCTCCACATTAACACCTCTACATTAACACCTCTACATTAACACCTCCACATTAACACCTCCACATTAACACCTCCACATTAACACCTTCACATTAACACCGACACCTCCACATTAACACCTCCACATTAACACCTCCAGATTAACACCTCCACATTAACACCTCCACATAAACACCTCCACATTAACACTGTCCCTACACTGTGGCCCTCCACTGTCCCTACACTGTGGCCCTCCACCGTGGCCCTCCACTGTCCCTGATTGTGGCCCTCCACTGGCCCTACACCGTGGCCCTCCACTGTCCCTACACTGTGGCCCTACACTGTGGCCCTCCACTGTCCCTACATTGTGGCCCTCCACTGTCCCTACACTGTGGCCCTCCACTGTCCCTACGCTGTGGCCCTCCACTGTCCCTACACTGTGGCCCTCCACTGTCCCTACACTGTGGCCCTCCACTGTCCCTGATTGTGGCCCTCCACTGTCCCTACACTGTGGCCCTCCACTGTCCCTACACTGTGGCCCTCCACTGTCCCTACACTGTGGCCCTCCACTGTCCCTGATTGTGGCCCTCTACTGTCCCTACACTGTGGCCCTCCACTGTCCCTACACTGTGGCCCTCCACTGTCCCTGATTGTGGCCCTCCACTGTCCCTACACTGTGGCCCTCCACTGTCCCTACACTGTGGCCCTCCACTGTCCCTACACTGTGGCCCTCCACTGTCCCTGATTGTGGCCCTCTACTGTCCCTACACTGTGGCCCTCCACTGTCCCTACACTGTGGCCCTCCACTGTCCCTACACTGTGGCCCTCCACTGTCCCTACACTGTGGCCCTCCACTGTCCCTACACTGTGGCCCTCCACTGTCCCTACACTGTGGCCCTCCACTGTCCCTACACTGTGGCCCTCCACTGTCCCTGACTGTGGCCCTCCACTGTCCCTACACTGTGGCCCTCCACTGTCCCTACACTGTGGCCCTCCACTGTCCCTACACTGTGGCCCTCCACTGTCCCTACACTGTGGCCCTCCACTGTCCCTACACTGTGGCCCTCCACTGTCCCTGATTGTGGCCCTCCACTGTCCCTGATTGTGGCCCTCCACTGTCCCTACACTGTGGCCCTCCACTGTCCCTACACTGTGGCCCTCCACTGTCCCTACGCTGTGGCCCTCCACTGTCCCTACACTGTGGCCCTCCACTGTCCCTGATTGTGGCCCTCCACTGTCCCTACACTGTGGCCCTCCACTGTCCCTACACTGTGGCCCTCCACTGTCCCTGACTGTGGCCCTCCACTGTCCCTGACTGTGGCCCTCCACTGTCCCTACATTGTGGCCCTCCACTGTCCCTACACTGTGGCCCTCCACTGTCCCTGATTGTGGCCCTCCACTGTCCCTACACTGTGGCCCTCCACTGTCCCTGATTGTGGCCCTCCACTGTCCCTACACTGTGGCCCTCCACTGTCCCTACATTGTGGCCCTCCACTGTCCCTACACTGTGGCCCTCCACTGTCCCTACACTGTGGCCCTCCACTGTCCCTACACTGTGGCCCTCCACTGTCCCTGATTGTGGCCCTCCACTGTCCCTACACTGTGGCCCTCCACTGTCCCTACATTGTGGCCCTCCACTGTCCCTGATTGTGGCCCTCCACTGTCCCTACACTGTGGCCCTCCACTGTCCCTACACTGTGGCCCTCCACTGTCCCTACACTGTGGCCCTCCACTGTCCCTACACTGTGGCCCTCCACTGTCCCTACACTGTGGCCCTCCACTGTCCCTGACTGTGGCCCTCCACTGTCCCTGATTGTGGCCCCCTACTGTCCCTACACTGTGGCCCTCCACTGTCCCTACACTGTGGCCCTCCACTGTCCCTACACTGTGGCCCTCCACTGTCCCTACATTGTGGCCCTCCACTGTCCCTACACTGTGGCCCTCCACTGTCCCTGATTGTGGCCCTCCACTGTCCCTACATTGTGGCCCTCCACTGTCCCTACACTGTGGCCCTCCACTGTCCCTACACTGTGGCCCTCCACTGTCCCTACACTGTGGCCCTCCACTGTCCCTGATTGTGGCCCTCCACTGTCCCTACACTGTGGCCCTCCACTGTCCCTGATTGTGGCCCCCTACTGTCCCTACACTGTGGCCCTCCACTGTCCCTACACTGTGGCCCTCCACTGTCCCTACACTGTGGCCCTCCACTGTCCCTACACTGTGGCCCTCCACTGTCCCTGATTGTGGCCCTCTACTGTCCCTACACTGTGGCCCTCCACTGTCCCTACACTGTGGCCCTCCACTGTCCCTACACTGTGGCCCTCCACTGTCCCTGATTGTGGCCCTCCACTGTCCCTACACTGTGGCCCTCCACTGTCCCTGATTGTGGCCCCCTACTGTCCCTACACTGTGGCCCTCCACTGTCCCTACACTGTGGCCCTCCACTGTCCCTACACTGTGGCCCTCCACTGTCCCTACACTGTGGCCCTCCACTGTCCCTGATTGTGGCCCTCCACTGTCTCTACACCGTGGCCCTCCACTGTCCCTACACTGTGGCCCTCCACTGTCCCTACACTGTGGCCCTCCACTGTCCCTACACTGTGGCCCTCCACTGTCCCTGACTGTGGCCCTCCACTGTCCCTGACTGTGGCCCTCCACTGTCCCTACATTGTGGCCCTCCACTGTCCCTACACTGTGGCCCTCCACTGTCCCTGACTGTGGCCCTCCACTGTCCCTACACTGTGGCCCTCCACTGTCCCTACACTGTGGCCCTCCACTGTCCCTACACTGTGGCCCTCCACTGTCCCTACACTGTGGCCCTCCACTGTCCCTACACTGTGGCCCTCCACTGTCCCTACACTGTGGCCCTCCACTGTCCCTGATTGTGGCCCTCCACTGTCCCTGACTGTGGCCCTCCACTGTCCCTACACTGTGGCCCTCCACTGTCCCTACACTGTGGCCCTCCACTGTCCCTACACTGTGGCCCTCCACTGTCCCTACACTGTGGCCCTCCACTGTCCCTGATTGTGGCCCTCCACTGTCTCTACACCGTGGCCCTCCACTGTCCCTACACTGTGGCCCTCCACTGTCCCTACACTGTGGCCCTCCACTGTCCCTGACTGTGGCCCTCCACTGTCCCTGACTGTGGCCCTCCACTGTCCCTACATTGTGGCCCTCCACTGTCCCTACACTGTGGCCCTCCACTGTCCCTACACTGTGGCCCTCCACTGTCCCTACACTGTGGCCCTCCACTGTCCCTGACTGTGGCCCTCCACTGTCCCTGACTGTGGCCCTCCACTGTCCCTGACACCTCCACATTAACACCTCCACATTAACACTGTCCCTACACTGTGGCCCTCCACTGTCCCTACACTGTGGCCCTCCACTGTCCCTACACTGTGGCCCTCCACTGTCCCTACACTGTGGCCCTCCACTGTCCCTGACTGTGGCCCTCCACTGTCCCTGATTGTGGCCCTCCACTGTCCCTACATTGTGGCCCTCCACTGGCCCTACACCGTGGCCCTCCACTGTCCCTACACTGTGGTCCTCCACTACAGCCAAAAGAACCACTAACCACACACGAGCCCACCTTGAAGTTAGCCCTGTCAGGGGACATAGTTCTGGACCCTCGGCTGGGAACAAGCTGTTGCGGTGTATGCGGTTTTTAGACGGCACTCGATTCTCCTCGATGGCCATTCTAAACCACAGAGAGATTGATTCAATGATACAAACAGCTGGCAACAAGACACTAAGGCAGTATATTTTAGCTAGCGGACGTAAATATTAGGGAATATTGGGCTACTCAAGACAGTGCTAGCTCAGAAATAACTCATTAATAAGGATAACCCATTAATGCCTAAGATTTATATATATATATATATATATATATATATATATATATATATATATATATATATATATATATATATATATATATATATATATAATGTATTTAACATCTGGATCTAACCGTAACCCTGAGCTTAATTAAAACCAAAAACTACATCAAACACTAACAATATTTAAATAATACGATTTTATATAATTATTTTTTTCTTTTTTTCTTTGAACATTTTTTAAAAACTAAAAGCATTTTCAATATTGTGAATGTATAACTCTAAACGTTTTCTTACCAGATGAATTAAGATCCTAAATGACTGCCAGTTGATGGATGGACTTAGGCCGATGATAAACATTCCTTATTTAAGACATCGAATACGATTTTGTTATTCCTCCATGAAGATAGTACTTTCTTTTCCATTGTTTTTCTTGATTCTTGTTTTTATTTACATCCCCTAAAGGCTATTTATAGCATCACTCTTTGATTGGACTTCCCTGTTTACAATGCCAAATTTCCAATACCAAATCAGGCGGCGTGCAAACATAGAGAGTTTTCTCTAGTTAGACTATGGTAGAAGTCATATTTTTGTCACTAAAATTGTTAAGTCAAAAAGAATGTAGAAATAGTCAGTAGTTAGTCAACAGGAAAGCCAAAATACAGAAGAAAAAGGAAAAAAAAGGAATAAAAAAGACAATAGTAAAAAGCAGCGAGTAAAAAAAAAGGAATTTCAATAGGATAGAATAACGAGAATATGTTCACAAGATGTCCTAAAAATAATGGCTAGAGGTACTCAATCTTAAAACTTAGGCCACACAGCGACACACTTGAAAAATCTGGCACAGCCACACCCTTGAAAAATCTGGCACAGCCACACACCTGTAAAATCTGGAACAGCCACACACCTGAAAAATCTGGAACAGCCCCACACCTGAAAATTCTGGCACAGCCACACACTTGAAAAATTTGGAACAGCCCCACACCTGAAAAATCTGGCACAGCCACACACCTGAAAAATCTGGCACAGCCACACACCTGAAAAATCTGGAACAGCCACACTTGAAAAATTTGGAACAGCCACACCTGAAAAATCTGGCACAGCCACACACCTGAAAAATCTGGCACAGCCACACACCTGAAAAATCTGGAACAGCCACACTTGAAAAATTTGGAACAGCCCCACACCTGAAAAATCTGGCACAGCCCCACACCTGAAAAATCTGGCACAGCCCCACACCTGAAAAATCTGGCAAATGCACACAGATTACGCGACATGACGGAAATCGATGGCTAGTGTTTGGTCTTGCAACGTTCAATTAAAACCCCAATAATTACCAGCAGCCGGAATAATTGTATGTACTGTTGGTAGCCAAGACTAGCCAGTCGTAGAATAATTGTATGTCCTGTTGGTAGCCAAGACTAGCAAGCGTAGAATAATTGTATGACCTGTTGGTAGCCAAGACTAGCCAGCGTAGAATAATTGTATGTACTGTTGGTAGCCAAGACTAGCCAGTCGTAGAATAATTGTATGTCCTGTTGGTAGCCAAGACTAACTAGCGTAGAATAATTGTATGTCCTGTTGGTAGCCAAGACTAGCCAGCGTAGAATAATTGTATGTCCTGTTGGTAGCCAAGACTAACCAGCGTAGAATAATTGTATGTCCTGTTGGTAGCCAAGACTAGCCAGCGTAGAATAATTGTATGTCCTGTTGGTAGCCAAGACTAGCCAGCGTAGAATAATTGTATGTCCTGTTGGTAGCCAACACTAACCAGCGTAGAATAATTGTATGTCCTGTTGGTAGCCAAGACTAACCAGCGTAGAATAATTGTATGACCTGTTGGTAGCCAAGACTATCCAGCGTAGAATAATTGTATGACCTGTTGGTAGCCAAGACTAGCCAGCGTAGAATAATTGTATGACCTGTTGGTAGCCAACACTAACCAGCGTAGAATAATTGTATGTCCTGTTGGTAGCCAAGACTAACCAGCGTAGAATAATTGTATGACCTGTTGGTAGCCAAGACTAGCCAGCGTAGAATAATTGTATGTCCTGTTGGTAGCCAAGACTAGCCAGCGTAGAATAATTGTATGTCCTGTTGGTAGCCAAGACTAACCAGCGTAGAATAATTGTATGTCCTGTTGGTAGCCAAGACTAACCAGCGTAGAATAATTGTATGACCTGTTGGTAGCCAAGACTAGCCAGCGTAGAATAATTGTATGACCTGTTGGTAGCCAACACTAACCAGCGTAGAATAATTGTATGTCCTGTTGGTAGCCAAGACTAGCCAGTCGTAGAATAATTGTATGTCCTGTTGGTAGCCAAGACTAGCCAGCGTAGAATAATTGTATGTCCTGTTGGTAGCCAAGACTAGCTAGCGTAGAATAATTGTATGTCCTGTTGGTAGCCAAGACTAGCCAGCGTAGAATAATTGTATGTCCTGTTGGTAGCCAAGACTAGCCAGCGTAGAATAATTGTATGTCCTGTTGGTAGCCAAGACTAGCCAGCGTAGAATAATTGTATGTCCTATTGGTAGCCAACACTAACCAGCGTAGAATAATTGTATGTCCTGTTGGTAGCCAAGACTAACCAGCGTAGAATAATTGTATGTCCTGTTGGTAGCCAAGACTAACCAGCGTAGAATAATTGTATGTCCTGTTGGTAGCCAAGACTAACCAGCGTAGAATAATTGTATGTCCTGTTGGTAGCCAAGACTAACCAGCGTAGAATAATTGTATGTCCTGTTGGTAGCCAAGACTAGCCAGCGTAGAATAATTGTATGTCCTATTGGTAGCCAACACTAACCAGCGTAGAATAATTGTATGTCCTGTTGGTAGCCAAGACTAACCAGCGTAGAATAATTGTATGTCCTGTTGGTAGCCAAGACTAACCAGCGTAGAATAATTGTATGTCCTGTTGGTAGCCAAGACTAACCAGCGTAGAATAATTGTATGTCCTGTTGGTAGCCAAGACTAATCAGCGTAGAATAATTGTATGTCCTGTTGGTAGCCAAGACTAACCAGCGTAGAATAATTGTATGACCTGTTGGTAGCCAAGACTAACCAGCGTAGAATAATTGTATGTCCTGTTGGTAGCCAACACTAACCAGCGTAGAATAATTGTATGTCCTGTTGGTAGCCAAGACTAACCAGCGTAGAATAATTGTATGTCCTGTTGGTAGCCAAGACTAACCAGCGTAGAATAATTGTATGTCCTGTTGGTAGCCAACACTAACCAGCGTAGAATAATTGTATGTCCTGTTGGTAGCCAAGACTAACCAGCGTAGAATAATTGTATGTCCTGTTGGTAGCCAAGACTAACCAGCGTAGAATAATTGTATGTCCTGTTGGTAGCCAACACTAACCAGCGTAGAATAATTGTATGACCTGTTGGTAGCCAACACTAACCAGCGTAGAATAATTGTATGTCCTGTTGGTAGCCAAGACTAACCAGCGTAGAATAATTGTATGTCCTGTTGGTAGCCAAGACTAACCAGCGTAGAATAATTGTATGTCCTGTTGGTAGCCAACACTAACCAGCGTAGAATAATTGTATGTCCTGTTGGTAGCCAAGACTAACCAGCGTAGAATAATTGTATGACCTGTTGGTAGCCAACACTAACCAGCGTAGAATAATTGTATGACCTGTTGGTAGCCAAGACTAGCCAGCGTAGAATAATTGTATGTCCTGTTGGTAGCCAAGACTAGCCAGCGTAGAATAATTGTATGTCCTGTTGGTAGCCAAGACTAACCAGCTTAGAATAATTGTATGTCCTGTTGGTAGCCAAGACTAACCAGCGTAGAATAATTGTATGTCCTGTTGGTAGCCAAGACTAGCCAGCGTAGAATAATTGTATGTCCTGTTGGTAGCCAACACTAACCAGCGTAGAATAATTGTATGTCCTGTTGGTAGCCAAGACTAGCCAGCGTAGAATAATTGTATGTCCTGTTGGTAGCCAAGACTAACCAGCGTAGAATAATTGTATGTCCTGTTGGTAGCCAAGACTAGCCAGCGTAGAATAATTGTATGTCCTGTTGGTAGCCAAGACTAACCAGCGTAGAATAATTGTATGTCCTGTTGGTAGCCAAGACTAGCCAGTCGTAGAATAATTGTATGTCCTGTTGGTAGCCAAGACTAACCAGCGTAGAATAATTGTATGTCCTGTTGGTAGCCAAGACTAGCAAGCGTAGAATAATTGTATGACCTGTTGGTAGCCAAGACTAGCCAGCGTAGAATAATTGTATGTCCTGTTGGTAGCCAAGACTAGCCAGCGTAGAATAATTGTATGACCTGTTGGTAGCCAAGACTAGCCAGCGTAGAATAATTGTATGTCCTGTTGGTAGCCAAGACTAACCAGCGTAGAATAATTGTATGTCCTGTTGGTAGCCAAGACTAACCAGCGTAGAATAATTGTATGTCCTGTTGGTAGCCAAGACTAATCAGCGTAGAATAATTGTATGTCCTGTTGGTAGCCAAGACTAACCAGCGTAGAATAATTGTATGACCTGTTGGTAGCCAAGACTAACCAGCGTAGAATAATTGTATGTCCTGTTGGTAGCCAACACTAACCAGCGTAGAATAATTGTATGTCCTGTTGGTAGCCAAGACTAACCAGCGTAGAATAATTGTATGTCCTGTTGGTAGCCAAGACTAACCAGCGTAGAATAATTGTATGTCCTGTTGGTAGCCAACACTAACCAGCGTAGAATAATTGTATGTCCTGTTGGTAGCCAAGACTAACCAGCGTAGAATAATTGTATGTCCTGTTGGTAGCCAAGACTAACCAGCGTAGAATAATTGTATGTCCTGTTGGTAGCCAAGACTAGCCAGCGTAGAATAATTGTATGACCTGTTGGTAGCCAACACTAACCAGCGTAGAATAATTGTATGTCCTGTTGGTAGCCAAGACTAACCAGCGTAGAATAATTGTATGTCTTGTTGGTAGCCAAGACTAACCAGCGTAGAATAATTGTATGACCTGTTGGTAGCCAACACTAACCAGCGTAGAATAATTGTATGTCCTGTTGGTAGCCAAGACTAACCAGCGTAGAATAATTGTATGACCTGTTGGTAGCCAACACTAACCAGCGTAGAATAATTGTATGACCTGTTGGTAGCCAAGACTAGCCAGCGTAGAATAATTGTATGTCCTGTTGGTAGCCAAGACTAGCCAGCGTAGAATAATTGTATGTCCTGTTGGTAGCCAAGACTAACCAGCTTAGAATAATTGTATGTCCTGTTGGTAGCCAAGACTAACCAGCGTAGAATAATTGTATGTCCTGTTGGTAGCCAAGACTAACCAGCTTAGAATAATTGTATGTCCTGTTGGTAGCCAAGACTAGCCAGCGTAGAATAATTGTATGTCCTGTTGGTAGCCAAGACTAACCAGCGTAGAATAATTGTATGTCCTGTTGGTAGCCAAGACTAGCCAGTCGTAGAATAATTGTATGTCCTGTTGGTAGCCAACACTAACCAGCGTAGAATAATTGTATGACCTGTTGGTAGCCAAGACTTGCTAGCGTAAAATAATTGTATGTCCTGTTGGTAGCCAAGACTAACCAGCGTAGAATAATTGTATGTCCTGTTGGTAGCCAACACTAACCAGCGTAGAATAATTGTATGTCCTGTTGGTAGCCAACACTAACCAGCGTAGAATAATTGTATGTCCTGTTGGTAGCCAACACTAACCAGCGTAGAATAATTGTATGTCCTGTTGGTAGCCAACACTAACCAGCGTAGAATAATTGTATGTCCTGTTGGTAGCTACACCTGAGGCAATAGCGCCACCTACCTGCTTGTGAACGTGGTCAGTTCTTAAAGTACCTCATTGGTTTAGTAAAGGTCTTGTAGTTGTTTATTTTATTGCCGTGTGGAACACAAGATGTGAGTTAAAGCGTCGAAGTATGAGCGTGTCTTGACTTCAAGCAAAATGTCGGGAGTTTTTTCTTCCTTTAGTTCCTGTGTACTTAGTTTCCGTTTAAAAAGACAGAGACCAGAACATCGTTTTAATTAGCCAATACGAATGGGAAATTTAAAAAAATAGAAGAAGACTAACAATACAAGGACTGCCTGTTTCAAGCTAAGAGACATTTTCCACAGTAAAGGGAACGGACGACATACAAATAAAAAAAAATGTCGTTGAGACTATGCGATAGACATTGTACACTCCGGCCGATAGAAACGTCGCAGGAATTTAACGTCACGGAGTCTAGAATAAATGACGTATTACAGACCAAAGTTTATGTATGTAAAAATACTTTAGCTACCATACACAGACTCGATTAAACAAAATTATGTCATCGTGAATACAAAAAGTTAAGATCACTTGAACAGAGGACTTTTTAAATCCAAACATTCACGCAAAACATACGAATTTCTAATATAAAAAAAAATTACAACAGATACGACATTCATAAACCAAACATTCATAAAAAGTTGATTCATTAAACATTGATAAATTTAACACAAAAAGCAAACTCAAACGGTTGATAATATAGAATATTTTTTCCAGCTTTATTTAATACAAACAATCAAAGAATTTACATACTTATAAAATGCAATACAACTACAGGTCTCTGATATTAATTTACGTCCTTTTCAAACCGGACACTGAAGATCAGAGTATGAAAAACCAATCCCACAATATATGACCCCAAGAAAATCAGAGTAACAAATCCCACTAATGTATGACTCTGTAAGATCGGAGTATGACAAATAAATCCCACTAATATATGACCCTAAGAAGATCAGAGTATGACAAACAAATCCCACTAATGTATGACCCTGTAAGATCAGAGTATGACAAACAAATCCCACTAAAGTATGACCCTGTAAGATCAGAGTATGACAAACAAATCCCACTAATGTATGATCCTGTAAGATCAGAGTATGACAAACAAATCCCACTAATGTATGACCCTGTAAGATCAGAGTATGACAAACAAATCCCACTAAAGTATGACCCTGTAAGATCAGAGTATGACAAACAAATCCCACTAATGTATGACCCTGTAAGATCAGAGTATGACACATTTATCCCTGCGACTGAAGTGCCCCTGCATCAGGCGGACCTTGTGGGCGAGCAGACCGATGCACATGACCCACAGCCTGACCTCTTGGTGGTCCTCTGGTCTGTCCAAGGCTTTGGATATAAATTTGGGAAATTTCTGTTCTAATGGCTGTAGGAGAATAAAAGTTCTGTTCTCATGTCTGTAGGAGAATAAAAGTTCTAATGTTTGTAGGAGAATAAAAAATCTAATGTCTGTAGGAGAATTAAAGTTCTCATGTCTGTAGGAGAATAAAAGTTCTAATGTCTGTAGGAGAATAAAAGTTCTAATGTTTGTAGGAGAATAAAAGTTCTAATGTCTGTAGGAGAATAAAAGTTCTGTTCTCATGTCTGTAGGAGAATAAAAAATCTAATGTCTGTAGGAGAATTAAAGTTCTAATGTTTGTAGGAGAATTAAAGTTCTAATGTCTGTAGGAGAATAAAAAATCTAATGTCTGTAGGAGAATTAAAGTTCTAATGTTTGTAGGAGAATAAAAAATCTAATGTCTGTAGGAGAATTAAAGTTCTAATGTCTGTAGGAGAATTAAAGTTCTAATGTCTGTAGGAGAATTAAAGTTCTAATGGCTGTAGGAGAATAAAAGTTCTAATGTCTGTAGGAGAATAAAAAATCTAATGTCTGTAGGAGAATAAAAGTTCTAATGTCTGTAGGAGAATAAAAGTTCTCATGTCTGTAGGAGAATAAAAGTTCTAATGTCTGTAGGAGAATAAAAGTTCTCATGTCTGTAGGAGAATTAAAGTTCTAATGTCTGTAGGAGAATAAAAGTTCTAATGTCTGTAGGAGAATAAAAGTTCTAATGTCTGTAGGAGAATTAAAGTTCTAATGTCTGTAGGAGAATAAAAGTTCTAATGTCTGTAGGAAAATAAAAGTTCTGTTCTCATGTGTGTAGGAGAATAAAAGTTCTAATGTCTGTAGGAGAATAAAAGTTCTAATGTTTGTAGGAGAATTAAAGTTCTAATGTTTGTAGGAGAATAAAAAATCTTATGTCTGTAGGAGAATTAAAGTTCTAATGTCTGTAGGAGAATAAAAGTTCTAATGTCTGTAGGAAAATAAAAGTTCTAATGTCTGTAGGAGAATAAAAGTTCTAATGTCTGTAGGAAAATAAAAGTTCTAATGTCTGTAGGAGAATAAAAGTTCTAATGTCTGTAGGAAAATAAAAGTTCTGTTCTCATGTGTGTAGGAGAATAAAAGTTCTAATGTCTGTAGGAGATACTTACATTAAAGTATCTGACGCCAATACACATATTCAAATGCTTTAAAGCCAGATGCATGATTGTCATGTCAAGTTTGGTCGGTTTCTTGACGTTGGAGACGATGACGTTGATCCAGTTGAGCAGCAGAATGACGTGGATCATAAACAAGCGGCTATGGATTCCTTCTTTCTCGCCAAACATGGGGTGGAAGAGGGATCTCATCTTTGGGATGTTGTCTAGCATCCTAAGTAGCGGAGGGGAGGGGGGGGGGGGAGAGTAAAAATCACAGAACATCAGTCAACATCAAATTGTGAAAATAGTCGGTCTTTGTAATCCTGGACATCACAGAACATCAGGCAACATCCGGGACATCACAGAACATCATGCAACATCCAGGACATCACAGAACATCAGGCAACATCCGGGACATCACAGAACATCAGGCAACATCCGAGATATCACAGAACATAAAGCAACATCCGGGACATCACAGAACATAAAGCAACATCCGGGACATCACAGAACGAACATCAGGCAACATTCGGGACATCACAGAACATCAGGCAACATCCGGGACATCACAGAACATCAGGCAACATCCAGGACATCACAGAACATCAGGCAACATCCGGGACATCACAGAACATCAGGCAACATCCGGGACATCACAGAACGAACATCAGGCAACATCCAGGACATCACAGAACATCAAGCAACATCCGGGACATCACAGAACATCAGGCAACATCCGGGACATCACAGAACATCAAGCAACATCCGGGACATCACAGAACATCAGGCAACATCCGGGACATCACAGAACATCAAGCAACATCCGGGACATCACAGAACATCAGGCCATAGTTAGAGTTATTGAGATCAAATGAAACAAGATTTTGCCCTATTTGGTTTTTTAAAACAGCATTTTCACAGCTTTCGTTGTTAGTTAGACTAAGAAGTATTGGGGATATCAAACTGCGACTACTTGCAAGTCAAAAAAGGAATTCAATTTCCGTCTAGCCAAAGTCATATGAAGGAATTCAATGTCCGTCTAAGCCAAGTCATATGAAGGAATTCAATGTCCATATTTATCCCGGGTTCTTAAAGTAAAACCACAAATCAAAGCATTAAATCCACAAACCAAAGCATTAAATCCACAAACCAAACCATTAAATCCACAAACCAAACCATTAAATCCACAAACCAAAGCATTAAATCCACAAACCAAATCATTAAATCCACAAACCAAAGCATTAAGTCCTTAGCAAATTTCCTGCCCAGTGTATTGAATTCGTCCTGATTGCTGCCCACCATACGTTTCCATGACGACACGAGTATGTCCTTCTCTCTGTTAGCAGAACAGATCAACAGTCAACACATAGTGAATGTAAGGATCTCAAGGATTTGGCAGACGGCTAGAAGTGTGATGCCATTTATGTTGGTAAGATCATGTGACACGCAGCCAATCAGATATTGCGAATAAGATCATGTGACAGATGTACAGAGAACCAGGTGTGTCACATGCTAGACGTACAACATCACGTGACAGGTGTGTCACATTCAGATGTCAGATGTCACATGTCAGTTGTCAGAGAATCAGGTGTGTCACATGTCAGATGTGGATAAACTTACTGATCTGTCATCCGTGTTATAGGGCAAACGATTGTCTGATATCCAGGCTGGCTTGCTTCATTGGATGGTGTCAGTAAATCTGCATCCACTGCTTCACCGGAGTCTATATCCACACTTGAATCCAAGGATCTCAAAGATTCTTTCTGAAATGTGTTAATAGGCTTTTACTATGGTTACAATGACATTTTTCTAATGGACTAATTTCGTTCAAAATTTTCAAATAAATTTAATGAAAACCCAAGGCAATTTAATGTCCAATCTATTTAGTTGGTCTAAAACATTAATTTAGGCTCACAATAAATAGGCCTATCTGAATTTTTATCATCTTTATTTTTAAATTAAATGATTTTCCCCATCTCGACCTCATCTTGATGTCACCTATGATGAATACTCCCCGCCATTATGATTTGCTTTATTATATGTATAATCAACTGAATAAAGCAAAATATCTGTATTCGAAGCTTTTAAGTAAAAGTACAACATCCTCTTTCTTAGCACGACCGGTGAAGTTCTAGCTAATGAATTCTAGCAGTGTCTGGTCTGGTTATCCTTTACTTGGCTGCTTCATTTACTTTGGTACCAAGTCCCTGTATTAATCCCCTATATCCAAGTCCATGTATCGTCCCCTGTACCACGTCCCTGTACCAATCCCCTGTATCAATAAACCTGTACCAAGTCCCTGTACCAATCACCTGTACCAAGCCCCTGTACCAAGTCCCTGTACCAAGTCCCTGTACCATGTCCCTGTACCAATCCCCTGTACCAAGTCCCTTACCGTTCCTGTACCAAGCCCCTGTACCAAGTCCCTGTACCAAGTCCCTGTACCAATCCCCTGTACCAATCCCCTGTACCAAGTCCCTGTATCAATCCCCTGTACTAAATCCCTGTACCAAGCCCCTGTACCAAGCCCCTGTACCAATCCCCTGTACCAATCCCCTGTATCAATCCCCTGTACCAAGTCCCTGTATCAATCCCCTGTACTAAATCCCTGTACCAAGCCCCTGTACCAAGCCCCTGTACCAAGTCCCTGTACCAATCCCCTGTATCAATCCCCTGTACCAAGTCCCTGTATCAATCCCCTGTACTAAATCCCTGTACCAAGCCCCTGTACCAAGCCCCTGTACCAAGTCCCTGTACCAAGTCCCTGTACCAAGTCCCTGTACCAAACCCCTGTACCAATCCCCTGTATCAATCCCCTGTACCAAGTCCCTGTACCAAGCCCCTGTACCAAGTCCCTGTACCAAGTCCCTGTACCAAGTCCCTGTACCAATCCCCTGTACCAAGTCCTTGTACCAAGCCCCTGTACCAAGTCCCTGTACCAAACCCCTGTACCAATCCCCTGTATCAATCCCCTGTACCAAGTCCCTATACCAAGTTCCGGGTCCACAGTGACAGTCCTATCTTCTGTTTCTACACTGTCACGTGTAACACGAACCACACACCTAAGTCTACATACCGCGTGCAATAAATTTGTAAACATGTTGATCTGTTGGCATCAATTCCAGACTCTAGCATCAGTTCAGCAAAGAAATCTTCAAGGGCTTCACACAACACAATAGATAAGTTGCTGATATCTAGCGTTCAAGATGGCGTCAATCTTGTGCGAATCTGATTGTGCTGCGCAATCGAATCGCATCTGAAAACTCTGTTTACGAATAGTGAATTCCTTTGACACTGTCAAAAGCAACTTTTTGTTTTTTTGTAGCTATACGGGAAGCAAAATATTGTTTAAATAAAGCTGGAGTGATCTCAATTAAACTTTTTAGAATATTCTTTTATAACAGTATGAGGGATGGCAATTCGGGATGTAGACATGATTTTTAATAAATTTTAAAATTAGAATAGAATCCCGCAGAAAAAAATATTGCGCATCAAGTAAACAGCAAACAATATGTGTATAATAGTGCGGAATATTGTTACTTTATAAATTCATTTGCGTTTTATGTAAAATTGGAAATATCATAAAGTACTACTTTTGGTCAACGGGAATTACTCAAAATTAGATGTGGACGGTAAGTGTGGACATTAGATGTGGACATTACATGTGGACATTACCTGGACATTAGATGTGGACATTAGATGTGGACATTACCTGGACATTAGATGTGGACATTAGATGTGGACATTAGATGTGGACATTAGATGTGGACATTAGATGTGGACATTAGATGTGGACATTAGATGTGGACATTAGGTGGCGTTGTTGATTAACTATGTAGTTCTACAGCTCGAGATTTCTATTTAAAACTTCAAACTAGAAAGTCTTTACCACAAGCTGGCGAGACACATAACTCATAACTAAAAATAAACCATTACTAAGATTATAGATACACTTATGATGCAACTAGTCAAGTCCCCACACGCTCGTTAACATAAAATAACAAACCATGTCCAGGTTTAATATCACACATTTTTTATTCCATTCACCACTGGTAACATTGTGATGCATTAATTTAAGCGAGCTGACATAGTATGGCCTGAATGGCCCGCGGACCGCTACTGAACCGAACAGCACTTCTCACTGTTGAGGTAGCGCTCAGACTTCTCTACCTCGACCACGATGAGTCCCATGAAGCGGTTCCACAGGCGCACCTCAGGGTCGTTGGTTTTCTTGCCGAGGGTACAAGCCATGAAGGCGGGGAACTTATCCTCCATTGGCTTAAAACAAGGGAACATCACGTCAGGGTTACTACAGAGATCAGAACATACCGACATGACAGTACAAACATACGTCATACGTACAATACGTAAGACAACGTGAAGTGTAAGAAGGGTAAGAGCAGTTTAACGTGCAGATATAAAGGACAATATTGTCTTTGATATTTAGACAACCAATCTTTTACTTTTCAGAGGGGATAAGGCATATTTTAAATCAGCGCCTTTTGCTGTATCTGCTCCATATATTGCACCTTCGCACATAATGACTAGCTATACCACTCCCCCCATTGACTATATTATTACGTAACACTGCTCCCAGATGGCCATCTCTAACACTGTCCCCCACCCCTGATAACCATCTCTAACACTGTCCCCCACCCCTGATAACCATCTCTAACACTGTCCCCCACCCCTGATAACCATCTCTAACACTGTCCCCCACCCCTGATAACCATCTCTAACACTCCCGCCCCACCTCAGCACTCACCCCGCCCCACCCCACCCCACCCCGCCCCACCACTCACCCCGAAGTAAGCCATACCGACCCACCTCAGCACTCACCCCGAAGTACGCCATACCGACCCTCCCCTCCTTACCCCACCACTCACCCCAAAGTACGCCATACCGCCCCCACCCTACCCCGCTCCCCCACTCACCCCGAAGTACGCCATCCCGACCCTGCCCGGCATGCTGAGATGCACGTTAGCGATGTGCGCGGCCTGCTGACGGAACTTGGTCGGCTCAAACAGCAGCGTGATCATGGACTCTAACCACGTGACCAGCGTCTTGCTGTGGTTCTGGAACTCAGGGTCGGCACTGAGGGCGGGTTTGGGTCGGAAGGGATCGAACCTGTGCTTGAAAGTTTTCTTCATGTTGGGGACGTTGTCAAACATCCTGGGGAGAGAGGAGGGGAGATGTGGGGAGATGAGGGGAGATGTGGGGAGATGAGGGGAGATGTAGGGAGATGTGGGGAGTTGAGGGGAGATGTGGGGAGATGAGGGGAGATGTGGGGGGATGCGAGGGAGATTAGGGGAGATGTGGGGAGTTGAGGGGAGATGTGGGGAGATGAGGAAGATGAGAGATGAGGGGAGATGTGGGGAGATGAAAGGAGATGAGGGGAGATGTGGGGAGATGAAAGGAGATGAGGGGAGATGTGGGGAGATTAAGAGGGATGAAAGGACAATAAGGGGGATGTGGAGTGAGGGGAGATGAAGGGAGATGAGGGGAGATGAAGGGAGATGAGTGGAGATGAATGGAGATGAGAGGAGATGTGTGTGTTCGTGTGTGTGTGCCTGTGTGTGTGTATGTTTCGTGTGAGTGTGTGTTCGTGTGAGTGTGATGGTGTGTATGTATGTTTGTGCGTGCGTGCGTATTATACAATTAACCGTTTGATAATTATATCGAAAGACAAAACAATTTTTAAAAAACCTCAGCTTTAAGAAAAAAACAGGGTCATGAAATCAATACAAAACGTACATCTAGAGCAGGTGTTCCCAACCCCGTGCCCGCGGGCGCCTGGCGCCCGCCGAACGATTCGTATGTGCCCGCCTCTCACTATTCGACAGAGACAGAATTTTTTTCATAAACATTATTGAAAGGTTGAAGGGGATGGAAATCAAAAGTTTGAGGAGGGGGGTGCAAATCGAAAATTTGAGGGGGTGTGCAAATCGAAAATTTGAGGGGGGGGGGGGGGGGAGGGGGGTGCAAATAAAAAATTTGAGGGGGGGGGGGGTGCAAATCCCCGGGTGACGGGAAGGGTTGCTACGCCTCTGGAAGGAGTTTGTCGATTTAAAATAGGTGGTGCCCGCCACCCTACCGATATTTTAGAATGTGCTCTAGAGTAAAAAAAGGTTGAGAACCCCTGATCTAGAGGTACCAATCAAATCAAAGGTACCAATCAAATCAAATGTACCAATCAAATCAAAGGTACCAATCAAATCAAAGGTACCAATCAAATCAAAGGTACCAATCAAATCAAAGGTACCAATCAAATCAAAGGTACCAATCAAATCAAAGGTACCAATCAAATCAAAGGTACCAATCAAAACAAAGGTACCAATCAAATCAAAGGTACCAATCAAATCAAAGGTACCAATCAAATCAAAGGTACCAATCAAATCAAAGGTACCAATCAAATCAAAGGTACCAATCAAATCAAAGATACCAGTGCAAAAAGTCGATGCCGAATTGTTCTCCTTTGAATGCAAACTCCTCCGGCGTCTGCCCAACTAGACTGTGCCAAGACTTCAGGAGAGTCTTCTTTTCCCTGAAGACGGGACAAAAGTTATTTCAAAAGTTGGTTTTGTCATTCATGGGGCATGTGCCACTCTCATGCCAGACCAAAAAGTCAGATGAAAGATCGTGGATTGATTGATAGATGGCTGAATGGTATGAGAGAAACACAACTCATAAATCAACTCACGCTTCCGTCATGCGGGTCAGCGGGTCGTACTTGACGGGGGTGGAGAACCTGGCGATGTAGTCCGAACTGTCCTCACTGTCGTACGACCAGTGGTACGGAATGTCAAGGTCGCCGGACACCCTCCTGGGAAAGCTGAAGGCCCGCGCCCGTATGGCGCTGACCGTCAGGGTCTTGTTTCTGGGCGTCACGTTGATCTTTGTGGGCGGCATGGGCCACCCAGGGGAGCCGGTCTTGGAAGTCTTGGGGGTGCTGGCAGCGAAGCCTGGGGCAGGGCTCCCCACCAAGGTGTCGTCATTAAAGACGGAATCTGAGCTTGATTTGAGTCGTGAGCCGGGCGTGGCGTAGACTGTCGTTGGCGAACCCCCCATTTGGGAGCTGGGGGTTGCAAAGACAGTGGTTGGCGAACCCCCCGGTTGGGAGCTGGGGGTTGCAAAGACAGTGGCTGGCGAACCCCCCATTTGGGAGCTGGGGGTCCCGTAGACGGAGTCGGGTGGGCCCTTTGTCACAGGTGTGTTAGGTGGCTCAGACATTTTCTTTCGTGATTTGGTCCTGATGGTCACTGTACCTCGATGGTCACTGTACCTTGATGGTCACTGTACCTCGATGGTCACTCGATGGTCACTGTACCTCGATGGTCACTCGATGGTCACTGTACCTCGATGGTCACTGTACCTCGATGGTCACTGTACCTGGAAGGTCACTGTACCTGGATGGTCACTGTACCTCGATGGTCACTCGATGGTCACTGTACCTCGATGGTCACTGTACCTCGATGGTCACTGTACCTCGATGGTCACTGTACCTCGATGGTCACTGTACCTCGATGGTCACTGTACCTCGATGGTCACTGTACCTCGATGGTCACGTTACCTCGATGGTCACTCGATGGTCACTGTACCTCGATGGTCACTGTACCTCGATGGTCACTGTACCTCGATGGTCACTGTACCTCGATGGTCACTGTACCTGGATGGTCACTGTACCTGGATGGTCACTGTACCTCGATGGTCACTCGATGGTCACTGTACCTCGATGGTCACTGTACCTCGATGGTCACTGTACCTCGATGGTCACTGTACCTCGATGGTCACTGTACCCGGATGGTCACTGTACCTCGATGGTCACTGTACCTCGATGGTCACTGTACCTCGATGGTCACTGTACCCGGATGGTCACTGTACCTCGATGGTCACTGTACCTCGATGGTCACTGTACCTCGATGGTCACTGTACCTCGATGGTCACTGTACCTCGATGGTCACTGTACCTCGATGGTCACTGTACCCGGATGGTCACTGTACCTCGATGGTCACTGTACCTCGATGGTCACTGTACCTCGATGGTCACTGTACCTCGATGGTCACTGTACCTTGATGGTCACTGTACCTCGATGGTCACGTTACCTGGATGGTCACTCGATGGTCACTGTACCTCGATGGTCACTGTACCTCGATGGTCACGTTACCTCGATGGTCACGTTACCTGGATGGTCACTGTACCTGGATGGTCACTGTACCTCGATGGTCACTGTACCAGGTAGTTAACGGTACTTGGATGTTAACGAACGGTACCTGGAGGGTTAACTTTACCTGGATAATAAGGACAGTTTTAACTAAATGCTAACCACACCTAGAACAAATGTTTGGTGATAGTAAAAGCATATTTATCTTAAAATATTGATTTTTTAAACACACACATAGATCTTGAATTTTTGAAAAATCATATTGTTGTTATATATATATATATATATATATATGTTATAAATCTATGTACATAAATGTGTAGCCTATATATTTATGTATATAAAATTTAGTTTAGGTTTATTGCAAAAATATATAAATATCCTAATAAAAGTATATAATCTTTAGTACTACAAATAATGTTGTCTCTACTGCTACTTTAGTTAACTTAATCTTTTACCTGTATAAATCTTTGATTTGCTTTGACCAAATTTGATTTGTGGATGTCAACCTCGAGGTTTTGGCGTGGTGCCATATGGTGCTAGGTGTTGCACCACAAATTTTTTTTGTTTGGCGTGGTAGGTCTACCATATGGTGCTAGACGTTTCACCACAAGTTTTTTGTTTGGCGTGGTAGGTCTACCATATGATGCTAGACGTTTCACCACAAGTTTTTTGTTTGGCGTGGTAGACATTTCACCATCAATTTATTTTTTGGCGTAGTAAACATTTTCACGATGAGTTTTTGCAATATTCGATGTTTGATCAACGTCATGGTACTAAACAGTAAGTTTCTTTGAAATGTATGCTCTAGCCCATATTCTATCCGTTTTGTTACCTTAGTACTACTTCTTTTGAAAGCAACTCGTGACTGGAAACTGATTTACATATAGTTGTAGTAGAATTTTACTTATTGATCACATTTTGGCTGTGTTGTAGTGCCAAAGTCAAGGCTTAATGCTAGAAACTAAACAAACAGTCAACGTAATACTAAACGACTAAATTAATACCGGTTTAATGTAATGACCGAATGAACCACCCGCTCGATACCTTTCACACCATGACACCACTACAAGATATATATATATATATATAGAACGAGTTTAATTGGCATAACGATGTTTTATTTTTTTAGCCATTCAATGACAGACACCCAACCCCTCCTCCCCACCCCCCTCCCACTTGTCTGTGTTCTGGACACAGAGAGGACGAGATGTAGACAGAACTCATGACGCACGTGCAACATCTGCTGCTGACATTAGCTGGACTGCAGACACTCTGGGCGCACGAAACGTGTGCAAAGTTGCAACATTTTTGTCAGACGTTGGCTGAACACATCAACCAACCTGACAAGGGATTTATTGAAGGACATTTTTGTAGTTGAATTGTGCTCTTAATGTCCTGAAAAAACATTGTATGGCTGGACAAGCCCGCGTGCCCACTACTGAAGAGAACAGCACTTATCATTGCTGTTGTACTGCTCCGACTTCTTGACGCGGGCCACGATGAGACCCAGGAAACGGCTCCACAGCTGGACCTCGCGGTCATTGACCCGCTTGGCCAGGGCGGTGCCGATAAACTGGGGGAACTTTTCATTCAGAGGCTGAAAGACGGGGAGAAGGAACGTCAGATATGTACATAGGGTGGGGACGTCATGCACATAGGGTGGGGACGTCATGCACATGGGGTGGGGACGTCATGCACATAGGGTGGGGACGTCATGCACATGGGGTGGGGACGTCATGTACATGGGGTGGGGACGTCAGAGATGCACATGGGGTGGGGACGTCATGCACATGGGGTGGGGACGTCATGTACATGGGGTGGGGACGTCAGAGATGCACATGGGGTGGGGACGTCATGTACATGTGGTGGGGACGTCATGCACATGGGGTGGGGACGTCATGTACATGGGGTGGGGACGTCAGAGATGCACATGGGGTGGGGACGTCATGCACATGGGGTGGGGACGTCATGTACATGGGGTGGGGACGTCATGTACATGGGGTGGGGACGTCATGTACATGGGGTGGGGACGTCATGCACATGTGGTGGGGACGTCATGTACATGGGGTGGGGACGTCATGCACATGGGGTGGGGACGTCAGAGATGCACATGGGGTGGGGACGTCATGTACATGGGGTGGGGACGTCATGTACATGGGGTGGGGACGTCATGTACATGGGGTGGGGACGTCATGTACATGGGGTGGGGACGTCATGCACATGGGGTGGGGACGTCATGCACATGGGGTGGGGACGTCATGCACATGGAGGAGGGGATAGTACAAACAAGCAAAAAATTACGCGAGCACAAATGATATAATCACAAATTATGCGATTATTCTTCATGACATCTCCTTTTACCTCACTCCTGAAACCTGACTAATGTAGAAAGACGCCTCACCCCTGTCTACCATGTACCCACCCCCCAGTAGGCCCCACCCCTACCATGTACCCACCCCCAGTAGGCCCCACCCCTGTCTACTATGTAACCACCCCCAGTAGGCCCCACCCCTGTCTACCATGTACCCACCCCGAGTAGGCCCCACCCCTACCATGTACCCACCCACCAGAAGGCCCCACCCTACCATGTACCCACCCCCCCAGTAGGCCCCTATCTACCATGTACCCACCCCCAGTACGCCCCACCCTACCATGTACCCACCCCCCAGTAGGCCACACCCTACCATGTACCCACCCCCAGTAGGCCCCTATCTACTATGTACCCACCCCCAGTACGCCCCACCCTGTCTACCATGTACCCACCCCCCAGTATGCCATGCCGATCTTCTCCGGGAAAGCCAGGTGCATGTTAGCGATGTAGACGACCTGCTGCTCGAACTTGGTCGGCTCAAACAACATCACCATCATGGACTCTAGCCACGTGACCAGCGTCTTGCAGTGTTTCTGGAACTCAGGGTCGGCACTGAGGGCGGGTTTGGGTCGGAAGGGATCGAACTTGTGCTTGAAAGTTTTCTTCATGTTGGGCACGTTGTCAAACATCCTGGGGAGAGATGAGGGGAGATGTAGGGAGATGTGGGGAGATGTGGGGAGATGTGGGGAGATGTGGGGAGTTGAGGGGAGATGTGGGGAGTTGAGGGGAGATGTGGGGAGGTTAGGGGAGATGTGGGGACATGAGGAGAGATGAGGGGAGATGAGGGGAAATGCTCCTTACCAGGCATCACATCTTTTTTTTTTTTAAAATAGACTTTAGAAATAGGAAAAGGAGTAAGTGCTGATGCTAAACTAAAATAAAGCAGGAGTGATCTCCCCTAAACTTATACATTACGGGTTGTCGACTCGGGATATAGACATGATATTTAATCCAATATTAATCCATTTTTCATTACTTAAACTTTAAAAAATAGAATAGAATCTCGTAGAAAAAAAAACGCGCACAACGTGAACGGCAAACAATAAGTGTATAATAGTGCAAAATATAAGTCTAATATTTAAAGCTCAATTCTGTATGTAAAATGTTTGTAAAATGTTTGTCGTGGATACTTCGATGGATTTAAGTGTTAGATTATTATAGTGCTCATGGTCTAAATTTATGAGTTAAAAAATTACTATTGAAAGTCTTTAAAAACAATTTTCATTTTATATACTTAGAATAATAATTTTCAATTATGAACATTACTTAAAATTTAAAAAAAAAAAGTGTATCAACGTTTATAAAATTTCTAAAATTTTGTCTAAAATGTATTTGGATTTTGTCCTTTAGTTCTCATAACGTCCCTTGATTTGGAAAACACAGTTACTTCCCTTTAAAGAACCATTAAATCGGGGGAAGAAAGAATTTACTTTTTATTACTTTGTTTTGGTGTTAAGAAAAAAAAATAACATAATTAGCGGGGATTGATTAAGTGCAATGTCTTTGGTATTTTTAATACTGCCTTTTATTTAATCTATACACTGAACATACTGTTTACTAATTATTTTTTTTAATCAATAACATTTAATAAGTCAGGTCCTACACATCCTATATGTTTATTTCTTTCCATTTACGGATACGCTTGGAGTTTTATAATTTTGTTCGCTAAATTGAAACAGGCGCGTCCGCCGGCGCCCCTGCACCGTTCGAATTTGGCGCTCTGGGCTATCATGTGAGCGCTATTCTGCATAATTTCGTTTTAAACAGTGCGATAGACTATGGATACGAAAGGTTACTATAGTCTTTAAGTGAATCAAATCCGGGCGTCCTCCGGCACCCCGACAGGGTGCTATTTGGCACCCCGGGCCTTCCCGTGTACGCTATGGTACCTTCGTTCGCGTAAGTGAGTTCAAAAGACTATGAATAAGTTAGGTACTATAGTCGTTTACTAAGTTGAATCGGGCGGTTACGCCGCACGTCGTCATGGTGCGATTTGGCGCCCCGGGCTAGACTGTGGACACTTTGAGTTTATATTTGCGTTTGTGTTTTCTTTGTGTTTGAGTTTGGGTTTGCGTTTGTTGTTGTGTTTGCGTTTAGATTTGTGTTTTCGTTTGTGTTTGTATTTGTGTTTGTGTAATGTTTGCGTTGTTTTTTTTGGGTGTGTTTTGGTTTTGTATGGTTGTGGTTTGGTTTGTGTTTGCGTTTGGATTTGTTTTCATTTGCTTTTTGTTTGCGTTAGTGTTTGTGTTTTCTTTGTGTTTGTGGTTGGGTTTGTCTATGCGTTTGTTTTTGTGTTTTCGTTTGTGTTTGTTTTGTGTTAGTGTTATGTTTGCGTTTTTTTTTTGTGTTTTGGTTGGTTGTGGTTAGGGTGGGCAATGCCGGGTAAATGCTGATTACTAAACACACACGTTATGGTCCTTTACAGATACGTTTTTCAGAGATGCCAGTGCAGGGCCTGGCCGGGACGGCTAGTACTTTATAAATTCATATGCGTATTAATTAAGAGAAATAAGAAATAGCGTAAATTACTACTTCCTGTCAACGGAAATTACTCAAAATTTGAGAGAAATTAGATCTTTTACTTATATGTGAAATCTCGGTTATCTGTCTGAAATAGTACTCAAGTTATAGGTTTTGAAAAACAAAAAGTAGAATGAGTTCCACTTCCGTTTATCGGAAATCGCTGAAAAGTTGATACAGAACTACAAAATTGATATAAAACTTATGTACACCAAACAAGTTTGTAGAACATGTACACCAAACAAGTAACCAATGTAGAACACATATGCACCAAACAAATTTATAGAACATGTACACAAAACAAGTTTGTAGAACATATATACCAAACAAATGTGTAGAACACATGTGCACCAAATACGTTTGTAGAACATGTACGTCAAACAAGTTACCAATGAACACCAATGTACACCAAAAACGTTTGTAGAACAAGTACACAAAACAAGTTTGTAGAACATTAACACAAAACAAGTTACCAATGTAGAACACATGTACGCCGAATAAGTTACCAATATACACAAATATACACCAAAAATATTCTACAACATGTACACAAAACAAGTTTGCAGAACATAATGTACACCAAACAAGTTACCAATGTAAGAAATCCAGACCAAACTGTTCTCCCTTGCGAAAAAATTCTTCCGGCGTGACGCCCACAAGTGTGTACCAGGACTTGAGCAGAATCTCTTTTTCTCTGGACATTGGGAGAAACTTAAAGTTAGGACTTTTTCTCTGGACATTGGGAGAAACTTAAAGTTAGGACTTTTTCTCTGGACATTGGGAGAAACTTAGTTAGGACTTTTTCTCTGGACATTTGGAGAAACTTAAAGTTAGGACTTTTTCTCTGGACATTTGGAGAAACTTAAAGTTAGGACTTTTTCTCTGGACATTTGGAGAAACTTAAAGTTAGGACTTTTTCTCTGGACATTGGGAGAAACTTAAAGTTAGGACTTTTTCTCTGGACATTTGGAGAAACTTAAAGTTAGGACTTTTTCTCTGGACATTGGGAGAAACTTAAAGTTAGGACTTTTTCTCTGGACATTGGGAGAAACTTAAAGTTAGGACTTTTTCTCTGGACATTGGGAGAAACTTAAAGTTAGAACTTTTTCTCTGGACATTGGGAGAAACTTAAAGTTAGGACTTTTTCTCTGGACATTGGGAGAAACTTAAAGTTAGGACTTTTTCTCTGGACATTGGGAGAAACTTAAAGTTAGGACTTTTTCTCTGGACATTGGGAGAAACTTAAAGTTAGAACTTTTTCTCTGGACATTGGGAGAAACTTAAAGTTAGGACTTTTTCTCTGGACATTGGGAGAAACTTAGTTAGGACTTTTTCTCTGGACATTGGGAGAAACTTAAAGTTAGAACTTTTTCTCTGGACATTGGGAGAAACTTAAAGTTAGAACTTTTTTCTCTGGATATTGGGAGAAACTTAAAGTTAGGACTTTTTTCTCTGGACATTGGGAGAAACTTAAAGTTAGAACTTTTTCTCTGGACATTGGGAGAAACTTAAAGTTAGAACTTTTTTCTCTGGATATTGGGAGAAACTTAAAGTTAGAACTTTTTTCTCTGGATATTGGGAGAAACTTAAAGTTAGAACTTTTTTCTCTGGACATTGGGAGAAACTTAAAGTTAGGACTTTTTCTCTGGACATTGGGAGAAACTTAAAGTTAGGACTTTTTCTCTGGACATTGGGAGAAACTTAAAGTTAGAACTTTTTCTCTGGACATTTGGAGAAACTTAAAGTTAGGACTTTTTCTCTGGACATTGGGAGAAACTTAAAGTTAGGACTTTTTCTCTGGACATTGGGAGAAACTTAGTTAGGACTTTTTCTCTGGACATTGGGAGAAACTTAAAGTTAGAACTTTTTCTCTGGATATTGGGAGAAACTTAAAGTTAGAACTTTTTTCTCTGGATATTGGGAGAAACTTAAAGTTAGGACTTTTTTCTCTGGACATTGGGAGAAACTTAAAGTTAGAACTTTTTCTCTGGACATTGGGAGAAACTTAAAGTTAGAACTTTTTTCTCTGGATATTGGGAGAAACTTAAAGTTAGAACTTTTTTCTCTGGATATTGGGAGAAACTTAAAGTTAGAACTTTTTCTCTGGACATTGGGAGAAACTTAAAGTTAGAACTTTTTTCTCTGGATATTGGGAGAAACTTAAAGTTAGGACTTTTTCTCTGGACATTTGGAGAAACTTAAAGTTAGGACTTTTTTCTCTGGATATTGGGAGAAACTTAAAGTTAGGACTTTTTCTCTGGAGATTGGGAGAAACTTAAAGTTAGGACTTTTTCTCTGGATATTGGGAGAAACTTAAAGTTAGGACTTTTTCTCTGGATATTGGGAGAAACTTAAAGTTAGGACTTTTTCTCTGGACATTGGGAGAAACTTAAAGTTAGGACTTTTTTCTCTGGATATTGGGAGAAACTTAAAGTTAGAACTTTTTCTCTGGACATTGGGAGAAACTTAAAGTTAGGACTTTTTTCTCTGGACATTGGGAGAAACTTAAAGTTAGGACTTTTTCTCTGGAAATTGGGAGAAACTTAAAGTTAGGACTTTTTTCTCTGGATATTGGGAGAAACTTAAAGTTAGGACTTTTTCTCTGGACATTGGGAGAAACTTAAAGTTAAGACTTTTTTCTCTGGACATTGGGAGAAACTTAGTTAGGACTTTTTCTCTGGAGATTGGGAGAAACTTAAAGTTAGGACTTTTTTCTCTGGACATTGGGAGAAACTTAGTTAGAACATCTCTTACCTGTTTACTGTGTGTTCGAGCGTGTGTGTGTGTGTGTGGTGGGGGGGGGGGGGCAGTGGAGATTGGAGGAAACTCAATGTTAGCACCAGAACTCATCTTTTACCTGTTGACTGTGTGTATGTGAGTGAGTGGGGGTGGGGATGTCTGTAGGTCTACCGTCCTCACGGCTCATTGAAGTGTTGCATCGTCTGTTTAGCCAGGAAACTATTTATGCTTATAATAAAGGAATCTTGGTAAGAATGCAGAGGCGTATCCAGGTTTTCGATGTAGGGGGAGCGAAAAGAGCAAAAAAAGGCGCCGAATTTTTAACACGTTCTATATACATGAATTATATATATTATAGCCTATATATATATATATATATATATATATATATATATATATATATATATATATATATATATATAGGCCTACTAGCTGTATTTGTCATTACTTCGCTATGATGTAAAATAAATTGAAAGTAGCACTCTGAAGAAATAAGAAAAAACACACAATGTAGGCCGACAAAACAAAAATTGTATCAAAATATATATATATATATATATACTAGGCATACTGCCTAGCTTCGCTTAGGTTTTCAAAAAAGTTGAGAAATTGAATGATTAATTAATAGGTGATTGGCTGTTATGTTAAATGCTTAGGGCCTAAATTTATACAGTGGGATACTTTTATTGTGCCCATAAATTGATGCAATATTCGCTAACTTATTACTCGCAAGGTTATTAGAACTGAAAGGGCTTTCATAAAAATTATTAATCAAATATAATATTAAATTACTTTTGCAATTAATTTTACAATTTCAATACAATACAAAACTTAATTTATAACAAAATATCCTTTTAAACAATGCTATACATTATGATTTTTGTTTTTCTTAAAAAGAGGATACAAAATATAAAAAAATTGTGACATTAAAAAGTTACCGCCCCTGTTCATAGACCAAATGACCAAATCTCGTATAATGAGAATTTCAATCGCAGTCAATTTTAGCCCTCTTCGAGGGCTTTGATGCTGACCAACAGTTTTTCCATACGGCCCAGTCATCTATAGAGGTGTATGCAAAATATTAGCCAGTTATACAAAGAGTAAGTACCCTAAAATTTGTGTAGAAATTACCGTTTTCCCTATAAAATACAAAGATTATTTAGGGAAATACGACTGGTCAGTTTTGACCAATTTCCCGATTTTTCCCAGACATGGCAAGTTTTTTGTGACACCCCAAGGCGTTCTCCTACCACCTCACAAAATTTCAAGTGGGGTCGTCGGAGGAAATTTTTTTTCGTAATAGAGCTCATATAAAGAAAATTTCACTCGCGGTCACTTTTTAGCCCTCGTCGAGGGCTTTGAGTCAAACCGACAGTTTTCCCTAAAGGTCAAGCCATTTACCTAAGAGTATGCAAAAAATTAGCCATATACACTGAGTTTAAGTACCCTAAAGTCTGCGTTGAAATAACCCTCTGTATTTCCACATAAAATACAAAGATTATATAGGGAAATACAACTGGTCAGTTTTGACCCCTTTACGAAGTTTTCCCAGATATGCCGAGTTTTTTGTGGCACCCCAAGGCGTTCTCCTACCACCTCAAAAATATCAAGGGGGGGTCGTCGGAGAAATTTTTTTTTCGTAATAGAGCTCATATAAAGAGAATTTCACTCGCGGTCACTTTTTAGCCCTCGTCGAGGGCTTTGAGTCAAACCAATAGTTTTCCCTAAAGGTCAAGCCATTTACCTAAGAGTATGCAACAAATTAGTCATATACACTGAGTTTAAGTACCCTAAAGTCTGCGTTGAAATGACCCTCTGTTTTTCCCATAAAATACAAAGATTATATAGGGAAATACAACTGGTCAGCTTTGACCCCTTTACGAAGTTTTCCCAGATATGCCGAGTTTTTTGTGACACCCCAAGGCGTTCTCCTACCACCTCACAAAATATCAAGGGGGTCGTTGGAGGAATTTTTTTTCGTAATATAGCCCATATAAGGCGCCGGTCAGTCGCGGTCAGTTTTGACCCCCTGTCCGTAGACTTTTCGGCCAACCGTCACCGGCCCTCGTGTTCTATCGCCCCAAGGCACCATCGTGCAAAATTTGACGCGCCGGCGGCGCCGGGAAGTGCCCTATCGGGCACCCGACCACTTTGCTTTATATATATATATATATATATATATATATATATATATATATATATATATATATATATATATATATATATATATATACACACTACAACCAAAAACAATGAACGTAACACACTCTGTTTTGTAATTCTTGTAAAAACTTTCTTACCTAATAATTCCTGGGAAATTATTTAAGACCAGTGAAATAGGGGAAATAATCACTCTCTTAATATAAATATGTATATATCTACACATTTAATTATAAATGTCAAAACAAATAAATAATTACTTTAGAATATATTTTAAATTCTTTAACACTATTTGTGTTTACAAAATGTTTTTGTCTATAATCATAATTTAAAATATCGCCATCATAAATGCTAAAGTATTACAGCATAATGAAAGTTTTTAAAATCAGATTTGGTATAAAACCACGCTTTTCAATAAAATAGAAAACATTCGGAATAACAGCCTACATATAACTAAATATTGGTCTTTTAGTTGAGATCATAAATTTTAATTAACTTCTGCTTCTTTGTGTTCTTTAAAGATAATTTTTTTAACATTGTGATAGGTATGGGTTAGATCAGGGGTCTCCAAACTTTTCAGTCCGAGGGCCGCATTAACTATCAAATTTCAGTTCGGGAGCCAGTTAGTTCCAGGCATGTCTTTGATTTTTCTGGGCAAAGTTCCTCAGCCATCACCAGCAAACGTTTTTTCCGTGGACAAAAAGATCTCCGCGGGCCGGATGAGAGGACCTCGCGGGCCGCACCGGGCCGGGGGGCCGTAGTTTGAAGACCCCTGGGTTAGATCACTGTATTGATCACACACCTTTTTACTGGTAATTGCAAAAACAATATTCACAGAGTTTTATGTTTAAAAAGCTAATTTTCTGGCGACGACATTATACTTTGGTACATCATTAAGCGCTTTTCTACATGTACTTTAACAGATCAGTTCGGGGTGGGTTGGGGGGGGGGGGGAGGATGGGTTTAACTTCATTCACCACTGTCCGTTCACTTTAGGTCAATTATCCAACCAAGTGTATACCTAGGTGTGACATTAATGTCGCTCTACACAATTGTGGTGGTGAGGTGTGTGTGTGTGTAGGGGGGGGGGACGGCGGGAGATAACCAACTCAGAGTGAACATAGCGTCAGTTTTTAGATGACTGTTCTAAACATACATATATATTATACAAATATATATTACACAAATATATATTACAGAAATAGATTTAAATACGTAGCAGTGGTATTATGGCAATATTTTTTTTACAGAGGGGTCCATGGGGGAGGGGGATTGTAACTGTTTCATATAATTTGTAATCGTAATCACTATCTTCCAAACTGTAAGAATACTACTACTTCATCGCGATGACGTTGTTAACCTTGTCAAAATTTCCCCACCACTACGCAGTTTGCTCATAAGTAAATTTAAATAGAGGTGCCACATCAGTTGTATTTGTTTCTGTATCGTAATTTTAAAAAAAATTAATCACACGATTCAAACTATATATAAAGTAATTATGTGTGAAGTTTTATGTATAACATTTTCTAATTCAATTATTCGTAAGCAAATACATTATACAGTTGCCTTAAACGTAACACCCTTCTTGCCAAGTGGTACTACCGTAGAGGTTTTTTAAACATTGCAATGCATCGTAATGGTTATTTTTAGAATGGCAAACTGATGCAGCTGTTAATTAATACGTGTTGTAAACGTAGACTCTACTAGACTAGTACAATAATGCTTAATTGCTGCACCAAAAGAAATCTTGTGATTTACATAGATGTGCCGACCAAAAATATTTTTACAACAAATATCATTGTTTAAAACTTTGAGTAAAAAGTTTCCAAAAAGGCGCCACTTTGCTGAAAATGGCCAGAGGGGGAGCGGCCGCTCCCCCTGCTCCCCCCCTGCGTACGCTACTGTAAGAATGGTTTATTTACATCTTGTTCTCGAAGCAAAATGATGTGGTTCTAAAACTTATTATTGTTCTAAAGATTCTTGGTTCTTAAATCTTTCTAGTGTCCCCACCTGAGCCCTACCCAACCCCCTGTTAGTGGGCCTTACACAATTTATAATGTATGTGTACCTGTTACCCGATGGTTTCAACCAAAGGGTAGTTGGTGGAGAGCATAAGCAGATCGGGGGATGGGCGTGGTGGACGAGCTAAAAATAGAACCTACTCTTCCGTCATCCCCGTGACAGGGTCCACCATGGTGTGATAAGCGTGGTCAGTCTCGTCGACCTCACTAAACTCGCTGCCCCACGACCACTCGCCGGAGCCGGACCCGGTGCCGGTGCCGGTGCTTGTGTCCACTGAAAACATCCGAGGGCTGCTGCTGAAGGTCCGCGCCCTCCGTATGCGGGGCGTCCGGCCCCTGGAGGCGGGCGTTATGGGTGTGGTTGGGCACCCGGTCAGCGATTTGGTCTTAGACTGTCGGGGCGTGCTGGTGGAAAAGCCGGCAGGGGGAGCCTCGGTGTCGTCTTGGAAGACGGAATCGTCCGCTTTCTGGGAGCTGGGGGTGCCTTGGACGGTTGGGGAGCCGGCATTCTGGGAGCTGGGGGTGGCGGTGACAGACTCGGGTGGGGCCTCACTCACGGGTGTAGCAGGTTCTGCCATTTTAAAGGTGTCTGCCTTTTTTAACGGTGTCTGCCTGTTTTCAAATGGTGTCTGCCTTTTTAAAAGGTGTCTGCTTTTTTTAAAACGGTGTCTGCCTATTTTTTTCTGATTTGTTCCTGATGTTAAGTCCCAGGGCTGTAGCGAGAGGGGTGCTGGTTGGATTAAAATGAGGGTTGGATTAGTATGGTGTTTGGGATTGGGATGCGGTTGGATTGGGGTAGAGGTTTGAAGAATATAAAAAACAAGCGAATTATAAAAACATAAGTTACAAACTCGATTAACCGTAACATCTCAACACCTTTTAAAAATAAGTCGTGTTTATAATCAGTGTGTGATTAATTAAACTAACTGCCGTATTAATGATAATAAAGCCCCCCCCCCCCCCCCCAGGATTGAAACTTATCCTTTCACCCTGTGTTAAAAAAATTCTTAAGACTAATGCGTATGTGGAATCATATCAGTTGAAGGTTTAGCTGCTTGCTATTTCGTTTATGAAGGATTTAAATTAAAAAAGTGTTATGTTTAGGGACATTGGTACACATTTCATAGTACAAGAACTAAGCTCTACCCAATACACAGACAGGTAGATGTGTCTGGACAGAGATACAGACAGGTAGATGAGTCTGGACAGAGATACAGACAGGTAGATGTGTCTGTACAGAGATACAGACAGGTAAATGTGTCTGGACAGAGATACAGACAGGTAGATGTGTCTGGAGATACAGACAGGTAGATGTGTCTGGACAGAGATACAGACAGGTAGATGTGTCTGGAGATACAGACAGGTAGATGTGTCTGGACAGAGATACAGACAGGTAGATGTGTCTGGACAGAGATACAAACAGGTAGGTGTGTCTGGAGATACAGACAGGTAGATGTGTCTGGAGATACAGACAGGTAGATGTGTCTGGACAGAGATACAGACAGGTAGATGTGTCTGGACAGAGATACAGACAGGTAGATGTGTCTGGAGATACAGACAGGTAGATGTGTCTGGAGATACAGACAGGTAGATGTGTCTGGACAGAGATACAGACAGGTAGATGTGTCTGGAGATACAGACAGGTAGATGTGTCTGGAGATACAGACAGGTAGATGTGTCTGGACAGAGATACAGACAGGTAGATGTGTCTGGACAGAGATACAGACAGGTAGATGTGTCTGGAGATACAGACAGGTAGATGTGTCTGGACAGAGATACAGACAGGTAGATGTGTCTGGACAGAGATACAAACAGGTAGGTGTGTCTGGAGATACAGACAGGTAGATGTGTCTGGAGATACAGACAGGTAGATGTGTCTGGACAGAGATACAGACAGGTAGATGTGTCTGGACAGAGATACAGACAGGTAGATGTGTCTGGAGATACAGACAGGTAGATGTGTCTGGAGATACAGACAGGTAGATGTGTCTGGACAGAGATACAGACAGGTAGATGTGTCTGGACAGAGATACAGACAGGTAGATGTGTCTGGACAGAGATACAGACAGGTAGATGTGTCTGGAGATACAGACAGGTAGATGTGTCTGGACAGAGATACAGACAGGTAGATGTGTCTGGAGATACAGACAGGTAGATGTGTCTGGAGATACAGACAGGTAGATGTGTCTGGAGATACAGACAGGTAGATGTGTCTGGAGATACAGACAGGTAGATGTGTCTGGACAGAGATACAGACAGGTAGATGTGTCTGGACAGAGATACAGACAGGTAGATGTGTCTGGACAGAGATACAGACAGGTAGATGTGTCTGGACAGAGATACAGAGAGGTAGATGTGTCTGGACAGAGATACAGACAGGTAGATGTTTCTGGAGGGTGACTGAGAAATCAGGTCTCTAATCAAACAATTACAATAAACAGTAACTAAATGAAAAAACTGTTTTAAAAGTTTAGATCATTTAGTATACGTATAGATCTAGGTAAGAACGGTAAGTTAAAAAAAATGATTCAACTAAATATAAACGTTCCGGGCCAGCGGACATTACTTTGCTGTTTAAAATTGTACCCCGTAAATAAATAATTTTCATCGCAGATTATAACTAGATCTATATCCCCTCAAATTGATTCAACTCCTGACTAATTCTAATTATCCCCGCTATCACGCCAGGAACATTTTTACCAGAACAAATCCTGCTTTTTAGTCTGGGCAGACTGACGTGTTGATGTCGCGTTCAGTACCCGTGCTTTCAAGTGCTACACTGGTTTAGCGCGCAACTCCTACTTTTTGGTTTGACAGTAACGATTCTAAAATCTAAGGGAGTAGATGCGTGGTTAGTGTGACATTGACATCTGCGACACCAGCATAACGCGACACAATCGCATCATCGCCATCGGTACTAACAACACGAGACAACTATCGATGTGGGGGTTCATGGGGTGGGGGTTCAAAGGATGGGGGTTCATGTGGTGGTGGTGGGGGGGTTCATGATGTGGGGGGGGTCGTGGTGTGGGGGTTCAGGGCGTGGGGGTTCATGGGGTGGGGTTAAAAAGGTGGGGGTTCAAAGGGTGGGGGTTCATGTGGTGGTGGTGGTATGGGGGGGGTTCATGATGTGGGGGGTCGTGATGTGGGGGTTCAGGGCGTGGGGGTTCATGGGGTGGGGTTAAAAAGGTGGGGGTTCAAAGGGTGGGGGTTCATGTGGTGGTGGTGGTGGAGGGTTCATGATGTGGGGGGGGGGTTATGGTGTGGGGTTTTCTTTGTGCATTTTTGCTTTCTAGTACACAGAGTAAAGGGGGAGTATTGTGGTCGTGCTTATATTTTGACAGTTTTCGCCGTATTGCACCCAACTATTTTATCGCAAACAGAATATAAACGACGAATTGTAAACGTGTAACAAATCAAAATCTAGAATGTAACAAATTTTGACGTCTGTCAACCTACCGAACCCTAAAAAAATCTTAGTTTTTCTGATTTTTTGGTCTCTCTGTCTCTCTCTGTCTCTGTTCAGTTTTTGAACGATTTCCGGTAACCGATAGTGTTATTTTACTCTAATTTATGAGAACTTGCTTATTTTGTCTATTAGGTAAATCAAATAACATATATATGTACAAGATTTTTACATGGATTACCCTCACATTTTGATTGATCTCCGATATTAAGAAGTGGCACTTGACTCTATTTTCGGGTTTACTAACAGATAACTTTTTATGTAACCGTGGATACCACTACCTGCTTTGTCAACTGAAGTATATACCAATACCTGACTAAAGTATATACCAATACCTGACTAAAATATATACCAATACCTGACTAAAGTATATACCACTACCTGCCCAAAGTATACACCACAATATGTTTGAAGTATATACCACTACTTGAAATAAAGTATATACCACTACCTGCCTAAGTTATATACCACTACCGGCCTAACTTATATACCACTACCTGCCTAACTTAAATACCACTAACTGTCTGAAGTGTATACCACTATCTTTCTTGCTCTCTGTCAATAATAGACCACATTTCAAATTTTTAAACTGAACTGAAATATTTTCTCGCAATTTTTAAAAAAAATCAAGTTAATAACAGACATTAGTTCAGAGAATCCATAAAAAAATATTTGTTGTATTTATAGTTTATTTAATATATAAAAACTGAAATTTTGTATAATAAAATATTCAGTTATATGGTAAAAATTTGAATCATTTAAAAACAAGCAAATCTTTCCAAGTATCCCAGCATTCCGTAATTGTAGTTACATCACCTACCGAGACTACACAACAGCCTAGACTACAGCCCACAACAGCCTAGACTACAGCCCACACCAGCCTAGACTACAGCCCACAACAGCCTAGACTACAGCCCACAACAGCCTAGAGTACAGCCCACAAAAGCCTAGTTACAGCCCACAACAGCCTAGACTACAGCCCACAACAGCCTAGACTACAGCCCACAACAGCCTAGACTATAGCACAGAGCCTAGACTACAGCTCACAACAGCCTAGACTACAGCCCACAACAGTTTAGACTACAGCCCACAACAGCCTAGTTACAGCCCACAACAGCCTAGACTACAGCCCACAGCAGCCTAGACTACAGCACACAACAGCCTAGACTACAGCCCACAACAGCCTAGACTACAGCCCACACCAGCCTAGACTACAGCCCACAACAGCCTAGACTACAGCCCACAACAGCCTAGAGTACAGCCCACAAAAGCCTAGTTACAGCCCACAACAGCCTAGACTACAGCCCACAACAGCCTAGACTACAGCCCACAACAGCCTAGACTATAGCACAGAGCCTAGACTACAGCTCACAACAGCCTAGACTACAGCCCACAACAGCTTAGACTACAGCCCACAACAGCCTAGACTACAGCCCACAGCAGCCTAGACTACAGCACACAACAGCCTAGACTACAGCCCACCACAGCCTAGACTACAGCACACAACAGCACTGTTGGCTAGCGATCATCCCCTCCGACTTCTTGACTTTGGACGAGATGAGATTGGCCAACATTCCCCACGCTTTGACTTCATCATCTACTAGCGCGCGCTTGATCTGTGACGCCATAAATTGTGGGAACTTGGCCTGGAACACCTGGGGAACATTCAACAGGGCTAGTCATAGGATGGAACCAAGGGAACATTCAACAGGGCTAGTCATAGGATGGAACCAAGGGAACATTCAACAGGGCTAGTCATAGGATGGAACCAAGGGAACATTCAACAGGGCTAATACCACAGGGGAACATTCAACAGGGCTAATACCACAGGGGAACATTCAACAGAGCTAGTCATAGGATGGAACCAAGAGAACATTCAACAAAACTATTTACAGGCAGGAACTTAGTGCGAACTTTCAACATCTCTAAACTATAAGGTATAAACATTACATCAAAAAGTTATTTCTAGCTGTTAAGTTACTTCCACCATATATGTCAACGGTACCGTGATCTTCTCTCCACCGAACCCATGTATATGACTCTACTGCACCAAACCACCCCTATCCCATGTAAATGACTTTGCTCCACCAAACCAGCCCCCCCCCCCCATCTAAATGACTTTGCTCCACCGAACACCCCACCATGTAAATGACTTTGCTCCACCAGCCCCCCCCCCCCCCCCCCCCCATCATGTAAATGACTTTGCTCCACCGAACACCCCCTCCCCCATGTATATGACTTTGCTCCACAAAAACAACCCCCCCCACCATGTAAATGACTCTACTCCACTGAACCACCCCCCATGTTATTGACTTTGCTCCACTGAACCACCCCCCATGTAAATGACTTTGCTCCACCGAACACCCCCTATGTACATGACTTTGCTCCACCGAACACCCCCCCCCCCCATGTAAATGACTTTGCTCCACCGAACACCCACCCCCCCATGTATATGACTTTGCTCCACCGAACACCCCCCCCCCCATGTATATGACTTTGCTCCACAGGACCATCTCACGTCGAAGTACTCCGACCCGATCTTTGGCGTGAAGAACAGGTGGGTGATGGCCAGATGGTGTGTCTCCATCTCCAGCTCCACGGGGGTGTCCAGTAGACGGATCATGGAGTCGAACCACTTGGCCACAATACGGCAGTGGTTCCTGAACTCCTTGTTCGCCAACAGCTGTTCCTGTGGCAGGGTCCCGTCAAACTTGGTGAACCTCTTCTTGGCGTTGGGGATAGTCTCAAGCAGCCTGCAACATGGCATGTACACATTCTAGAGTTTGATGCAACATGACATGTACACATTCTAGAGTTTGATGCAACACGGCATGTACACATTCTAAAGTTTGATGCAATACAGCATGTACACATTCTAAAGTTTGATGCAACACGGCATGTACACATTCTAAACTTTGATGCAACACGGCATGTACACATTCTAAAGTTTTATGCAACACGGCATGTACACATTCTAAAGTTTTATGCAACACAGCATGTACACATTCTAAAGTTTGATGCAACACGGCATGTACACATTCTAAAGTTTTATGCAACACAGCATGTACACATTCTAAAGTTTGATGCAACTCATGTACACATTCTAAAGTTTGATGCAACATGGCATGTGCACATTCTAAAATTTGATGCAACACATGTACACATTCTAAAGTTTTATGCAACACAGCATGTACACATTCTAAAGTTTGATGCAACACATGTACACATTCTAAAGTTTGATGCAACACATGTACACATTCTAAAATTTGATGCAACACGGCATGTACACATTCTAAAGTTTGATGCAACACATGTACACATTCTAAAATTTTGATGCAACACGGCATGTACACATTCTAAAGTTTGATGCAACATGGCATGTACACATTTTAAAGTTTTATGCAACACGGCATGTACACATTCTAAAGTTTGATGCAACATGGCATGTACACATTCTAAAGTTTGATACAACACAGCATGTACACATTCTAAAGTTGGATGCTACACGGCAAGTACACTTTCTAATGTTTGATGCAACACAGTATGTACACATTCTAAAGTTTTATGCAACACAGCATGTACACATTCTAAAGTTTGATGCAACACGGCATGTACACATTCTAAAGTTTGATGCAACACAGCTTGTACACATTCTAAAGTTTGATGCAACACGGCATGTACACATTCTAAAGTTTGATGCAACACGGCATGTACACATTCTAATGTTTTATGCAACACAGCATGTACACATTCTAAAGTTTGATGCAACACATGTACACATTATAAAGTTTGATGCAACACGGCATGCACACATTCTAAAGTTTGATGCAACACAGCATGTACACATTCTAAAGTTTGATGCAACACGGCATGCACACATTCTAAAGTTTGATGCAACACAGCATGTACACATTCTGAAGTTTGATGCAACACGGCATGTACACATTCTAAAGTTTTATGCAACACAGCTTGTACACATTCTAAAGTTTGATGCAACACGGCATGTACACATTCTAAAGTTTTATGCAACACGGCATGTACACATTCTAAAGTTTGATGCAACACAGCATGTACACATTCTAAAGTTTGATGCAACACGGCATGTACACATTCTAAAGTTTGATGCAACACGGCATGTACACATTCTAAAGTTTGATGCAACACAGCATGTACACATTCTAAAGTTTGATGCAACACGGCATGTACACATTCTAATGTTTTATGCAACACAGCATGTACACATTCTAAAGTTTGATACAACACAGCATGTACACATTATAAAGTTTGATGCAACACGGCATGCACACATTCTAAAGTTTGATGCAACACAGCATGTACACATTCTAAAGTTTGATGCAACACGGCATGTACACATTCTAAAGTTTTATGCAACACAGCATGTACACATTCTAAAGTTTGATGCAACACGGCATGTACACATTCTAAAGTTTTATGCAACACGGCATGTACACATTCTAAAGTTTGATGCAACACAGCATGTACACATTCTAAAGTTTGATGCAACACGGCATGTACACATTCTAAAGTTTGATGCAACACGGCATGTACACATTCTAAAGTTTGATGCAACACAGCATGTACACATTCTAAAGTTTGATGCAACATGGCATGTGCACATTCTAAAGTTTGATACAACACAGCATGTACACATTCTAAAGTTGGATGCTACACGGCAAGTACACTTTCTAATGTTTGATGCAACACAGTATGTACACATTCTAAAGTTTTATGCAACACAGCATGTACACATTCTAAAGTTTGATGCAACACGGCATGTACACATTCTAAAGTTTGATGCAACACAACATGTACACATTCTAAAGTTTTATGCAACACGGCATGTACACATTCTAAAGTTTGATGCAACACAGCATGTACACATTCTAAAGTTTTATGCAACACAGCATGTACACATTCTAAAGTTTTATGCAACACATGTATACATTCTTTTGTTTGATGCAACACAGCATGTACACATTCTAAAGTTTTATGCAACACAGCATGTACACATTCTAAAGTTTTATGCAACACGGCATGTACACATTCTAAAGTTTGATGCAACACAGCATGTACACATTCTAAAGTTTGATGCAACACGGCATGTACACATTCTAAAGTTTGATGCAACACGGCATGTACACATTCTAAAGTTTGATGCAACACGGCATGTACACATTCTAAAGTTTGATGCAACACAGCATGTACACATTCTAAAGTTTGATGCAACAAACAAGGACTGCTGGGCACAGAATTATATGACTTCACTTCACTAGTTACATGGACTGCTGGGCACAGAATTATATGACTTCACTTCACTAGTTACATGGACTGCTGGGCACAGAATTATATGACTTCACTTCACTAGTTACATGGACTGCTGGGCACAGAATTATATGACTTTACTTTACTAGTTACATGGACTGCTGGGCACAGAATTATATGACTTGACTTCACTAGTTCATGGACGGCTGGGCACAGAATTATATGACTTCACTTCACTAGTTACATGGACTGCTGGGCACAGAATTATATGACTTCACGTCACTAGTTACATGGACTGCTGGGCACAGAATTATATGACTTCACTAGTTACATGGACTGCTGGGCACAGAATTATATGACTTCACTAGTTACATGGACTGCTGGGCACAGAATTATATGACTTCACTTCACTAGTTACATGGACTGCTGGGCACAGAATTATATGACTTCACTAGTTACATGGACTGCTGGGCACATAATTATATGACTTCACTTCACTAGTTACATAGACTGCTGGGCACAGAATTATATGACTTCACTTCACTAGTTACATGGACTGCTGGGCACATAATCATATGACTTCACTTCACTAGTTACATGGACTGCTGGGCACAGAATTATATGACTTCACTAGTTACACGGACTGCTGGGCACAGAATTATATGACTTCACTAGTTACATGGACTGCTGGGCACATAATTATATGACTTCACTTCACTAGTTACATGGACTGCTGGGCACAGAATTATATGACTTCACTTCACTAGTTACATGGACTGCTGGGCACAGAATTATATGACTTCACTTCACTAGTTACATGGACTGCTGGGTACAGAATTATATGACTTAACTTCACTAGTTACATGGACTGCTGGGCACAGAATTATATGACTTCACTTCACTAGTTACATGGACTGCTGGGCACAGAATTATATGACTTGACTTCACTAATTACATGGACTGCTGGGCACAGAATTATATGACTTCACTTCACTAATTACATGGACTGCTGGGCACAGAATTATATGACTTTACTTCACTAGTTACATGGACTGCTGGGCACATAATTATATGACTTCACTTCACTAGTTACATGGACTGCTGGGTCCCAACCCATCAACCTTTGAACTTACCAAAACATAAACTGTACACCAAATTGCTCCTGGGCGGCGTCAACTAACTGTGGCGCCAGGCCGATGTGATCTTGCCAACAGTCTTTCAGTAGCAATCTCTGTCTGTTGGGAGAACCAAATAGGATGTCAAATATTCAAATATCAAAACATGAGAAACCTCAAAGTAAGTCATACATTGACTCATAGCAATATAGGTCTTACTGTAATGTAGTGTATAGGTTATAACCAAAGGTCCTTGTGATGTTTGACCCACCACACCATACAGGGCTGACAGAACGTTACATTTGATTTCCTTAGACAGACGATCTTAGAGTACAGTTTTAAGGCGCCTACCCCAACCTTTCTTCCCCACCTCACAGAAAATCCACTACACTATTTTGTTTAGTGGAAGATGACAGTGAATGTAAACATATATTCTCAGTTTAGAGAAAACCTCTGGTTACATTTCACAAGAAAAAGTTGCACATTTTGTATTGTCATGCCGGCTCAACTAACACCTACCTCAAACATACCGGCTAAACTAACACCCACATACATCCACCTACACTCACCAGCACCCACCAGCACCCACCATCACCCACCTACACCCATCTACCTGCACCCACTTACCTACACCCACCCACCTACACCCACCCACCTACACCCACCCCCCTACACCCACCCCCCTACACCCACCAACACCCACCTACATCCACCCACCTACACCCACCCACCTACACCCACACACCTGCACCCACCCACCTACACCCACCCACCTACACCCACCCACCTGCACCCACCAACACCCACCAACACCCACCCACCTACACCCACCCACCTACACCCACCCACCTACACCCACCCACCTGCACCCACCAACACCCACCAACACCCACCTACACCCACCCACCTGCACCCACCTACACCCACCTGCACCCACCAACACCCACCTACACCCACCCACCTACACCCACCAACACCCACCCACCTACACCTACCTACACCCACCCACCTACACCCACCTACACCCACTCACCTACACCCACCCACCTACACCCACCCCCTACACCCACCAACACCCACCTACACCCACCCACCTACACCCACCAACACCCACCAACACCCACCTACACCCACCCACCAACACCCACCAACACCCACCAACACCCACCTACACCCACCCACCTACACCCACCAACACCCACCAACACCCACCAACACCCACCTACACCCACCTACACCCACCCACCTACACCCACCCACCTACACCCACCCACCTACACCCACCAACACCCACCTACGTTCACCCACCTGCACCCACCTACACCCACCCACCTACACCAACCCACCTACACCCACCCACCTACACCCACCCACCTACACCCACCCACCTACACCCACCTACACCCACCCACCTACACCCACCTACACCCACCTACACCCACCCACCTACACCAACCCACCTACACCCACCCACCTACACCCACCCACCTACACCCACCAACACCCACCAACACCCACCAACACCCACCTACATCCACCCACCTACACCAACCTACACCCACCCACCTACACCCACCCACCTACACCCACCCACCTACACCCACCCCCCTACACCCACCAACACCCACCTACATCCACCCACCTGCACCCACCTACACCCACCCACCTACACCCACCCACCTACACCCACCCACCTGCACCCACCAACACCCACCTACATCCACCCACCTGCACCCACCTACACCCACCCACCTACACCCACCCACCTACACCCACCCACCTGCACCCACCAACACCCACCTACACCCACCCACCTACACCAACCCACCTACACCCACCCACCTACACCCACCCACCTACACCCACCCACCTACACCCACCTACACCCACCCACCTACACCCACCTACACCCACCTACACCCACCCACCTACACCAACCCACCTACACCCACCCACCTACACCCACCCACCTACACCCACCAACACCCACCAACACCCACCTACATCCACCCACCTGCACCCACCAACACCCACCCACCTACACCCACCCACCTACACCCACCAACACCCACCTACACCCACCCACCTACACCTACCCACCTACACCCACTCACCTACACCCACCCACCTACACCCACCCACCTACACCCACCCCCCTACACCCACCAACACCCACCTACATCCACCCACCTGCACCCACCAACACCCACCTACATTCACCCACCTGCACCCACCTACACCCACCAACACCCACCCACCTACACCCACCTACACCCACCTACACCCACCAACACCCACCCACCTACACCCACCTACACCCACCAACACCCACCCACCTACACCAACCTACACCCACCTGCACCCACCTACACCCACCAACACCCACCTGCACCCACCTACACCCACCAACACCCACCCACCTACACCAACCTACACCCACCTACACCCACCTACACCCACCAACACCCACCTACATCCACCCACCTGCTTCAACCTACACCCACCCACCTACACCCACCAACACCCACCTACACCCACCCACCTACACCCACCCACCTACACCCACCCACCCACCTGCACCCACCTACACCCACCAACACCCACCTACACCCACCCACCTGCACCCACCTACACCCACCCACCTACACCCACCCACCTACACCCACCTACACCCACCTACACCCACCTACACCCACCTACACCCACCACCAACACCCACCTACACCCACCCACCTGCACCCACCTACACCCACCCACCTACACCCACCCACTTACACCCACCTACACCCACCTACACCCACCTACACCCACCTACACCCACTTACACCCACTTACACCCACCTACACCCACCTACACCCACCTACACCACCCTACACCCACTTACACCCACTTACACCCACCTACACCCACCTACACCCACCTACACCCACCAACACCCACCCACCTACACCAACCTACACCCACCTGCACCCACCTACACCCACCAACACCCACCTGCACCCACCTACACCCACCAACACCCACCCACCTACACCAACCTACACCCACCTACACCCACCTACACCCACCAACACCCACCTACATCCACCCACCTGCACCAACCTACACCCACCCACCTACACCCACCTACACCCACCAACACCCACCTACACCCACCCACCTACACCCACCCACCTACACCCACCCACCCACCTGCACCCACCTACACCCACCAACACCCACCTACACCCACCCACCTGCACCCACCTACACCCACCCACCTACACCCACCCACTTACACCCACCTACACCCACCTACACCCACCTACACCCACCCACCTACACCCACCTACACCCACCTACACCCACCTACACCCACCACCAACACCCACCTACACCCACCCACCTGCACCCACCTACACCCACCCACCTACACCCACCCACTTACACCCACCTACACCCACCTACACCCACCTACACCCACCTACACCCACTTACACCCACTTACACCCACCTACACCCACCTACACCCACCTACACCACCCTACACCCACTTACACCCACTTACACCCACCTACACCCACCTACACCCACCTACACCCACCTACACCACCCTACACCCACTTACACCCACTTACACCCACCTACGCCCACCTACACCCACCAACACCCACCTACATTCACCCACCTGCACCCACCTACACCCACCCACCTACACCCACCCACCTACACCCACTTACACCCACCTACACCCACCTACACCCACCCACCTACACCCACCAACACCCACCTACACCCACCCACCTACACCCACCCACCTACACCCACTTACACCCACCTACACCCACCCACCTACACCCACCCACCTACACCCACCCACCTGCACCCACCTACACCCACCTACACCCACCTACACCCACCTACACCCACCTACACCCACCAACACCCACCTACATTCACCCACCTGCACCCACCTACACCCACCCACCTACACCCACCCACCTGCACCCACCTACACCCACCTACACCCACCTACACCCACCTACACCCACCTACACCCACCTACACCTACCTACATTCACCCACCTGCACCCACTTACACCCACCTACACCCACCTACACCCACCTACACCCACCTACACCAACCTACACCCACCTACACCCACCTACACCCACCTACACCTACCTACATTCACCCACCTGCACCCACTTACACCCACCTACACCCACCTACACCCACCTACACCCACCTACACCCACCTACACCCACCTACACCCACCTACACCCACCAACACCCACCCACCTACACCCACCCACCTACACCCACCTACACCCACCTACACCCACCTACACCCAGCTACACCCACCTACACCCACCTGCACCCACCTACACCCACCTACACCCACCCACCTACACCCACCTACACCCACCTACACCCACCAACACCCACCAACTCCCACCCACCACAGACATGCCGACTTGTGGGTTCTCACCTCTCCGTCATGCCAGTGAAGATACAAATCTCCCCGTTGGTCGAGGTGTCCATTTTGCTGGGCTGTGTCTAGTTCTTATTGACTCAGATCTCCTATACATACACAATTTAATATCCTACATACAACATACACAATTACATATCCTACATACAACATACACAATTTCATCTCCTACATACAACATACATAATTTTATATCCTACATACAACATACACAATTTTATATCCTACATACAACATACACAATTTCATCTCCTACATACAACATACACAATTTGATCTCCCACTTACAACATACATACTTTGATCTCCTACATAAAACATTTACACTTTGATCTTCTTCATATAACATACACAATTTCATCTCCTACATACAATATAGTTTTATCTTCTACGCTAAAAAATACACATTTTAATGATGTATTTTCAAACACATAAGAAATACATTTTTATTTTATTTTCACTACATTAGAATCGCCAAATATTTCAATACAAAATGTTATTTTAACAAGTTGACCGTTACTTTGACATCCCGCGAATAAAGACATTGTGACATCTGAAATCTTGTCCAACTTGTTGGTTAACAACCCATTAGATGTCAACTTGTTGGTTAAAAAACCCATTAGATGTCAACTTGTTGGTTAACAAACCCATTAGATGTCAACTTGTTTGTTAACAAACCCATTAGATGTCGATTTGTTGGTTAACAAACCCATTAGATGTCAAGTTGTTGGTTAACAAACCCATTAGATGTCAAGTTGGTGTTTGTCCTGGACTAACCAGACACGATACTCTTGGTTTCGATATATCATAACCATAACCTGAGGTTGGCTCTAAATATAAACCCTAAACCAGAGTCAGGGGGTAGTTTATGGCCAAAGTTTGAGTCCATTGCGGTCTACAAAATCATAAATCTAAACCCGAACTAAACTAGTATTAACTCTAACCCTTACCAACCCAGGTAGTATTAACTCTAACCCTTACCAACCCAGGTAGTATTAACTCTAACCCTTACCAACCCGGGTAGTATGAACTCTAACCCTTACCAACCCAGGTAGTATTAACTCTTACCCTTACCAACCCGGGTAGTATTAACTCTAACCCTTACCAACCCGGGTAGTATTAATTCTAACCCTTACCAACCCGAGTAGTATTAACTCTTACCCTTACCAACCCGGGTAGTATTAACTCTAACCCTTACCAACCCAGGTAGTATTAACTCGAACCCTTACCAACCCGGGTAGTATTAACTCACTCTAACCCTTACCAACCCAGGTAGTATTAACTCTAACCCTTACCAACCCGGGTAGTATTAACTCTAACCCTTACCAACCCAGGTAGTATTAACTCTAACCCTTACCAACCCGGGTAGTATGAACTCTAACCCTTACCAACCCAGGTAGTATTAACTCTTACCCTTACCAACCCGGGTAGTATTAACTCTAACCCTTACCAACCCGGGTAGTATTAACTCTAACCCTTACCAACCCGGGTAGTATTAATTCTAACCCTTACCAACCCGAGTAGTATTAACTCTTACCCTTACCAACCCGGGTAGTATTAACTCTAACCCTTACCAACCCGGGTAGTATTAACTCTAACCCTTACCAACCCAGGTAGTATTAACTCTTACCCTTACCAACCCGGGTAGTATTAACTCTAACCCTTACCAACCCGGGTAGTATTAACTCTAACCCTTACCAACCCGGGTAGTATTAATTCTAACCCTTACCAACCCGAGTAGTATTAACTCTTACCCTTACCAACCCGGGTAGTATTAACTCTAACCCTTACCAACCCGGGTAGTATTTACTCTAACCCTTACCAACCCAGGTAGTATTAACTCTAACCCTTACCAACCCAGGTAGTATTAACTCTAACCCTTACCAACCCGGGTAGTATTAACTCTAACCCTTACCAACCCGAGTAGTATTAACTCTAACCCTTACCAACCCAGGTAGTATTAACTCTAACCCTTACCAACCCAGGTAGTATTAACTCGAACCCTTACCAACCCGGGTAGTATTAACTCTAACCCTTACCAACCCGAGTAGTATTAACTCTAACCCTTACCAACCCGGGTAGTATTAACTCTAACCCTTACCAACCCAGGTAGTATTAACTCTAACCCTTACCAACCCGGGTAGTATTAACTCTTACCCTTACCAACCCGGGTAGTATTAACTCTAACCCTTACCAACCCGGGTAGTATTAACTCTAACCCTTACCAACCCAGGTAGTATTAACTCTAACCCTTACCAACCCAGGTAGTATTAACTCTAACCCTTACCAACCCAGGTAGTATTAACTCGAACCCTTACCAACCCGGGTAGTATTAACTCTAACCCTTACCAAGCCGGGTAGTATTAACTCTAACCCTTACCAACCCAGGTAGTATTAACTCTAACCCTTACCAACCCAGGTAGTATTTACTCTAACCCTTACCAACCCAGGTAGTATTAACTCTAACCCTTACCAACCCGGGTAGTATGAACTCTAACCCTTACCAACCCGGGTAGTATTAACTCTTACCCTTACCAACCCGGGTAGTATTAACTCTAACCCTTACCAACCCGGGTAGTATTAACTCTAACCCTTACCAACCCGGGTAGTATTAACTCTAACCCTTACCAACCCGGGTAGTATTAACTCTAACCCTTACCAACCCGGGTAGTATTAACTCTAACCCTTACCAACCCGGGTAGTATTAACTCTAACCCTTACCAACCCGGGTAGTATTAACTCTAACCCTTACCAACCCGGGTAGTATTAACAGGTAGTATTAACCGTTGCGCAGACAGTATGAACTCAAATTGTCAACACTAACCAAGTATCGTCGATTGTCAATGACTGTAGTTGAGCTCATTGAGTTCCTTGATTAGACCACTGAGACAATGGTCTCTCTCACTCTCTGTTGACGCTTCCTGTTCCACACCGGTTCTAGACGGTGCTGCTTTCATTTGTCTGATGGCAAGATTTTGGTGCAAAGTGTATTCTTGTAATTAATGAAATCATTATTTAATTAGCACCACACTGGATCTATAGTAACATTATAAACACCGACTACATTCCATCATACAGCAGTAACAATCATAGGCTTCTGTATCGTAGTAGAAACTTTGTAAACTGAAACAATTTTATTGCTTTTATTCTACAGTGGAATGTATACATTGTTTTAGATAGGCCGGTAGTTAGAGACCTGGGACCCATCACTACTTTTGTAGGGCTTTGGGGTCCATCCCTACATTTATCGGGACCTAAGGCCCATCCCTACATTTATCGGGACCTAAGGCCTATCCTTACATTTATGGGGACTTAAGGCCCAACCCTACATCTCTATGCCCCTGGGACTCAGCAAGAAACATCTGGACATCCCAGATTAGTTTGCACGTGTGTAGCAGAATGATGAAATACATCCCCACGGTGTTCAGGGCAGGGTGGCACTTGTAGAATCATCCCCCACCCCCTTTTACACAGAGAAAATCAAGATACAATCTCATTAGCCAAGACTCAGACAAGACCGCCCTCCCCTCATCACAACAAAGCTGACCCCCCACCTCCCATCTCTGCCGCCCCCCCCCACACACATAGATAATGAAACAAAAATACAAGTTTCATGTGAGGTGGAGTTTATTCAATCGGTAGTGGTCACTTCATATTGTAGCCTAACAGTATTCAGTACACCAATGGAACTTAAAATATAAAAAACAACAAAATAAGTTTTTGTCATTGTAATAGCAGGCATCAAACTACGCAGATCAACAAGGGCATCAATATATGGGCACCAATATATGGTCACCAATATATGGTCACCAATATATGGTCACCAATATAAGTCACCAATAAATGGTCAATAATGAATGGTCACCAATAAATGGTCACCAATATAAGTCACCAATAAATGGTCAATAATGTATGGTCACCAATATATGGTCACCAATATAAGTCACCAATAAATGGTCAATAATGTATGGTCACCAATATATGGTCACCAATATATGTCACCAATAAATGGTCACGAATGTATGGTCACCAATCGGTGATGACGTCACTATGTCCTCTTCGTAGGTGGTCACCTTGTGATGAGGCTTTCAGGTATCAGCAAGAGGCGCTGTCCAGGCGGTCTTAAGTGTCAATGTACACAATGTCCTGTGTCACTGTACACAATGTCCTGTGTCACTGTACACAATGTCAGATGTCAATGTACACAATGTCCTATGTCACTGTACACAATATCCTGTGTCACTGTACACAATGTCCTGTGTCACTGTACACAATGTCCTGTGTCACTGTACACAATGTGCCGTGTCACTGTACACAATGCCCTGTGTCACTGTACACAATGTCCTGTGTCACTGTACACAATGTCCTGTGTCACTGTACACAATGTCTTGTGTCACTGTACACAATGTCCTGTGTCACTGTACACAATGTCCTGTGTCACTGTACACAATGTCCTGTGTCACTGTACACAATGTCCTGTGTCACTGTACACAATGTTCTGTGTCACTGTACACAATGTCCTGTGTCACTGTACACAATGTCCTGTGTCACTGTACACAATGTCCTGTGTCACTGTACACAATGTCCTGTGTCACTGTACACAATGTCCTGTGTCACTGTACACAATATCCTGTGTCACTGTACACAATGTCCTGTGTCACTGTACACAATGTTCTGTGTCACTGTACACAATGTCATGTGTCACTGTACACAATTTCCTGTGTCACTGTACACAATGTCCTGTGTCACTGTACACAATGTCCTGTGTCACGTGTCACTATACACAATGTCCTGTGTCACTGTACACAATTTCCTGTGTCACTGTACACAATGTCCTGTGTCACTGTACACAATGTCCTGTGTCACTGTACACAATGTCCTGTGTCACTGTACACAATGTCTTGTGTCACTGTACACAATGTCCTGTGTCACTGTACACAATGTCCTGTGTCACTGTACACAATGTCCTGTCTCACTGAACACAATGTCCTGTGTCACTGTACACAATGTGCCGTGTCACTGTACACAATGCCCTGTGTCACTGTACACAATGTCCTGTGTCACTGTACACAATGTCCTGTGTCACTGTACACAATGTCTTGTGTCACTGTACACAATGTCCTGTGTCACTGTACACAATGTCCTGTGTCACTGTACACAATGTCCTGTCTCACTGAACACAATGTCCTATGTCACTGTACACAATGTGCCGTGTCACTGTACACAATGCCCTGTGTCACTGTACACAATGTCATGTGTCACTGTACACAACAACATCCTCTCTTCTTCTGCCCCCTCTGGCAGACGCGCTGCTCCCCCTCATGAATCAGGTCACAGAACTTGTTCACCAAAACCTGCCAGATCCGGATTCTCTCGTCATCGCCCTGGGCTTTAAATCTCTCTTGTAAGAAAACATGGAATTCTCGCCGGAAGTGCTGTGTGGGATGTCAGATGACGTTAGTGTGGTTTGTGTGAGTGGATTTAATGTGGGGGTGTGAGGGACTGTGTGGGACGTCAGTTGGCGTTGTGTGGTTTGTGTGAGTGGATTTAATGTGGGGTGTGAGGGAATGTGTGGGACGTCAGTTGGCGTTGTGTGGTTTGTGTGAGTGGATTTAATGTGGGGTGTGAGAGAATGTGTGGGACGTCAGTTGGCGTTGTGTGGTTTGTGTGAGTGGATTTAATGTGGGGTGTGAGGGAATGTGTGGGACGCAGTAGCGTACGCAGGGGGGGGGGGGGGGGAACAGGGGGAGCGGCCGCTCCCCCTCTGGCCATTTTCAGCAAAGTGGCGCCTTTTTAGAAACTTTTTAAACTCAAAGTTTTAAACAATGATATTTGTTAAAAAATATTTTTGGTCGGCACAGCTATGTAAATCACATGATTTCTTTTCATTCAGCAATTAAGCATTATTGTACTAGTCTAGTAGTGACTACGTTTACAACACGTATTAACAGCTGCATCAGTTTGCCATTCTAAAAATAACCATTACGATGCATTGCAATGTTTAAAAAACCTCTACGGTAGTACCACTTGGCAAGAGGGGTGTTAAGTGTAAGGCAACTGCATAATGTATTTGCTTACGAATAATTGAATTAGAAAATGTTATACATAAAACTTCACACATAATTACTTTATATATACAGTTTGAATCGTGTGATGAATTTTTTAAAAATTACAATACAGAAACAAATACAATTGATGTGGCACCTCTATTTAAATTTACTTATGAGCAAACTGCGTAGTGGTGGGGAAATTTTGACAAGGTCAACCACGTCATCACGATGAAGTAGTAGTATTCTTACAGTTTGGGCGATAGTGATTACGATTACAAATTATATGAAACAGTTACAACCCCCCTCCCCCATGGACCCCTCTGTAAAAAAAAAAGTATTGTCATAATACCACTGCTACGTATTCAAATCTATTTCTGTAATATATATTTGTGTAATATATATTTGTGTAATATATATGTATGTTTAGAACAGTCATCTAAAAACTGACGCTATGTTCACTCTGAGTTGGTTATCTCCCCCCCCCCCCCCCCACACACACACACCTCACCACCACAATTGTGTAGAGCGACATTAATGTCACACCTAGGTATACACTGGGTTGGATAATTGACCTAAAGTGACCGGACAGTGGTGAATGAAGTTGAACCCACCCCCCCCCCCCCAACCCACCCCGAACTGATCTGTTAAGTACATGTAGAAAAACGCGTAATGATCTACTAAAGTACCATGCCGCCAGAAAATTAGCTTTTTAAACGTAAAACTCTGTGAATATTGTTTTTGCAATTACCAGTAAAAAAGTGTGTGATCAATACAGTGATCTAACCCATACCTATCACTTTGTTAAAAATGATCTTTAAAGAACACAAATAAGCAGTAGTTAATTAAAAACATATGATCTGAACCAAAAGACCAATATTTAGTTAAATGAAGACTATTATTCCGAATGTGTGTCTATTATATCGAAAAGCGTGTTTTTATACCAACTCTGATTTTAAAAACTTTCATTATGCTGTAATACTTTAGCATTTATGATGACGATATATTAAATTATGATCATAGACAAAAACATTTTGTAAACAAGAATAGTGTTAAACAATTTCATTATATTCTAAAGTAGTTATTTATTTGTTTTGACATTTATAATTAAATGTGTAGATATATACATATTTATATTAAGAGAGTGATTATTTCCCCTATTTCACTTGTCTAAAATAATTTCCCAGGAATTATTATGTAAGAAATTTGTTTACAAGAATTACAAAACAGATTGTGTTACGTTCATTGTTTTTGGTTGTAGTATATATATATATATATATATATATATATATATATATATATATATATATATATATATATATATATATATATATATATAATACACGTATATAGAACGTGTTAAAAATTCGGCGCCTTTTTATGCTCTTTTCGCTCCCCCTACAACGAAAACCTGGATACGCCTCTGGTGGGACGTCAGATTACGTTAGTGTGGTTTGTGGTGGGACTGTGTGGGACGTTAAAAAAATGAAATATATGTATCTAATATATAAAGCTCAATTCTGTATGTAAAATGTTTGTCGTGGATACTTCCATGGATTTAAGTGTTAGATTATTATAGTACTCACGGTCTAAATTTATGAGTTAAAAAAAGTAATACTGAAAGTTTTGGGAAATAATTTTCATTTTTCAAACTGACAGTAATAATTGTCGGCATGTTCATTCAACACAATTTAAAAAAAAATATAATCTTTTACAAAAATTCTAATTATGTCTGAAAATTATTTATATTTAGTCCTTTAGCACTTACTTGCCTTTGATAAATTAGGAAAACACAATTACTTCCCTATATAAAACATTGCATTTGTGGAAGAGAATTTACTTTTTATTACTTTGTTTTGGTGTTGGGAAAAAAAAGGAATTTTACGGATAAGCTTGGAGTATTATAATTGTTCATTTGCTTTGGTTTTTCACGTACGTTCGTTTAAGTGAGTACAAAAGACTATGAATAAGTTGGGGTACTATAGTCGTTTATTAAGCTGAAACAGGCGATTCTGCCGCGGGCTAGACTGAGCACTTTGCGTTTATGTTCCCGTTTGTGTTTTCTTTGTGTTTAGGTTGGGTTTGCGTTAGTTGTTGCGTTTTGATTTGGTTCGTTTTTGTTCTTTCTTTTTTCGTTTTCGTTTGTGTTTTTTTTTAGTTTGTGTTTGTATTTGTGTTTGTGGTTGGTTTTGCGTTTGGATTTGGTTTGTTTTCGTTTGCTTTTTCGTTTTTTTTTCTTTGTGTTCGTATTGGTGTTTGTGGTTGTGGTTGGGTTTGTTGTTAGGTTTTTGTTTTCGTTTGCTTTTTGGTTTGTTTTTTCTTTGCGTTTGAATTGGTGTTTGTGGTTGTGGTTGGGTTTGTTGTTAGGTTTTTGTTTTCGTTTGTATTTGTAATTGTGTTAGCGTTATGTTTGCGTTTTATTGTTTTGGTTTTGGTTGGTTGTGGTTTGGGTGGGCAATGCCGGGTTTATGATGATTACTAAACACACAGGTAATGGTCTTTAACAGAAAGGTTTTTCACAGAAGCCAGAGCAGGGCCTGGCCGGGACGGCTAGTATATATATATATATATATATATATATATATATATATATATATATATATATATATATATATATATATATATATATATATAAGAATGGATTGAAGGACAACAACTAATTATGCAATTTCTCTTTAAAAGAAACATAAAAATCGTTTTAATAACAAACTTTTATGTAATTAATGTCAGATTGCATTGTCTTCAAGTCTAGACGCGCGTGCCAACTTTGTAACGAATCTGTCGGTTACAAGTGCTCGAAATTATGCTCGAGATTTACGATCTATGACGACAGACAGAGAGAGCAAGTTAAATAAAAGGTTGTAAAAAGACCCCATTCTTCAACTTGAAAAAACGAAGACAAAGTTGCTCTAGAGATGATTTACTATAAGACTCTGGGAAGGACTGACATACTACATAGCGGCTTATATATATATATAAGGAGTACTAAGGGAGTCTCTGTGTTGAATCATACCTTGAAGTATTGGTCCCCGATTGGCGGCTTACTGTCAGTGTGGATGTGGATGAGATAGTTCATCTCCCTCTCCAACTGCTCGGGGTCGAGTGAAGCATGGACCAGCCTCTCCAGGCCACCGATCAACTTGAAGGAGTGGGACAGGAACATCTTGTCTCGTACGAGCAGAGAACGGTGGGATGATATGGGGATCTTGTTGGACAAGCGTTGTTGCATGTTGGGGATGTTGTCGAACAACCTAGGGAGGACGGGATGACTGGATGACTTGATGACAGGATGGCTGGATGACTGGATGACTGGCTGACGGGAGGACGGGATGACTGGATGGCTGGATGACTGGAGGACCGTATGACTGGATGACGGTCATTGCCAAATTGGATGGGGATAACAACAACTTGGGGCACATGATCTGAGCACAGATAATATGATCTTTTTAGACTCAGATAGACTCAGACTCACACTCAGAATCAGATTCAGACTTAGACTTAGACTCAGACAGACTCAGACATTTAGACTTAGACTAAGACTTACTCAAACTTAGACCCAGACAGACAGACTCAGACAGACTCAGACTTAGCCTAGGGTTGAACCTACCACAGGACCAATCTTGTAGCTGTCTCAGCACGTCGACTGTTGTCTTCACCCACCAGCTCCAACCAGCTGGAGTTGAGGATGTCTAGCTCCCTGCCGACAACATACAGGAGCAGGTTTTAACTCAGTCACGTTTTAGCTCAGGTTGCTTGTCAAACCTAGTTATGACTTTTGAAACAGTTATGACTTTAGTAACGTAGTTATGACTTGTAAAATCTAATTATGACTTATGAACCGTAGTAATGACTTGTGAAACGTAGTGTCGACGTGTGAAACATAATTGTGACTTGTGAAACCTAATTATGACTTGTGAAACCTAATTATGATGACTTCAATAAAAAAGTGTTATGAGTACTGAGTAAATTATTTTGATGAATGTGGGGGGTTCGACTAACCAGTTCTTGAGTCCAGTGAAGGTGCAGAATTCCGGATGGTCCACATTGCTGTCAGTCTGGTGACTTGTAAAACATAGTTATGACTTGTGTAACGTTGTTATGACTTGTGTAACGTAGTTATGACTTGTAAAATTTAATTAAGACTTTTGAAATCTAGTAATGACTTAGTTATTGCTAGTGAAACATAGTTATGACTTTTGAAACCTAGTCTATATACTACTAAAAATCAAGTTTGTTTACATGTTTGAATATTTATTTGTCTGATTGACTATTGTAAATGGTTCTACTCTATGTGGAGAGCTGTAAAATAGTATGTAGGTAGAGAATACTTTTTGTTTTCAGACAGACTGTTAATCACAAATTTATTTAAAGACGTTAATTAATTTATTGATTTATTCATAGGTAGATTAACCACATTAATTTTAAAGCTTTAGAACAATGGATTAACTTTGACTTAATAGTGATGTTTGATAACTCATTTTTTGTTTGTTTGTTTTTCTGATTTGTTATTGGGGAAAATCTGCATTATGTGTGGAGCTGTAAAATAGGATTTTGGGTGGTAAATATTGTTACTTCTTAAACACACTGTTAATTACAAACTAATTTAAAGCCGTTAATTAATTTATTGATATATTCATAGGTGGATTAACCACATTAATTATAAAAGTTTAGAACAATGACTTTAGTAATAGTGAATGGATATTTTTTCCTATTACAACAATGTTTTCAATAATTTTTTAGCGCAATTTCCATACTGGCAATTGCGTTTAATAATGCGTCATTTCTGTATGGATGGATGTGTGGATGTGTGTCCGCAGCTTTAAGTCGTATCTCCTCCTCAACGAAGCAATAGTTCCAAAAGTTCCAAAAGTAAATATGTTAAGCAAGTTCCGAGGATGATTGTGGGCAAAAAAAAATCCCGGAATTCCTTCCTGGATTTCCCGGAAAAGCCAAAAAACCTCGAAAACATGCAGTTTTTTTGCCCATATCTCGGCAACCAGACCACTTAGCGACTTGAAACATTTAATAATCGATTCCTGCCATAATTTAGAAGAATATTGCCGAAGAAAGTTTTCAAAAATATCCTTTCGTTCGGTCACAAAAAATTAATTAAATTTTTTAAAACTGAGCATCGTGTAGGCCTAGGATGATATTTTTAATTTAAACTGAGCATCGTGTAGGTTTTTAGCGCAAAAAATATCCTTTCGTTCGGTCACAAAAAAATTAAAAATTGTTATGGATAACATAAGGAAATTGCGCTTAAATTGTCACTAGACTTTTTATTAACTTGTCTTAAGGCCTCTATGTGAATGATAAGGTTGACTATCAGGAACTCGCGGGGCACAGGGCAGGTGAAGTAGAGTTCACCTGTTTCTATGTTCTCAGCATATGAAGTAATAGTGTGGTCAGAGCCATGCTCGGCCGGAATCGTTTTTTAAAAAATACAAACATGTCTGAGACTTGGAGGGGCACTGGGCAGGTGAAGTAGAGTTTAGTAGAGTTTTTAAAATAAAAGAAGCGTCTTTTTGAATGTGGGGTCGGGTTATTTTGGGATGAAAAGTGCTGGCAGACGTGATGTCATATATGGATGACCCCCCCCCCCCCCCCCACCCCGAAACCCACAGTTATCTAACTAGATAACGGGTAGTCTAGTGACTTATAAAACGTAGTTATGACTTGTGAAACGTAGTGTCGACGTGTGAAACATAATTCTGACTTGTAAAACCTAGGTCTAAGTATGATGACTTCAATCAAAAAAGTGTTATGAGTACTGAGTACATTATTTTAAAGAATGCGGGGGTCGGTGGGGGGGGGGGGGGAGTTCGACTGACCAGTTCGTGAGTCCAGTGAAGGTGCAGAATTCCGGATGGTCCACATTGCTGTCAGTCTGGTGACTTGTAAAACATAGTTATGACTTGTGTAACGTAGTTATGACTTGTGTAACGTAGTTATGACTTGTAAAATTTAATTATGACTTTTGAAATCTAGAAATATATCTATATATATAAAAAGCACTGTATGTTTGTGTGTGTGTCCTTTATGCATTACTACACCTCTCATAACATCGCCGTGAAACTTTGGGAAGTTGTTGAGAATATTCCTGGGAAGGTTTCTGCGAAAAAAATATTTCAAATTCGCAGGGGTGGCGCCCCGACAGGGCGCGATTTGTTTTTTTCTATATACGGTATATAAAATAAAAGTCGATTTTGGTTTGGCATCGTTCATCCGATAGCCATGAGACTTTGGGGAGTTCATTATACCACTCTAGGGAAGGGTTCTGTAAAAAAAAAATTTAATTTCGCAAGGGCGGCGCCACGGGAGGGTCCGATTTTTCTCTATACGGTATATAAAAATAATAAAAGTGAATTGCAGTGACACCGTTCATCCGGTAGGCATGAAACTTTGAGGAGTTCATCATAAAACTCTAGGGAAGGGTTCTGTAAAAAATCAATTTTAATTTCGCAAGGGCGGCGCCACGGGGGGGGGGGGGGGGTGCTATTTTTCTCTATATACGGTATATTTTTAAAAAATAGTCATTTTGGTGTGACACCGTTATCCGATGGCCATGAGACTTTGGGGGAGTTGATTAGAACATCTTTCTAAAACATTTCGTCATACTTTCTTCTATCCCCGCGGCAACGCGCGGGGGACGGGTACGCTAGTGACTTATGAAACGTAGTTATGACTTGTGAAACGTAGTGTCGACGTGTGAAACCTAATTCTGACTTGTGAAACCTAGGTCTAAGTATGATGACTTCAATCAAAAAGTGTTATGAGTACTGAGTACATTATTTTAAAGAATGCGGGGGGGGGGGGTGAGATTCCACTGACCAGTTCGTGAGTTCAGTGAAGGTGCAGAATTCCGGATGGTCCACATTGCTGTCAGTCGACATGCCGGAGCTGCAATTTCCGAGGCTCGAACTCAAGCAAACAGGAACACACCAAGCAGGATAGGATCCACAATGCTAAGTCTCTTAGAATTTAAAGGCGCTTTTTTTTTTCGTGAGGATAGCATCCACTCTGTGACCCCCAACAAAACACCTGTAGCTGGCGATATACTTAGGCTACCTGTAGCTGGCGATATACTTAGGCTACCTGTAGCTGGCGATATACTTAGGCTACCTGTAGCTGGCGATATACTTAAGCTACCTGTAGCTGGCGATATACTTAGGCTACCTGTAGCTGGCGATATACTTAGACTACCTGTAGCTGGCGATATACTTAGGCTACCTGTAGCTGGAGATATACTTAGGCTACCTGTAGCTGGCGATATACTTAGGCTACCTGCAGCTGGCGATATACTTAGACTACCTGTAGCTGGCGATATACTTAGGCTACCTGTAGCTGGCGATATACTTAGGCTACCTTTAGCTGGCGATATACTTAGGCTACCTGTAGCTGGCGATATACTTAGACTACCTGCAGCTGGCGATATACTTAGGCTACCTATAGCTGGCGATACTCTTATGCTACCTTTAGCTGGCGATATACTTAGGCTACCTGTAGCTGGCGATATACTTAGGCCAACCCTAGCTCTCTCTAACACTCAATCTCTTAAAATTCACCGCTCAAACCACATTTGTCGCACTAAAAAAAAAACCTTATACAATATTTAAAAATCTTTAGATGATACGTTGTAACAAATTGTTTACAAAAAACATAAAACATGAAGCACTAAAAAGTGCGCTTCCTGCGTGACGTCACTTCCTTGTGTTCAGTGTTCACATTTCCGTCTTTAGGCATGAGAAGGATACGCACATCGAGTGGTGCTAGGAATACTCTCTGACACATTCTTATTTTTTCATTTTTTTTTTGCGCTTTTTCTATTTCACTGTACACGATGTCCTGTGTCCTTGGACACAATGTCCTGTGTCACTGTACACAATGTACTGTGCCACTGTACACAATGTCATGTGTCACTGTACACAATGTCCTGTATCACTGTACACAATGTCATATGTCACTGTACACAATTTCCTGTGTGACTCAAGTGACTGTACACAATGTCCTGTGTCACTGTACACAATGTCCTGTGTCACTGTACACAATGTCCTGTGTCACTGTACACAATTTCCTGTGTCACTGTACACAATGTCCTGTGTCACTGTACACAATGTCCTGTCTCACAGAACACAATGTCCTGTGTCACTGTACACAATGTCCCATGTCACTGTACACAATGTCCTGTGTCACTGTACACAATGTCCTGTGTCACTGTACACAATGTCCTGTGTCACTGTACACAATGTCCTGTATCACTGTACACAGTGTCCTGTCTCACTGTACACAATGTTCTGTGTCGCTGTACACAATGTCCTGTGTCACTGTACACAATGTCCTGTGTCACTGTACACAATGTCATGTGCCACTGTACACAATGTCCTGTATTACTGTACACAATGTCCTGTGTCACTGTACACAATGTCCTGTGTCACTGTACACAATGTCCTGCGTCACTGTACACAATGTCCTGTGTCACTGTACACAATGTCCTGTGTCACTGTATACAATGTCCTGTGTCATTGTACACAACAGCATCCTCTCTTCTCCTGCTCCCTCTTGATGACGTGTAGCTCCCCCTCATGAATCAGGTCACAGAACTTGTCCACCAAAACCTGCCAGATCCGGATTCTCTCGTCATCGCCCTGGGCTTTAAATCTCTCTTGTAAGAAAACATGGAATTCTCGCCGGAAGTGCTGTGTGGGACATCAGATGACGTTAGTGTGGTTTGTGTGAGTGGATTTAATGTGGGGGTGTGAGGGACTGTGTGGGACGTCAGTTGGCGTTGTGTGGTTTGTGTGAGTGGATTTAATGTGGAGTGTGAGGGACTGTGTGGGACGTTAGAAAAATGTTATATATATATATATATATATATATATATATATATATATATATATATATATATATATATATATATATATATATATATATATATATGTTACGGTCAAAGCCCGAAGTCGGCCAATGCTAGGATTGGCCGGCCAATCCGCGCATTGGCCAATATCGCCTCCCATAGGTCGGTCAAAGTCCGAAACTTTGCTTGATTTCGGCCTTTGGTCGGCCAGTCCGCGGACTGGCCATGGTGGACCGGCCAAAGTCTTAATTAGAAGATCATCTGGCTAGGGACGACCGGCCAAAGTCCGAATTAGAAGATCATGAGCAGATTTTTTTTTATGCCGTAAGGATCATGAAATTAAATCTTTATTGATTATTAATTAAAGTAAATGACAGAAACATTCAAATGTTTTATTGTATTAGAGTCTCAATCTATCAATATCATCATTTGTTACAACAAGTTGAACTTTTATGGCATTTAGAATTACATAGCAGCTTGTTATTTTTACACTTGCAGCGATTTGTTGTGCACTTAGTTGTGCAATTGCAGCGAGTGTAGCCTTGGCCCCCAGTCAATGATTGTGAAAATGCGATGGTTCGTAGTAATTTTTCCTCAGTGCCAACTGACTACAATAAGAGCAGTTTTTCGTGAAGAATTGAAAACTCACTTCTAGCATACAGTTGTTTTAGAACACCATGTTCTGTTCCTAATTTGTAGAAACCGCCCTCGACGCTCATGACAACTGCAATCACGCTTCGGGGATCACCGTGACCTCTGTCAACATCTGGAAAACGGATGCGTACATTGTCACCCACTTCACCATCTTTAAATTTTGTATTTGATGTTTTAAGCATCTTAGCACCTTGAGTTTGCAAGCCAGTATGAGCTGCTGATCTGTGTTCCATGATGTTTTGTTTGTTGTGACACAATCTGCAGGTAATGTTCCCTCCGTACCCTTCGTCTGTTTCATTGGGTATTCCACAAATAGCATGGACATCGTTGCCACAGGATCCACACTGGCCGGGATGTCCTGGCCAATGTTCTATCTAGACTAAGTTGTGATCGCATTTTCATTATTCTGGGTGCGTTTTCTTTGAGAGTAACGTATTGTTTAGCTCTTGTTTGTATAGCATTCTATATGCAAGGCGACATGGATCAAAAGGGCCGTCAGACCATGAGACAGACATAGCAGATGGCTGTCAAAAGAAAAAAAATGTAAATCAATGTTAGTTTCCATATATGGGTTCTCGATAAAATAGTTACTGAGGAAGATCTTGAGAACATTGAACAAGAAATGGAGGTTGCCATAAATGCAACTACATCCTAAGCTAACACATCTGCTGCCGTGGCGGAACGCCCAGACCAGTTGCGTGACAATAATGTGGCCGACCGATTCTATATAGTTTGTGAAAAACATTGTAGTGCAGCTCATTCTTTTGGATCCCATGGCAACGATGTGCATGCTATGTGTGGAATACCCAATGAAGCAGACGAAGGGTACGGAGGGAACATTACCTGCAGATTGTGTCACAACAAACAAGACATCATGGAACACAGATCAGCAGCTCATACTGGCTTGCAAACTCAAGGTGCTAAGATGCTTAAAACATCAAATACAAAATTTAAAGATGGTGAAGTGGGTGACAATGTACGCATCCGTTTTCCAGATGTTGGCAGAGGTCACGGTGATCCCCCAAGCGTGATTGCAGTTGTCATGAGCGTCGAGGGCGGTTTCTACAAATTAGGAACGGAACATGGTTTTCTAAAACAACTGTATGCTAGAAGTGAGTTTTCAATTCTTCACGAAAAACTGCTCTTATTGTCGTCAGTTGGCACTGAGGAAAAATCACTACGAACCATCGCATCTTCACAATCATTGACCGGGGGCCAAGGCTATACTCGCTTCAATCGCACAACTAAGTGCACAACAAATCGCTGCAAGTGTAAAAATAGCAAGCTGCTATGTAATTCTAAATGCCATAAAAATTCAACTTGTTGTAACAAATGATAATATTGATTGATTGAGACTATAGTACAATAAAATTTTTTAATGTTTCCATCATTTACTTTAATTAATAATCAATAAAGACTTAATTTCATGATCCTTACGGCATAAAAAAAAATCTGCTCATGATCTTCTAATTCGGACTTTGGCCGGTCGTCTCTAGCCAGATGATCTTCTAATTAAGACTTTGGCCGGTCCACCATGGCCAGTCTGCGGATTGGCCGGCCAAAGGCCGAAATCAAGCAAAGTTTCGGACTTTGACCGACCTATGGGAGGCGATATTGGCCAATGCGCGGATTGGCCGGCCAATCCTAGCATTGGCCGACTTCGGGCTTTGACCGTAACATATATATATATATATATAATGGTACTTTAGCGATAAGAATGGATTGAAGGACAACTAATGATGCAATTTCTCTTTAAAAACTTCATAAAAAACGTTTTAATAACAAGCTTTAATGTAATTAATGTCAGATTGCATAGTCTTCAAGTCTAGACGCGCGTGCCAACTTTGTAACGAATCTGTCAGTTACAAGTGCTCGAAATTATGCTCGAGATTTACGATCTATGACGACAGACAGAGAAAGTAAGTTAAATAAAAGGTTGTAAAAAGACCACATTCTTCAACTTGAAAAAACGAAGACAAAGTTGCTCTAGAGATGATTAACTATAAGACTCTGGGAAGGACTGACACACTACCTAGCGGCTTATATATATATATATATATATATATATATATATATATATATATATATATATATATATATATATATATATATATATATATATATATATATATAAACTAATGTAAACCCATTATGTATATTGAGACCAAAAAAAAATAGAGAAAGTACTTAGGGAGTCTCTGTGATGAATCTTACCGTAAAGTATTGATATCGGGAACAGGGCATTTCCCCCCTGTCAATTACCCCCCGGATATTTCCCCCCGACATTTCCCCCCAGAGTAATTACCCCCCCTGTCAATTACCCCCCTGTCAATTACCCCCCGCCCAGTAGGACATTACCCCCCCCCCCCCGGACAGGGTTAGAGTTAGGGTTAGGTTTTAGGGCTAGGGTTAGGGCTAGGGTTAGGGCTAGGGTTAGGGTTAGGGTTAGGGTTAGGGTTAGGTTTTAGGGCTAGGGTTAGGGCTAGGGTTAGGGCTAGAGTTAGGGTTAGGGTTAAGGTTAGGGTTAGGTTTTAGGGCTAGGGTTAGGGCTAGGGTTAGGGCTAGGGCTAGGGTTAGGGCTAGGGTTAGGGTTAGGGATAGGGATAGGGTTAGGGTTAGGGTTAGGGCTAGGGTTAGAATTAGAGCTAGGGTTAGGGTTAGGGTTAGAGCTAGTTTTAGGGTTAGGGTTGTGTCTAGCTTTGGTTTTGGTTTTGTGTGAAGTTTTAGGCTAAGGTGGATGCTTAGGTTTTGGTCTTTTTCTCAAGGTTTGGATTAAAGTAGTGTATAGGGATAAAATTCTAGTTAGAGTTAGGATTTTAACTTGAGAGGGGGGGGGGGGGGGTAATTCCCCCAGGGGGGGGGGGGGGGTAATTGACAGGGGGGTAATTGCACCGGGGGGTAAATACGGGGGGGGGGGGAAATGTCTGGGGGGGAAATATCCAGGGGGTAATGTCCTGTAGCCATTGATATCTAGGGACAGACAAACAGACAGTACTAAGGGAGTCTCTGTGTTGAATCATACCTTGAAGTATTGGTCCCCGACTGGCGGCTTACTGTGGGTGTGGATGCGGATGAGATGTTTCATCTCCCTCTCCAACTGCTTGGGGTCGCGTGAGGCGTGGACCAGCCTCTCCAGGCCACCGATCAGCTTGAAGGAGTGGGACAGGAACATCTTGTCACTTATGAGCAGAGAACGGTGGGATGACATGGGGATCTTGTTGGACAAACGTTGTTGCATGTTGGGGATGTTGTCGAACAACCTAGGGAGGACGGGATGACTGGATGACTTGATGACAGGATGACTGGATGACTGGATGACGATATGACTTTCTTCTTCTTCTACTTCTTCGTTCTTAATTGAAAATATGGTGGAGGATTTAGGCAAAAAGTCCAACTTCGTGAATAAACCGGACTGAATTACTGAATTACTGTATGTCTGGATAACTGGATGACTGGACGACTGAATGACGGTATGACTGGATGACGCTATGATTGGATGATTGCCACCTTGGATGGGGATAACAACAACTCTATTGACTCATTTGGGGCACATGATCTGAGCACAGATAAGATGATCTTTTTAGACTCAGACACACTCAGACTTATACTCAGACTTAGACTCACACTCAGGCAGACTTAGACTCAGACTTAGACTCAGACTTACTCAGATTTAGACTTATACTCACTCAGTCTTAGATTCAGACTTAGACTCAGGCTCACTCAGACTTAGACTCAGACTTAGACTCAGACTCACTCAGACTCAGACTCAGACTCAGACTTAGAATCAGACTCAGACTCAGACTTACTCAAACTTAGACTCAGACTCAGACTTAGACTCAGACTGAGATTCAGACTAGATAGACTTAGACTCAGACTTACTCAGACTTAGACTCAGACTCAGACGTAGACTCAGTCTTAGACTCAGACTCAGACTTAGACTCAGACAGACTCACTCAAACTTAGACTCACTCAGACTTAGACTCAGACGTAGACTCAGACTTAGAATCAGACTCAGACTTAGACTCAGGCGTAGACTCAGACTTAGACTCACTCAGACTTAGACTCACTCAGACTCAGACGTAGACTCAGACTTAGACTCAGACTCAGACTTACTCAGACTTAGACTCACTCAGACTTAGACTCACTCAGACTCAGACAGACTTAGACACAGACTCTGACACTTAGACTTAGACTTACTCAAACTTAGACTCAGACAGACAGACTCAGACAGACTCAGACTTAGCCTAGGGTTGAACCTACCACAGCACTAAGCTTGTGGCTGTCTCAGCACGTCGACTGTTGTCTTCACCCACCAGCTCCAACCAGCTGGAGTTGAGGATGTCTAGCTCCCTGCCGACAATATACAGGAGCAGGGTTTTAACTCAGTCACGTTTTAGCTCAGGTCACTTGTCAAAACTAGTTTTGACTTGTAAAATGTTGTTATGACTTGTGAAAGAAAGTTAAGACTTGTGAAACGTAGTTTTGACTTGTAAAATCTAATTATGACTTTTGAAACCTAGTAATGAATTATGAAACCTAATTGTGACTTGTGAAACCTAATTATGACTTGTGAATCCTAATTTTGATGACTTCAATAAAAAAAAGTGTTGTGAGTACTGAGTACATTATTTTGATGAATGTGGGGGGAGGGGGGGGGGGAGGGTTCGACTAACCAGTTCTTGAGTCCAGTGAAGGTGCAGAATTCCGGATAGTCCACATTGCTGTCAGTCGACATGCCGGAGCTGCAATTTCCGAGGTTCGAACTCAAGTAAACAGGAACACACCAAGCAGGCTAGGATCCACAATGCTAAGTCTCTTAGAATTTAAAGGCGCTTTTTTTTTCGTGAGGATAGCATCCAACAAAACACCTGTAGCTGGCGATATACTTAGGCTACCTGTAGCTGGCGATATACTTAGACTACCTGTAGCTGGCGATATACTTAGACTACCTGTAGCTGGCGATATACTTAGGCTACCTGTAGCTGGCGATATACTTAGGCTACCTGCAGCTGGCGATATACTTAGACTACCTGTAGCTGGCGATATACTTAGGCTACCTGTAGCTGGCGATATACTTAGGCTACCTGCAGCTGGCGATATACTTAGACTACCTGTAGCTGGCGATATACTTAGGCTACCTGTAGCTGGCGATATACTTAGGCTACCTGCAGCTGGCGATATACTTAGGCTACCTGTAGCTGGCGATATACTTAGGCTACCTATAGCTGGCGATATACTTAGGCTACCTTTAGCTGGCGATATACTTAGGCTACCTGTAGCTGGCGATATACTTAGACTACCTGTAGCTGGCGATATACTTAGGCTACCTGCAGCTGGCGATATACTTAGGCTACCTGTAGCTGGCGATATACTTAGACTACCTGTAGCTGGCGATATATGTAGGCTAACCCTAGCTCTCTCTAACGCTCAATCTCTTAAAATTCACCGCTCAAAACACATTTATCGCATTAAAAAAACTTATAAAATATTTAAAAACCTGTAGATGCTTAGTTGTTATAAATTGTTTACAAAAAACAAAACATGAAGCACTAAAAAATTGCGCTTCCTGCTTGACGTCACTTCCTGGTGTTCAGTGTTCACATTTCCGTCTTTAGGCATGAGAAAAATGCGCACATCGAGTGGTGCTAGGAATACTCTCAGACACGAGACATTCTTTTTTTTAGCTTTTTTTTTGCGCTTTTTCTTGTAGCCAAAAGTAACAAATAACCTATTAATAGCAAGACATATCAATAGCAATTAAAAACAAAATAAAGAAGAATACATAATTTCGTTTTATTGAATTACACTACCAAGTTTTAAAATCTTTCATTCTTGACATTGGTCGTTTGTATTAAGTGATACATTATTTTTTTTGGTTAGAGGATTAAGCAGTATTTTATTTGCAAAAAATTGATTGCGTTTTTGGGTTTAGCATTTAAATGATCTAGACTGAATTGATTGGATTCATAGAAACCTCAGTGTCAGACTTTACCAATTAGTTTTTGACAAATTGTAGACGAAGTCAGACAGTTATAATACATGTCCTAGAGAGTCGTAATACATGTCCTAGAGAGTCATAATACATGTCCTAGAGAGTCGTAATACATGTCCTAGAGAGTCATTATACATGTCCTAGGTGGTAGAAATACATGTCCTAAATAGTGGCAATACATGTCTAATAGTGAACTAATAAAAACGAAAGTTCAAATACATCAATAAAAAAAACACACGCATTGTATCTGAGCATTGTATCTGAGCATTGTATCTGAGCATTGTATCTGAGCATTGTATCTGAGCAGATAGACTGTCATTATGACACAATCTGTCATAATTTTTTCATTCAGTTTTTTGGTCACATGTGTACAGAGGTGATTGTGTACATGCAATGTTGCAACGGCTGGTGTTGTCCACCTAATTGGTGTACGGATGGTGTTATCCACGGTGGTGTACGGATGGTTGGTGTCGGTATGTGGCTGACGTCACGTCTCAGAGGATGGAACAACAGCGCCCTCTGGCCTTACTCTCGTTGAGGTTGAACTCTTCCTCGTACAGCAGGTAGCACAGCTTGTTGAGTAGCACGTTCCACACCCGGATCCTCTCGTCGTCAATAGTCGTCTTCAGTCTCTCCAGCAGCAGGACGTGGAACTTTCGGCGGAAGTGCTGCGGACGGAGATGTGAGGCGATAGTGTGGGGTGTGTGAGGGACGATAGTATGAGGTGTGTGAGGGACGATAGTGTGGGGTGTGTGAGGGACGATAGTGTGGGGTGTGTGAGGAACGATAGTGTGAGGTGTGTGAGGGACGATAGTGTGGGGTGTGTGAGGGACGATAGTGTGAGGTGTGTGAGGGACGATAGTGTGGGGTGTGTGAGGGACGATAGTGTGAGGTGTGTGAGGGACGATAGTGTGAGGTGTGTGAGGGACAATAGTGTGGGGTGTGTGAGGGACGATAGTGTGGGGTGTGTGAGGGACGATAGTGTGGGGTGTGTGAAGGACGATCGTATAAGGTGTGTGAGGGACGATAGTGTGGGGTGTGTGAGGGACGATAGTGTGAGGTGTGTGAGGGACGATAGTGTGGGGTGTGTGAGGGACGATAGTGTGAGGTGTGTGAGGGACGATAGTGTGGGGTGTGTGAGAGGCAATAGTGTGGGGGTGTGTGAGAGACGATAGTATGGGGTGTGTGAGGATGTGTAAGTCTCACCGAGAAGTATTCTATGCCCACTGTGGGGTTGCAGTTGACGTGTATGGCGATGATTCTCCTGAGTTCCTTCTCTAGAACCTCAGGGTTATGAGACACGTGTACGATGCGATGTAGGCTCTGGATCACAGCGAGCGCGTGGAACAGGAACACGCCATCACAATACAGCATCGACCGGTTGTCTCTGTTGGTTACCACTAGGGCCATTCGTTGTTGTATGTTGGGTATGTTGTGGAACATCCTGTGGACAGATAAAAAAATTGGGTATGTTGAGGGACATCCTGTGGACAGATCAAAGATTGGCTATGTTGTGGAACATCCTGTGGACAGATCTAAGATTGGGTATGTTGTGGACAGATCAAAGATTGGGTATTTTGTGGACAGATCAAAGATTGGGTATGTTGTGGACAGATAAAAGATTGGGTATGTTGTGGAGCATCCTGTAGACAGATCTAAGATTGAGTATGTTGTAGACAGATCAAAGATTGGCTATGTTGTGGACAGATCAAAGATTGGGTATGTTGTGGACAGATAAAAGATTGGGTATGTTGTGGAGCATCCTGTAGACAGATCTAAGATTGAGTATGTTGTGGACAGATCAAAGATTGGGGATGTTGTGGACAGATCAAAGATTGGGGATGTTGTGGACAGATCAAAGATTGGGTATGTTGTGGACAGATCAAAGATTGGGTATGTTGTGGACAGATCAAAGATTGGGTATGTTGTGGACAGATCAAAGATTGGGTATGTTGTGGACAGATCAAAGATTGGCTATGTTGTGGACAGATCAAAGATTGGGTATGTTGTGGACAGATCAAAGATTGGGTATGTTGTGGACAGATCAAAGATTGGGTATGTTGTTGACAGATAAAAGATTGGGTATGTTGTGGACAGATCTAAGATTGAGTATGTTGTGTACAGATCAAAGATTGGGTATGTTGTGGACAGATCAAAGATTAGGTATGTTGTGGACAGATCAAAGATTGGGTATGTTGTGGAACATCCTGTGACAGATCAAAGATTGGGTATGTTGTGTACAGATCAAAGATTGGGTATGTTGTGGAACATCCTGTAGACAGATCAAAGATTGGGTATGTTGTGGACAGATCAAAGATTGGGTATGTTGTGGACAGATCAACGATTACAAGTGACTGGAAGGTGGATATTGTAGGCAAAATAAGATGATACTGTGGAGCCTTCACTGTAAACTAACCAAAGGACTAAACTAGTGGCTGTCTACCTTCCTTACATTGTCCATTTACCAAAGGACTAAACTAGTGGCTGTCTACCTTCCTTACATTGTCCATTTACCAAAGGACTAAACTAGTGGCTACCATCCTTACATTGTTCACTTACCAAAGGACTAAACTAGTGGCTGTCTCCACGATCCTGGCATTACGAACCCCCACTATTTGAAGCCAGCTAGTACGGAGTATTTCAAGCTCCCTGAAATTACCAAATGTAAATTAACCATTTTAGATTTAATTAACTTTTGTTTACTTTTTCTGTCAGGTTTTTTTAGTGTGCCCTATGTCTGTCTGTCTCCGCGCATGTTGCGTGGAATCTTCAAATCTATTCCCATCCATCTTTAACTTACTTTAGGTTCACCCCGCCTCACTTTCAAATGGCGAGAAAGTTACCACTCCTTACACAGTTACCTTTACTGACACAATCTATCCACCACCACCATCTGCCCATCAACATCTGCCCATCACATCTGCTCATCAATATCTGCCCATACCCATCTGCCCATACCCATCTGTCCATAACCATCTGCCTATAACCATCTGTCCATACCCATCTGCCCATACCCATCTGTCCATCAACATCTGCCCATACCCATCTGTCCATACCCATCTGCCCATCACCATCTGTCCATACCCATCTGCCCATACCCATCTGCCCATACCCATCTGTCCATCAACATCTGTCCATACCCATCTGCCCATACCCATCTGCCCATCACCATCTGTCCATACCCATCTGCCCATACCCATCTGCCCATCACCATCTGTCCATACCCATCTGCCCATACCCATCTGCCCATACCCATCTGCCCATATCCATCTGCCCATACCCATCTGCCCATCACCATCTGCCCATACCCATCTGCCCATCACCATCTGTCCATACCCATCTGTCCATACCCATCTGCCCATCACCATCTGTCCATACCCATCTGTCCATCACCATCTGTCCATACCCATCTGTCCATACCCATCTGCCCATCACCATCTGTCCATACCCATCTGTCCATCACCATCTGCCCATACCCATCTGCCCATACCCATCTGTCCATTACCATCTGTCCATACCCATCTGCCTATAACCATCTGCCCATACCCATCTGCCCATACCCATCTGCCCATCACCATCTGTCCATACCCATCTGTCCATACCCATCTGTCCATCACCATCTGCCCATCACCATCTGTCCATACCCATATGCCCATACCCATCTGCCCATACCCATCTGCCCATACCCATCTGCCCATCACCATCTGTCCATCACCATCTGTCCATCACCATCTGTCCATCACCATCTGTCCATACCCATCTGCCCATACCCATCTGCCCATCACCATCTGTCCATCACCATCTGTCCATACCCATCTGTCCATCACCATCTGTCAATCACCTGTCCATCACCATCTGTCCATACCCATCTGCCCATACCCATCTCTCCATACCCATCTGCCCATACCCATCTGCCCATCACCATCTGTCCATCACCATCTGTCCATACCCATCTGTCCATACCCATCTGCCCATACCCATCTGTCCATCACCATCTGTCCATACCCATCTGTCCATACCCATCTGCCCATACCCATCTGCCCATACCCATCTGCCCATCACCATCTGTCCATACCCTTCTGTCCATCAACATCTGCCCATACCCATCTGCCCATACCCATCTGTCCATCACCATCTCCCCATACCCATCTGCCCATACCCATCTGTCCATACCCATCTGCCCATCACCATCTGTCCATCACCATCTGTCCATCACCATCTGTCCATCACCATCTGTCCATACCCATCTGCCCATACCCATCTGTCCATCACCATCTGTCCATACCCATCTGTCCATCACCATCTGTCCATACCCATCTGCCCATACCCATCTGTCCATACCCATCTGCCCATACCCATCTGCCCATACCCATCTGTCCATTACCATCTGTCCATACCCATCTGTCCATCACCATCTGCCCATACCCATCTGCCCATACCCATCTGTCCATACCCATCTGCCCATCACCATCTGCCCATACCCATCTGCCCATACCCATCTGTCCATCACCATCTGCCCATACCCATCTTTCCATCACCATCTGTCCATCACCATCTGCCCATACCCATCTGCCCTTCCCCATCTGCCCATACCCATCTGTCCATACCCATCTGCCCATACCCATCTGCCCATACCCATCTGTCCATCACCATCTGTCCATCACCATCTGTCCATCACCATCTGCCCATACCCATCTGCCCATACCCATCTGCCCATACCCAACTGCCCATACCCATCTGCCCATACCCATCTGCCCATACCCATCTGCCCATACCCATCTGTCCATACCCATCTGTCCATTCCCATACTGTCACTAGACGGACCAAAATGTGAATTTGCTTTCAACAGTCGTTCAACTTCGTAGCCCACCCATCTAACAAGGTTCGGTCCTCATCATTGTGATAGATCTAGGCTAAAATATGGTGCCATTTAGATCTAGGCAAATATAATATGCTGTCAGTTAGATCTAGGTAAATAAATGCTGCCTGTTAGATTGAGGTCAATCCCTGTAATGTGTGATAGATCTAAGAAATAATTGTGCTGTAGGTTAGATCAAAGTGAATCTATGTACTGCTGTGATGAACCTAGCTGAATGCTTGCTGTGATGAACCTAGCTGAATGCTTGCTGTGATGAACCTAGCTGACTGAACCTAGCTGAATGCTTGCTGTGATGAACCTAGCTGAATGCTGCTGTGATGAACCTAGCTGAATGCTTGCTGTGATGAACCTAGCTGAATGCTTGCTGTGATGAACCTAGCTGACTGAACCTAGCTGAATGTTTGCTGTGATGAACCTAGCTGATTGCTTGCTATGATGAACCTAGCTAAATGCTTGCTGTGATGAACCTAGCTGAATGTTTGCTGTGATGAACCTAGCTGATTGAACCTAGCTGAATGTTTGCTGTGATGAACCTAGCTGAATGCTTGCTGTGATGAACCTAGCTGACTGAACCTAGCTGAATGCTTGCTGTGATGAACCTAACTCAATGCTTGCTGTGATGAACGTAGCTGAATGCTTGCTGTGATGAACCTAGCTGAATGCTTGCTGTGATGAACCTAGCTGAATGCTTGCTGTGATGAACCTAGCTGAATGCTTGCTGTGATGAACCTAGCTGAATGCTAGCTGTGATGAACCTAGCTGAATGCTTGCTGTGATGAACCTAGCTGAATGCTAGCTGTGATGAACCTAGCTGAATGTTTGCTGTGATGAACCTAGCTGAATGTTTGCTGTGATGAACCTAGCTGAATGTTTGCTGTGATGAACCAAGCTGACTGAACCTAGCTGAATGTTTGCTGTGATGAACCTAGCTGACTGAACCTAGCTGAATGTTTGCTGTGATGAACCTAGCTGAATGCTTGCTGTGATGAACCTAGCTGAATGCTTGCTGTGATGAACCTAGCTGAATGCTGTGATGAACCTAGCTGAATGCTGTTGTGATGAACCTAGCTGAATGCTTGCTGTGATGAACCTAGCTGAATGCTTGCTGTGATGAACCTAGCTGAATGTTTGCTGTGATGAACCTAGCTGAATGCTAGCTGTGATGAACCTAGCTGAATGCTGTTGTGATGAACCTAGCTGAATGCTTGCTGTGATGAACCTAGCTGAATGCTTGCTGTGATGAACCTAGCTGAATGCTTGCTGTGATGAACCTAGCTGAATGCTTGCTGTGATGAACCTAGCTGAATGCTTGCTGTGATGAACCTAGCTGAATGCTTGCTGTGATGAACCTAGCTGAATGCTTGCTGTGATGAACCTAGCTGAATGTTTGCTGTGATGAACCTAGCTGACTGAACCTAGCTGAATGTTTGCTGTGATAAACCTAGCTGAATGCTTGCTGTGATGAACCTAGCTGAATGCTGTGATGAACCTAGCTGAATGCTTGCTGTTATGAACCTAGCTGAATGCTTGCTGTGATGAACCTAGCTGAATGCTTCCTGTGATGAACCTAGCTGAATGCTTGCTGTGATGAACCTAGCTGAATGCTTGCTGTGATGAACCTAACTGAATGCTGTGATGAACCTAGCTGAATGTTTGCTGTAATAAACCTAGCTGAATGCTTGCTGTGATGAACCTAGCTGAATGCTTGCTGTGATGAACCTAACTGAATGCTTGCTGTGATGAACCTAGCTGAATGCAGTGATGAGCCTAGCTGAATGCTGCTGTGATGAACCTAGCTGAATGCTTGCTGTGATGAACCTAGCTGAATGCTTGCTGTGATGAACCTAGCTGAATGCTTGCTGTGATGAACCTAGCTGAATGCTGTGATGAACCTAGCTGAATGCTGTGATGAACCTAGCTGAATGCTGTGATGAACCTAGCTGAATGCTTGCTGTGATGAACCTAGCTGAATGCTTGCTGTGATAAACCTAGCTGAATGTTTGCTGTGATGAACCTAGCTGAATGCTTGCTGTGATGAACTTAGCTGAATGCTTGCTGTGATGAGACTAGCTGACTGAACCTAGCTGAATGATTGCTGTGATGAACCTAGCTGAATGCTTGCTGTGATGAACCTAGCTGAATGCTTGCTATGATGAACCTAGCTGAATGCTTGCTGTGATGAACCTAACTGAATGCTTGCTGTGATGAATCTAGCTGACTGAACCTAGCTGAATGCTTGCTGTGATGAACCTAGCTGACTGAACCTAGCTGAATGCTTGCTGTGATGAAGCTAGCTGAATGCTTGCTGTGATGAACCTAGCTGAATGCTTGTTGTGATGAACCTAGCTGAATGCTTGCTGTGATGAACCTAGCTGACTGAACCTAGCTGAATGCTTACTGTGATGAACCTAGCTGAATGCTTGCTGTGATGAACCTAGCTGATTGAACCTAGCTGAATGTTTGCTGTGATGAACCTAGCTGAATGCTTGCTGTGATGAACCTAGCTGACTGAACCTAGCTGAATGCTTGCTGTGATGAACCTAGCTGAATGCTGTGAGGAACCTAGCTGAATGTTTGCTGTGATGAACCTAGCTGAATGTTTGCTGTGATGAACCTAGCTGAATGCTTGCTGTGATGAACCTAGCTGAATGCTTGCTGTGATGAATCTAGCTGAATGCTTGCTGTGATGAACCTAGCTGAATGCTTGCTGTGATGAACCTAGCTGAATGTTTGCTGTGATGAACCTAGCTGAATGCTTGCTGTGATGAAC